GTGTTTCGTTCAATGCTGTTTTTCTTTTTCTGTCAGTCCGTTGAGGCACGTAGCTGGACTAACAGATGTGATAATCGTAATAATGGTATTCATAATAAAGGCGAATGCACAACGTTGTGAGAGTGGGTTTGACTGCTGTAAACCAGGACATCCGCGCCTCGTACGTCGCTTGCTGAGGTATACCCCTCGAATCTTTAAACGAAGCAGGGATCTGCCAGTGACTTGCACCCGTTTCTCGACGCGGCGTAGTCAAATGCACGCCACGCTGTGTATAGGATGGACCTTCGTAATATGAAAGTTGAACGAGAACTATCAAACACAAAACAGAGAACGGATCTTTTGTAATCTAAAGCACCAAGTAAGTTGGAGCTCGTCTTGTGTTTCTTGGCTGCGACCACGGAAAGTTTGTGAAGACATAGGATGAGACAGCAATGACAAATGGATGTGTCCGATTTACGCGAGACAGTGCAGTGTAGGCGTTTTTGGTGTCTAATACGAAATGGTATGCTACAACGTCCGTCTTGGTCCCACGTGAGGCTGTTTTTTCAGCGATTATCGGTTTAAGGCGCCATGACATGACTAAAAACATTCACGCTTCACACCTCTAAAAAAAGGCAAAATGAAATGGAAATTATATTAACGATGATGAAAATAAACCCTCGAGAAGGGGAACAAGATATCCCTCTTGTTCCCCCTCTCGAGGATTTATTTTAGTACAAACACAAATCTCCAAACATAGCCGTGACTGGTGTGCGACTGGAAAAATCCGCCTGGTCCGGGTATCGAACCCGGGACCTCTCCGTTAAAGGTGGAGCGCTCTACCAATTGAGCTAACAGGGGTTAGACGTCAGTAGAGCTAACCAGGGGTTAGACGTCAGTTAGAGCAAACGGGTTTTATCAGCTGCCAACAAGGGCTAAGCTTGCAATTTAAAGTTATGATTATAATGCAACTAAATGCAAAGGTGCAAGCGAGCTGGACAAGAATGATGAAAATAAACCCTGGAGAAGAACAAGAGGGACAAAGGCAAAACACCAATCTCCAAACACAGCTAGGTGTGTGTGTGTGTGTGTGTGTGTGTGTGTGTGTGTGTGTGTGTGTGTGTGTGTGTGTGTGTGTGTGTGTGTGCGCGCGTGTGTGTGTGTTGTAATATTTAGTGTGACATGCTGGGTATTGTGGAGTGCGTAGAGTAAAAGAAAATTCGTTAATTTCTGACAGTTTCTCCAGATCCAGTCATCCTAGCGCCAGTATAAAGTGGTCAAACGATATGGGCGCTCAGAATCGCACGCACTAACTCAGGCTTCTGATGCAACGTCAAAGCAGTGCTCACAGCTTTTTTGAGAAAACATTCTTGTTCATAATTGTTCATAAACAAACAACCGTTCTAAACACTGGTTATATCAAGATCTGCACGTATGACAACGTTACGATATTGATATCTTACTGAAATCATCATATGCGCAGTATGTATCTTGCCAGTATGTTTTTTTTTCTTCACTAGGCAAGTAGAACAAACCGTAACGTCAGTATTCCTGAGCTATGGTACAATAACGATGTGATTACGCGTCGCAAAAGTCTAATTTACGCTGCTTCGAACTACAACAATACTAAATCAATAACGAGAAAATTAAAAAAAAAAAAATGTATCGGTTCTTTTTTATTTTTTATGAAATGCTTTCGCGCAATTTGGTGTGTCAGGAAAACAGATGCTAATGCAATGAAATCAGTCCTCATGGCGTACACGCGATAGCAAATAGCTACACGTAAACGTGGTAGAATGAGTGAGCACACCCTGTGTGCAGCGCAATACAAAACAACTGCTAGTTGCAGCACAGCAACCCAGAAGCTCGCTAGGGGTGCTTCTGTTTTCCTCACTCTGGGCACTGCACGTGCTAACCACGCGCTTATGTTTTAATTTTCCTAGCGCATAGAAGCTTGGCATTGCACGTGCTTGCACCAGCAGAGGAGGTTGAAGGAGGAGGAGGGAGGAGGAAAAACTTTATTGGTCTTAGGGTGATTGTTGAGCGGGCAGGATAGGGAGCTTATCCCCGCCTGGTGGCCAGGAGTCCATGGACCCCAGCGACCCACTCAGCCCGTTGGGTGACCCTGTCCTGAAGGACCGGGTCCGAGCTGAGCAGCGTGGCCTCCCACTGCCCCAGGGTAGCAATGCCAGGCCCGTCGGGTCAAGGGTCCTTCGGGCAATTCCAAATGATCCTCACTGAGTTGCGAAAAAATTCCACCAGGCGGCGATTCCAAAACTTCTCGCCGGGCAGAGAAGTTCAGGGCAGAGAAGAGTGGGCTTGGGTTCAACCTTTCTTACAGTAAGCTAGGCCAAAAAATTCAGCAATCCTTACCGGGATTGATGTATGCGGATGATATTGTACTAATGGCTAACAACAGGACAGAGTTGCAGGAATTAATGAGCATCTGTGGTAGGGAAGGAGAGGAATTAGGTTTAGAATTCAGTAGCGAAAAATCGGCAGTCATGATTTTTAACGAGGATGAAGTTGAGAGGCTGAAGATACAGAATATTACAGTTGAGAGAGCTAGGAAATACAAGTATCTAGGAGTATGGATATGTGATGGTGCAGAATATCTCAGAGACCATGAAAAGTATATAATAGGTAAGGGCAACAGAAATGCAGCTGTAATGAAAAATAGAGCACTTTGGAATTACAACAGGTATGAGGTGGTGAGAGAGATTTGGAAAGGGGTCATGGTGCCTGGCTTGACTTTTGGAAACGCAGTGCTATGCATGAAATCCGAAGTGCATGCGAGACTAGAAATAAAACAGCGCGGAGTAGGTAGACTGGCTTTGGGGGCACATTGCAAAACGCCAAACCAGGGAGTACAAGGAGACATGGGATGGGCATCATTTGAGAGCAGGGAAGCGGTGAGCAAGGTAGAATTTGAGGATAGGTTGAGGCAAATGGACGGGGAGCAATGGGCACGAAAGGTTTTCAGCTATTTATACATGAGGAGTGTAGACACAAAGTGGAGACAGCGCACTAGGAAATTAAGAGGAAAGTTTTTGGGCTATAGCGAAGATACGGAAGAGCAAGTCTCAGTTAAGAAGAAAGTTAAGGCCACAGAAAGAGATTGGTGGCTAGAGGGAATGCAGACAAAGACGGCTCTGGAAAGCTATAGATTAAACAAAAGAGTTATTGCCAAAGAAAGCATTTATGACAATTCTAGGGGAAGCTCATTGCTGTTTGAGGCAAGAACGGGTGTTCTGCGAACCAGAACATACAGAGTGAAGTACCAGGAAATTTATACAGTGTGCACTGCTTGTGGAAAGGAGGACGAGACGGCTGAGCACTTGATACTCTACTGTAAAGGGCTTCACCCTATGCCTACCGAAGACAACATAGATTTAATAAAGTCATTGGGTTTTAGAGACAGCGAAGGGAGAGTGGATTTCAAGACTGTAGAGATTACCAAGCAAAGATTAAGTGAATGGTGGCAGAAATCGAGAGAAAACTAGGTATTTTCTTATCCACTGATGGCAAGGGGGTTTCATAGCCTCACTTTCTTTGCACTGCGGAGTGAATATAGATTTCACATTTAAATATTCTAAGCTTAAATGGTAAAACAAAATGGCTAGGTGGCGTAAGCTACCGCCCGATCCAAAGGGCTCAGCCGTATTCATCCATCCATCCATCCATCCATCCAGCCGCGAATAGTCGATGACAGGTGAGGAAGAACAGCAGAAGCTCCACCTTCAGCACGAGCTCGTTTTCTTCCGCCGGGCTCAGGCTGCGCGTCTGACGAAAATGTTATCAATTGATAACATGTTCAAAAATGTTATCCAAGACAGACAGCTAACGCACGAGGCGGAGCATCTCCTGGGTCATTAACCTGTCATCTATCGTAATAAGCATCAATTTCAACAACGTGCTGCCTCTACCCCTAGCCGCAACAAAATATTACTTCCCAAGTTTAATCGGTAGCGCGACTATGGTACGCGAACGGAAGTTCAGCAGCGAAGAAAGCAAACACGTCTTATGTAAAGAGGTTCGAAGCTCCTAAAGCGCAGTATTCCGAACAGCTACTTGCGTTGACTCCACAAACCCGTGCCCTTCCCCCTACGGTCGCTGCCCTGCCCGCCCCCGTCCATTGACCGGGGATCTTGCCTATCGATCTCCAGAACGTACGGCCAGACGTGTGGCACGCTCCTCTAGGCCAGCTGCTGCCTGACAAAGCACAACAATCACAAATGCAAAGCACACCAGCTTCAGCCGAGTCTACCATAAGGCGAGTCTGACAGCGGCCACGTGCCGTGGGCTCCGCCCAGGACCCCCAAAAGAACCCCCCTTGCACAAGAAAAGGACCATATACCCGCTAAACTATCCACAAGAAGCCACCTTAAAATCAAAAAAAAAAAAAAAAAAGAAACGTAGAAAGATTTAAAGTTTAAGAAAGACACACGTCCCTTACACTCGCCACACGCCGACGATCCTCCTCTGCAACCCGAAGACCCCCAGGATGCCCCAAAACACCAAGAAAACTCGGCAAGACCAGGAGCTCCTCCAGAACGGAAGTTGGGGATCTTTTTCGCTGTTTGTTCGAAGCGAAACTTGTTCCTCGCCTCTTTTGCTTTTCCACCGCCCTGTCGTCGTCGGGGGGCACTTCGAGCTTTGTGTCCGCCGCAAATCCAGATGCGCGATAAACAGCTGCTCTTGCCGAGGGCCTAGGTAGACCTTTGGCGGCGCGTGCCAGAGGTGTCGATGCAGCTGCCAGCCGGCCCGGTGCTTTCCGTACCAGGCTGCGTTGGGGAAGGAAAGAGGGAAGACCATAGCCTACCTTTCTAACCACCCGCGAAGGAGGAGGAGGAAAGGGGGGGGGATCAGACTTTTGTTGGGGAAAGGGGGGAAGGGAGGGGGTGGTGCTCGGTCGGGTGGCACGCGTCGCGGCGCGTGCCATCTGGGACCACGTGACCTCGATTGGACATCTGGCGTGCCGCCTCGCCCTCGGCTATAAAAGCGGTTTTCCCGCGTGAGCACATCAGTCGCTCTCAGTTGTGAACGTGGTAGGAGAATCGGTTGGTGTTGCGTTGAGATGCCGTCGTTGCCTTCTTGAAGTTTCGTCTCGCTCTTCGCATCCGAACTTCCGTCGCGCCTCTTGGATTTTTAATCGTCGAGTTGTCTCGCGCGAACTTTTTTGTTTCGTCGATTCCTAGTCCGCGTGCCGGCACATACCGTCAGGCATCATGGGACGTGGTGGCGTTGACACACCGGTGAGTTTTTTATGATTTCTGTGAACCTGTCTGACGTGTTCGTAATTTCTTTAATAGTTGGACTCGAGTTCGTTAAAATTTAAAGTACTAACCTCATTCAAATAGATGTTTCATTGACCAAATCGAAATATACCATTCGCTTATCTGTTTTAATTTTAAGGAATCGTTCAATCCTGAAATGTCAGTATATTCAAGATGATCTCTCAAATCCTCTCTTTTTTTTACGCTTCGTACAAGCAACTTTTACCCTAGTGGTTGTCAGATTTTTCCAGTCATGATTCCATGGAATTCCATGATTCCATGACATTTGAGAGCTGCCATGTTTTATTCCTACCGCGCTATTTATCTATATTGTGTACAGCTTTAAGAGTTCAAGTCTCATAAATAATTGGCGGTTGCTTTTGTTGCGCGGGAATCCTATTCAACTCACGTGTACTCTGTAATACATGGTTCATACAGTCACAGTTAGCCTTGCAGTGCATTAGGCAATTAGTTAAGCTAGACGAGGGGTGTCATACAAGAGATAATCCAGCATATCCACATCTCAGTGAAGTAGAATAGACATACCTCCTCACACGCGATAGCTGACCGAGATCCGAACTATGAGGACATTTTAATTGCATAACAATTTCTCTTTTTCAATAATAACACTATTGCTGAATGTCACATTTCATCCACATTAGGAAAGTTATGCATGCTTACAAAAAACAGTCTAAGTATTTCACTAACCAATACCAACTTAGATTCCGCAGTCCACCGAGTAAAAAAGAACATGCACTTTGTAAAAGTTAATTTCTAATGCATATGCCGGTTGTTGCCGAAGATTTCACAAGAAAAAAAATAAAAGCAATACCAAAAAAAAAAAAAAAAGAGTTTAACGACAGCGGTTTTGATAAAGTGGCAAGCTCTTCTTTTAGCGTAAACCGAATTCAATTGTATAGACACTCATCTGCCGTTAATGTCAGATAACGCGGGAGCGATAGGAGGTTTAAGAACGCTGAAATAAGAACAAAATAAGAGCCGGAGAAGTCGTTGGTCCCGAACAATTCACGCCGCACACCTGGCGTTTCAATACCCGGCCGTTGGTGGGGTCGGTTGGGACCCCCGAAGGGTGCAGACGAGGGGAAACTGGGAAAGGTGGAGAGCTGCGTGTACGCTAAAATAAGCCCGCCTCCCTTTTTTTTTTTTTGGGGGGGGGGGGGGGGGGGGGGGGACTACAAAGTGGGGGTTTAAACCCACTTTTTTCCTGCGTTGTTTATGATTTATTTTCTAGAGAGAGAGAGAGAGAGAGAGAAGGAAAGAGAGAACTCTCTCCTTTATCTAGGGGAACCTTTTAACGCTCCCTTTAAACCATCGTCAGCCTAAAAGTTTGGTAGGAGGTAACCACTGGCGCAATCTCAACGCCTTGTCCAACATCGAGCGCAATGAAGAACCCGGCATTCCTCTTTGCTCCCACGCAGACGAAGCAGCGGACCAGCAGCAACGATGTGGTCCTCAAACTGAACCTGGACACCTCCCTGGACAACTTCGACCTCTTCCACAAGAGCGTGCTCCCTTACGAAGTGTCCAAGGTGTCACCGCAGCCATCTCCGAGGACGCCCGCAACAAAGACGTCTTCCACAGCCGTCGCCACAGACAAAGACATGAAGCGGGAAGACTGGCTGGCGCATTCCATCGAGCAAGTCTGTCGCAAGACGCTCTACAAGAACATCCAGTACCGGACCGTCAACATGTCTGAGTTCCAGGACAAAGAGATCGTCCGCGTCCAGAAGGACAAGCTGCCCGAGAAACCCAAGGACGACGTGGCGTCCGCACCCGCGCTACCTGCCAGGGCCTGCGTCACGACCACCCCGAACAATGCCAACGGCAAAAAGGGAAATGCGAAGACACCCGAGAACTCGAAGATCCCCCCCAAGACTCCGAAGACGAGCACTCCGAAGGAGTCCTTTATGAGGCGCTGCTGTCGACGGGGCAGTTCTTTCAGACTCCTGAAGTCGTCGGAGAAGAAGAACGTCCGCTTCGCGTCATCCGAAGACTTGACGCTAGAGGAACGGGACTCTCCAATGACCAACAGCCTTCCCAAGCCCGGGAAGTACGGGCAGCGGTCTTTTGACACCAGCGGCTCGTCGTCGAGGACCAAGGCGGAGGAGGCCTTGGAGAACATCTACGCTGCCGTCAGTCCCATCGTGCCGAGTGCCCTCCAAGACGTCTGTCAGAAGCTTCCCTTCGTTGACGACGATCCCAGGACACCAGTCAAGGGACGGGACACCGCAGAAAACGCCGAGGACTCGTGCGTCAGCCCGTCTGCCCTGCCCGAGAACAGCCCCCTGGGACACTACCTCCAGTGGATTGTTGAGCAGTAAGTTTCTTTTTGGGTCATATCTTAACGTTGTAGTTCTTAAGTTCTCGGCCAGTGTTTCTGATTGATGTACACAGAGAATTAACACTGTATATTTCATCTTTCAGGTCTGGTCTCAGTTCGGTGCCCAGCGTTCAGCAGTGGCTCAAGAACGTTCGTCTTTCCGTCGAAAACGAGTGTCTGAGTGCTCTTCAGAGCAAGTCCCTCACAAAAGACCCAGCCCTTGCTGCTGTTCTGGCCGTCGGAGACGCGCAAGGTATTGCCACTATGCTGACCATATAAATAACCTAAGTTAGAGGCGGAACTTTATAGCCACTTATCAGAAGTGATCCACAGATGGCTAAACTTAATTTGTATTTTCTTGCTCTTTCCAGAAGCCATAACGTCACTCCAGGACCGAGTCGACTCCATCATGGCGACGGTAGGACACGTGACTCGGAGACTAGAGCAGGGTCACTGGCTCAAGTTCTGCAGCAGCACTCCTGGTCTGAGCTCCGAAGTCAGCGACCTGCTGCGGGACTACAAGCCTATCATCCACGGGTCGTCACCATACTCCCGCAAGGTGGAGAGCCATCTCTACCGGATCCTGCAGAACCTCCGCGAGATCGGAGCTAGGCCTAACCGAAAGCCCGCCAGCGCTCACGAGTTCGAGTCCATCCAGTCTCTGATGTCGGACGTCAAGAACACCGTGCAGACTCTCAGCAACTCCCTGATTCTCAAGGACCTCGAAGTGAGTGTCTTTCCTAACTCCTCTATATTCTGAATCCTACAGCCTCTTTTCCAACTAAGATCCAAAATCGTTTGTAGACCAGAAACCTTTACTCATCTATGTTCCTTCCTGTTCCCACAGAAGATCGTCATCCTCATCAAAGAAAACAAGACAATGGGCTGCGCCCGTCGCGCTGTGGCAGCCCTCAGCGGCCTCGGCGAAACCGGTCCAGACATGTGCGACCTCATCACACGAGTCAGCGGGGTTACCGCTCTGCTCTCCATCGCCCAAGACCCGAGCCTGCTGCAACTAAAGTGTGCCGCCATCCGAGCCCTGACCATCATCTGCTGTCACTCCGGTGCCATCCGCCAGCTGGAGCAGTCCGGTGGCATCGAGTGCATCCAGAAGACGCTCGGCGACGCGGACTCCACGCAGCAGGAAAAGTGCGAGGCCGTCGGACTCTTGGCTCAGATCACGGCCCCGTGGGTAGACTGTTCCGGAGGCACGCTCCGACGGATGAGGGACAGCATGGACTCGCTCGTCATGTCCCTGACGGAGATGATCGAGGGCGCCAAGAGCGGAGACGTGTTCTTGCTGTCAGCCGCTGCTCTGGCCAACTTGTCCTTTCTGGACCGCCTTGCCCTGGAGTGCATCTACAAGCACAAGTCCATTCGGGCCGTCATGGTTGCTGCCAGGCAACGCGACCTTGCCGGCTCCATCTTCGCCAAAGATCAGGTACGTCAACGTTCGTTTAGCAGCACACTTAAGTTTCATATGAGGCACTAGGGTAGTCCGCATCAAGTCAGAATCGCAAGTAGCGTCCACTCTGCTAATGCAGCATGCAAAGTGCCATGTCACTTGTGCGATGTAGATGAACAATGTGACTGCGGCTGTAAGCGTTCTGAGTTACATAGTCTGTATAGTTTGTATTTATTTTTGAGCTCTGAATTCCGTTTAATGCAAACTCGTGCACGACAAAGATAGACAACTTACATGGCTGTTTCTTCCACAACAGGTTGCAACGATCTTGGCCAACGTGTCCGCCGGAAAGTACTGCCACGCCGACATCGTGGACACCGGGGCGCTCGTTCAGCTCATCTGCTACCTCCAAGTGCGTCCGTCCAGCCTATTCAGCACGGGGGAGACAGATGCGTGCGAACGGGTCCAACAGAAGTCGGCCATCGCACTTGCCCGCCTTTGCACCGACCCGAGCACAGCCGGCATGGTCTTGCAAATGCAAGGTACGCGTACATCCGATCACTTATCTCGTTGCAAGATTAGACGGAGTATCGATGATCTCTCCGGTTGTAAAGTCGCACCTCGAATTACTCGCTGACCGACCAGCTTTTGCAGTGGTATAGATACAGCCTCGCAAATATATACATCGCAAAGATTGCCGAGGTCACGAAACTCAGTTTCACATCAAGTCCAACCGTATGCCAACGCTACGATCTGTGAATAGTCATGGCGCTCATAGTCCTTATGCGTTTGCTTTCATTGGAAGTATAATCACGCATAGAAAAAAAAAAAAAGCGCGGGATCACAACGCAGTTATTATGCGTGGTCGGTGAAGCCGGCGATAAACGCTCAAGGATGAAACGCGCTATGACTATACACTTTCGTCACTGCCTGATTGGCTGCATCGCCTCGACCTAGCGTTGGCTGTCAGAATGCTAAAATACGTGCATAGTGACGGCTTGCGGTTCGGGACCCCGCACACGTGATCCCTTTTTTGCATGCGAGCCAATTTTTAAGCATCGAATAGTAGACGGAGTTATAGGTCCTACCAAGTGTTCTCAACATGCAGCAGTGACTAATCATTTTTTTTTTCTATTACAATTGTAGGAGTGCACCGACTGGTTCGACTGTGCAAGGATCCCAAAGAACGGAACAACAGCAACTCCGTCCTGGTGGCCTGCCTGGCGGCGCTGCGCAAAATCGCGTCGTCGTCCGGCAACAAGGGACTGCAAGATCTCGGAGCGTCTGAACTGGTGAAGAACGAGCTGTGGGACTCGTTTCAGCAGTACTCCAACAAGCACGAGAGCTACGTGTGATCGTGTGCAAAAAACTGAACCGCTCTTCCAAGATCAAACAGATGATGTCGCGCTGTGAGGTCATCTTACGGACGCCGTCGCGGTGCTTTTCGGCGGCGGGACAACTCGTGCGCGTGCCCAGCTGTGCAAAAACTGCTGCGTCGCGTCATGTTGAACATTGGTTGTAAGAAGACGTTTGACCGTGTAGCCCCTACCGATTTCTGAATTCGGTCACGACGGCCGAAGAGTCAAGGTCGCACGATGAAGTGAAGGAGAGCTCAGAGTCAAAGTTGTCCACACCCTGTCGCGTTCAGACTATATCGGTGACTGTGTTGGTGCTAGAGACCACAATCAAAACTATTTTTTTGTATAACCAGACTGTTTTTTTTTTCTAAGTCAGGAAGTATACGCTCATTTAACATTGTTTCGGATAGTCAGTTCGTAATAGTCATAACATGATAGTCAACTTCGGAAAATTACTTTATAAACGATAAATTTAGAAAACAACAACAACGTTCTTTATCGAACTTTACGTTCGGGAGAGATGGATGAGTTGACTAGTTTAGGAAACGAAAAAAAAAAAAAAAACAGTTTGAAATGAAGCAACAACAACGGTAGTACAGTAGAAATGTCTTTCACGTCAATGTTTTTAAACGATTCTAGTCGTACGATTCTAGTTCCAAAGATGTATATAGTTGTATATAAAAATTAGAGTTATATATATATATAAATATATATATGTATAGAGTCACTGTAATATATGCAACACCGCCCATTCAATCAATGCCATCCAGCACATATATATTACGCTTTATTTTCTTTACGTCTTGTTCTTTGTGCATGGCTTTACTGCTGCTTTGAACTAAAAGGCTTCGAATACAGCTAGTGCTTGTGACCAAAGATTAACCCCGCGCTGCGCATTTAATTTTAGTCGTGTTTGTCCCAGTGCTCTTACTAACCGGTTATTTTGTCGTCCACCGCAATAAACTGCTTGGAAATAAATTGTCTGCGCTGCTTTTTTCCGTAGTATACATTAGTTGACATAGGGCGAGTTTTAATTTAGCCAAAAAAGCCTCAATCAAATATCCGACATTTACGTTGAAGAACAAGCAATTTTCTTAACCTTATTTCACTTAAAAAAAGAAGAAGAAAAGAACTCGCAAAAAAGCGTGAATTGGCTTGCATGTTTCTTGAAACGCGAACCAAACTATTCCTGCAAAAAGTCCGCGTCGCAGAAAAAATAGAAGGTTGATGTCGTATTTGCTTTTTTCAAATACATTAGTAGTGCTGGGTATTAGGGAGCCTTCATGTGCGCTTTGCTAGGGTGATGCCACCCTTTGTAATACCACTCGCCGACAAACCAGCAGCCATTTTGTTCCTCGGCGATAATCCGTGGGGCTTATAACCCTCCTGGAAACAAGCACCTTATCTCAGAAGTTCGGAGCAGCGTTGTGGAACCCACGGAGGGAGAATTAGCATTTTCCCCCTCGGATGGGATTACCGATGGACACAAAGGCCACTTTCCGGCGCACGGGGAAACAATGAGAGGAACACAATGGCGGTGGAAGAGGGTGTGGGAAAGGGAAACAGGCAGTTGGCATCACTCTATGCGAAGCGCACATGAAGGCACTCTACTCGGTATAATTAAGCTAAGAACTTTCCGGTAATAAACATTTTAATTATTACAATTAAAGGAAAGGTCTCACAAATAAATTCGCTGAGCATCATCGAAAACTACGATGTTCACCCACGTTATAGAGATGTAAGACAGGAGCAGCATTGCTGCGCATTTTGAGTGACATTGTAAGGACAAGCTTTGGGTCTTGGGTTTACTTCCGCCAGCCAGCCGAAGAAGAATAGGAGTCGCAGATTGCGATATCACTGGACTCCAAATAGTTTGGGCAGCTGTGTACTTCGTTTCACCGTAGTTTAGCAAAGGGCGAACGCTACGGCCCTTAGAACCAATCAGAGCCACGGAGGCGAAGCACGTGACAGGCCTTGTTAAAGGTACAGGGGCGAGAGCATAAAGGGACCATGAAGTTAATTTTATGCTGGGATAAATGATTTTAGATTGTGATTTTACTAATAGCACATCGTTTCGTGGGCCAAAAAAACAAAAACAAAACAAGAAAGACTGTATATACGAGGCTAGAAAGCCTGGTGTACTAGTTATATTCGCACGGCGGCGGGCCACGCGAAAGAAAGGGGGGGGGGGGGGGGGGGGCGCTGATTTTAGTGACGTCGCCATGGGAGCTTGCTTTTCCAATTCAAATTTCTAACGCTTTTCGGAATTAAATAAAAAAAAAAGAAAATGAGAGCTCATCATCTTACGAATAAATTGTCTCTAAAAAAAAAGAAAAAAAAAAACTATTTCCGGTTACGAATTTAAAGCCGTTGAAAGCAGATGGGCCAAAATGAAATGGAATGGAAGATAGACAACAAATTTTCAACTTCAATTTTTTTTTATTTGATGCTTTCAAACCTAAACAGTTTGCAAGCACCGTACGCGTGCTCCCGCTAGTTAACTGAAAAGGAAAAAGTATATGAATTCACCCTTTTTTATACTGTTCCCTTGCAAACAAAACCGGACAAATTAAAAAAAAAATAAAAAAAAACAACAACGCTCGATTGTCAAAAAGTTTAAAAACACGGCAGAAGCTTGGAGTCACCGCATCCCTTGCCCAAGCACTTCACGACCACGTGATTTATCACTTTGCTTTTGAATGGAAGAGGAAGTTAAAAATCATTTCAAGGTCCCTTCAAAGAGATGCTGAACCGAAATTTTGATTTCGACAAATAAGGCCCCAGAAGCGTTGAACAAGACGCTTTCGAACTCCAAAACTTCACTCACACGTCCATATCTCAAACGGATGGCCGTATTTCTGGAAAAGAAAGGCGCGACCAATTGAGAACTATGACGTCACGATCCTTCTGGAACAGTTGTTCCAGGAGGATCGTTCAGCAGCTCGAGGTTGCTCGAGGGCACGAAGCGACGAGAAGGAGGAGAAGATAAATTTTATTTATTGCGCCCAGAAACAGCGGAAGCCTAAGCACTGGTTAGTAGTAAACAAGAACACAAATAATAAATAATAAGGAAGTTAAGACATGCAGACAAGGAGGTTAGAAGTACTAGGAGGGGGCACGTTGCAATATTGGTGAAGCCTAGTCATAAAAAGTTTAAACGATTTTGTGCCCAGCGTGGCCGCAGATCTCTCTGGCGATTGGTGCGCGTGACATGTCACGTGCGAGATGGATGGTTGATTGTAGAAGGACTCCTTGCAGGCTTTCGCGCGCTCCGTCCGGTAGGTTTTATCAGATCGAAGTCTAGAGTGTGGTGTATTCTAGTAACCCATAGCAAGACGAAGGATAGCTACGGTCACGTGATGTGGTCACGTTGGCATTGTAAGTGAGGAGAGTAAGGAGGAAAATGAGAAAGAGGCGAGGCGTCAAGGGAGCATGGCTTGTGGAGGCTACGCGGCCGACGTCATGCCCTCTCCTACCCTTCTATTCTCCATGCATGCAGACAACTAAATAGAACAAAGTACTCAGCAGTAACTACGTATATACGTAGTCACTGCTACGTATATCTGAGTGATCGTAACGTCCCATGTCTCGTCAGCCGTTCTCAATCGCGCATTTCTTAAAAAAAAAAAAGAAAAACGGGCTATCTGTTTAAAATAACCTGTAAAAGTTTTTTTTTTTTTTTTTTGGTTTTTTGGGGGGGGGGGGGGGGGCAGGTTTGAAGCCGCTTTGGAAGCTGCGAGTTTCGGTTCGGTATCCCTTAAACCCCAAGCAGTCGGAGATGAGGGGAAGGCGGAACCCTTGTTTGTGCGTCCCAGACCTCCCTTTTTAGATTAGCCCATCGCTCAAAAGTCGTACACAAGCGGCTTCCCTCTCTCTCCCGCCCGTGGCTTTGACAGTGCTGCGTGCCACTACTGTGCTCAGGGATCGCAGTTAAAGAGGTCCGGCACCCCGCGGAGCGTTATTAATTACCTCCTTTATGCAGCGAATTAAGATATATGTAGGTGCATTTTTGATTAGCTACAACGGGTGTCTCCAATAGCCCAGGCTCTTTAAATCGACAGCAAAAATCAGTTTCTCAACCTATCGCGTTACGATTTTGTGCAGCGCTGCCCACAGGTGGTGCATTTTTTTCTATAAAATTTGCAAAGATTGAACTTACCTGAGGAAAAAGTAAAAGAAAAGAAAAAGGCTTAACTCCTATGAAAATGGAGCGAAGCCACCGGTCTTCATAGGAGTTAAGCATTTTTTTTTTTAGTTTCCTTTTTTACTGTTTCTTGCGCACCTGGAGCGTTTGTTTACCCCCCGAACGCGTCCACGTGCTCTTGTTTACCCCGGCCTCGACCAATGACGGCGTGCGCTTGGCTGCCTAGTCATCGCGCGTTCCCTATGCTACCCTCTGCCCCTCCTTACGTTCCGATGCGCCAGATTCACTTCGGAACACCTGTCAAGGTTCCTAGACGGGCATTACAAACGAGGCTTTACCGACATCCACCAGGTGCTCTTTGATAGGCATTTAATTCGTTTTAAAATTCCCTTTTGTGGCTTTTTTTTTTTTTAACAATATATGATACTGCTTCTTTGAACACGAACAGAACAATAAATAAGCGCCGAAAGTTTGTTGTACTATCCCTTTAAAAGCCCAAAGTTTGCGGAGCGCCACGATTAGACTTCGGCGCCACGGGCGCAGTGTCGTCGTTGCGAGTCCAGCCGACGAGTGCTCCGTAAACTTTGGCCCCGACCTTGTGTATGACGAGCCTAGGACCCCTGTACTTGAAATAAACCGCAAATCGGCATTTTTTTTTACGCGCGCGATTTGTTTAGTGGGTGACAGCAAACTCACAAAGACAACAAGCGCCGTGACGTTGCATTTTTCCCGCTGCCTGATTGGCTCCAAAGAATCGTAGCGTGGCCTGCGGTCGAACTTAATAGCGAGACGGATTATATCGATGCTTCACAAGATGCGAGCGAGTTTGCCCACTACCATCATATGAAACAAACAAACAAACACATGTGAGGCTTAGAACGTGCAGTCTTTTAGGAGCCCGGGAGCTACCCTAAATTCCTCTATAGTGGCATTCCACACAACAACTTAGCAAAGAGCCTAGACGTATGTTTCCTAAATTTAGTGTCACACGCCTTTGCATTACGCTTGTGTTACCTTCTAAGGAACACATTTTTCTTCTGGAACCGTAGCCCCAAGCAGATTCCGTAGGGGTGTGAAAAGAGTGGTGGTGGTTCGGATCGAATACTAGTGCAGCTTCACCCACCGCTCCGACGCTGTACGGAAAGCCGACATACGGTGGGCCCCTGGTACTGTGAAGGCCATGAACGACGCGGCATTTGCAGGTTATGTCCACCTGGGCCCGTGAGAACTTCCGACACAACCGAGACGAGCCGATCCGTTGCTTTGGTAATGAATAAGTTATAGCCTCTTTATTGAGCAGCCTCGTTCACCGGAACTGGTTGACCAGCTTATGGACCTTGCAGTCGCTCCTCAGCTGAACGAAATTGACGAGCACACTTCTGTCTAGACTTGCCTGAAACAAAAAACAAAACAAGAGTGAGCAACTCTAGGATAAAAGAAGCTTGGATCGCTCGCAAATATTCCCAGAGATAACAGTCACAGGTCACAGTCAGCCTGCATGACTATGAAAGTGTCTGCAGCAGCATTGGTGGTGCCAGATCTAACAAATATCACTTCATGGAAAGTTTGTTCCAGTTACACACCTCTAAATGCTCGACAAATACCAAAATAATAGGAACTTACGTTGTTATTTGCATTAAGAACATTAATTTTCTAGACTCCATATAATAAGGGGTGCTTTCTAAACTTTAAAATTTGCTAGAAAAACAAAAAAAAGGCCGTGAAGGCTACACTAGCGCAATCTGTGCAGGTGAGTTATACGGCCAGGGAGACATAAAGGGCTAATCGTCACGATGAGTGGAATTACCTAGAATCTGTTCAGCAATTTTTTTAATTATCGTAATATCCCGAGAAATGCCCTACCCCCGAAAGAAACGTAACACATCCCCTATTCTTGGCATGATTTGCTATTTCTTTTTAAACATTGAAAGAAAGCCCACTTCTAGTAATTGCAGGGTCCTGGCCAATGATGACTTCAGCAGAAATGGTGTTACTCAGCCACGACCGGACATAAGCAAACACTGCTGACTGGGAAGGTTTGTTCATCGGTGCGATGAACGAAAGACAACTGACCTTCCATTTTAGGTGGGTTGTCTCCCCGGATATTACGGTAGTCAAAAATGAACATATGGTTTCAATAGAAACTTGCTAAGCTTCATCAAAAACCAGTAGCTCAGTAAAATTTAAAATGATTTAAAGCGTATGGAAAGCACGGTAGTGCGCTAAAGTCGCCGCTTGTGCAAAAGGTGCAAAGCTGGCAGTGTGGAAACGCATATGATAAGAGATAGAAAAAATCATGAGCTATTCCACTCTGAGAAGGTGGATGACCGGCGAAGCTGTTTAACACACGACACAGACCCGCCCCGAGGAGACGGAGGAAACTAGACACGCGCGACGGGACCGCCACCCCGGGAGAGCGGAAGGAAAGGAAGTTAGGCTCGCAAGCGCTTGGAACGACGACAAAGAGAGGGCAATGCGAGCGTAGACATGGCCTACGCGGGTCGCACAGCGGCAAATCTTTGATAAACAGTTATTATCTACCTGAGAGTCTACTGATCTTGGAAATGGTGTCTATTGATAACTAACCTATTGAATAAGACTATTGCTAAATTACGAAGCATCAAGGGAAATGCAGAGAATCGTGTTCCACGTGCCGGCGTCTGCAGCAGTAACTATTCTTAATCAAAAGCCTAAAACAAATGGCCTCTTGCAAGTGCGTTGGTCAACGCTTTATTTTGGTTCTTTACTTCAAACTTTTTATACCGGGAAGGCATGCGCGTGCGGCGGTGCGAGCGTAAAGTTTTTAGTCACCATACACAAAAAATCCACCGAACCCTAGCCATAAACAGCTTCGCTGTAAAAAATGCACGGGTGTGTTTTCACGTTCGGAGCCTAGTGCCCATTGCATGAATGGCAACTTTAGTGCACCACCACACTTCCCACGCACTCCGAGTCTTTCTAAAATGATTTAGTGGTTTTCGATGATGCTCAGCAAGCTGGTAATTGGAACGATTTGTGTATCTTCACTCATTAAAAAGTTAATTAACAAATTATGGTTAATTAACTGACTTATCCTGACGACCAACACCCTATATTATGCCCCCTGGCCGTATAACTCACCTGCACAGACCACATTCGTGTAGCTTTGATGGCTTTTTTAAAAACATTGTGTAAAGCCTAAAGGCTCATAGGCACATTCGCGTTTGAGCGCGGTGCGTTCCGTAGCGGCAAGCGGACGCGTTGCGTTGCGAAGACCGCTTGCGCCAAACTTGTACGCACAGTTGCGTTGACACGCAGTCAACCGCAGTCAAGAGCCAATAAGAACGCGCTATCGTCGCTAGTGGCTCACCAATAGTAAGCGAAATCCAAGGCAACATGGCGGCGCACGACGACAGCGTCGAAGCGTTCGATCTTGGGACAATCTCGCCGGCTTCCCCGACGTTTTGTAAAGCTTGAACCATCGCAGCCTTGGAAAATACAGTCTTCAGCGCTCCCCAAAACGAGAAAGCAAGCACTGCGACCGGCGAACCGGATACGTCTCGCCGAGTCGGCTGGGTGGGGCGAGCGAACACGTCAGCCCTCTCCTCTTTCAGCTTCTGATTGGTCGAACGCGCCCGAACGCACCGCAACGCTTCGGAAAGTTGAACGAGTCTCTACTCGCTTGCGTCGCGCTACCGAGCGTTGCGGGAAGGCGCGCGTCGGTCCGCAAGCGACCGCGCCTGGCCGCAAGGACTCCGCAACGCACTCAAACGCGTTCAAACGCGAATGTGCGTATGGCCCTTAAGACAGAAAAGAAAAAAAAAACACCCTCTATACATTTTTTTTTATGCACCACCGCTAGTCTTTTGCATTTTACACACTCTTGATTTCACATGATTGAGCAATGCCCATGAGGACAGATACCTATCAGGTACTATCTTCAGTCAGACAAATATCAATTTGTTACGCCAAATTCTGTTAAAAAAAATCTAAAAAGAAGGTAACACCTGGACACTCTTCCGGTTCCACGGTTTGAGAGTTTTTCGGCATGATGCTGCGTGGGCATGGCACGATGTGGCGAAGACATTCCTTCGGGTGACGACACTAGATCCTGTGGGCTCCACTGAGCTACGGTAGCCTCGATTCAGCTCCTGAGACATAGTTCATCTGTCTATCGTGGCTTATCCTTCGCCTCCAAGGTAGTACAAAGAAGCTTCTCCCCTCTCCTTTCTGCTTGAACCTTTCCTCTCTTTGAGTTTCCTACTAACTTAATCATGGGACCGTCTCCAACAGGGGGGCACCGGTTCTTCGAAAAGTGGTGGATTACGACAAACTTCAACGTCACGTAAAATGTCGTTCGGTTGGGAGTTCAAGTGTCTGCATTGTTTTGTTAGAAACAATTTTGTTAGAAAGCCCTTTAAGCGGACAATGCCGCGCCGTCGCGAGCCGAGCGACGGTGCCTGCGTACCAGTTGGTCGTCCCGGCAAACGTCCTTGAGATTTTCCGGCGCCACCACGAGCAAGTTGCAGAGGGCGTGCAGCACGTCAAACATCTTGTCCAGGGCCGGGATCTTGAACTGCTTGGCACACTTGCGGTACTCGTTGTGGTCGCAGATCAGGATCATGCCACCTGCGCGAGAATGGAACCACCTCAGCCACGCGGGGTTTAAGTCAAGTACAGTAAAACCTCGTTAATTCAACCCCCGCTAATTCGGAAATTCGGATAATTTGAACTGCCGATCCGGTCCCGTCAAACGTATGTATTAGTCAGGGGCAGCAAACGCTCATTAATTCGGAGGGAACGCGGCGCACTATAGTTAATTCGGACGAATTCGGCAGGTGGCGCTAGCTACCGTCTGTTCCAAAAGGCATGACCGCTATCCATCTGAAGTGCACACATGGTTTTTCCGGTTTTCCCATGGTTTTTCGCTCTTCCGGTTCTCCGTGTTTCGCACCAGTTTTGCTCTTGATCGCCGTGCTTCAGCGCGTTACTCTCCTGGCACGGAAGTGGCAGAAGCATTGCTGCAACGGAAAAAGGGTAGCACAAGTGACCGACGACCGGAATGGCAAAATCGCGACACGCAGGGCTATTGTTCCCGAGCGTGCCAATAGCGAGAGTGACAGTCACGTTTTATGCCTCAACGCAGGGATCCTAAAGCCCGCCATTTTAACAACTATCCTATAGGAAGTATTCACTGGCGGCCATATCCGTGTGCGCTGCTGCTGAGCGCATGCTGACGGCGAGCTTCCGCAGTCCTTTTGGAGCGTGCATTTAGCACCATCAAGGTTGCCGGTCTTAGCAGGCTATTAATGCGAGCTTGTTCTGAGCATGCGCTCTAAACATCGCCCTCAAATATGGCGTCCAGCGAATACCTCCTATCCCTCAATTTTTCGCCGGCCACCCCCGCATTGAAAAATGCAACGTGACTGGCATTCTCGCTATCGGCACTTGGGAAAAATAGCGCCGGGTGTCGCGATTTCGCCGCTCCGATTACTGGTCAGTTGTGCTACTCGTCTTCCGTTGCAGCTGTACTAGGCTAAGAATTTAGCGACGAAAGTGGAAATACTGAGGGCCTTGAAGGGAGGCGTCTCTCGACAAGTGATGGAAAGTTGCGACGTCAAGAGAAGCACTTTGGCCACGTACGTAAAAATTGTGGCCGATATCCTACGGGCTTTCGAGAGCGAGAAGTTCAACGCGAAAAGAAAGCGGCCTTGGAAAGTGGTGCACTCGAAACTAGAAGAGGCCTTGCTGTGCTACATTGTCAGCGCACGGGATGCGTAGCTTTGACAGTGCGAGTGCGGTGAAGCACTCGACCGCGTTAAGAAAAGTTGCTGTCTCCACCCAAGTGTCGTCCAGAAAGCAGGCGGTAATAACAGATTTCTTCTCAAAATAAAGGTATGTCACAGGAAAACGTTTTCGGGCAGCTTTCTTTGTCCTTTCGATATTTCGACTTTCGGATAATTCGGACATTTTTGCCGGTCCCACGAGATCTGAATTAACGAGGTTTTACTGTAGATGGTTAGAACACTCTTTCCAAGCACCAATACACCCGAGAACTCTTTCACGAAGTTGTCTGCACACATTTTCTGAACTAGACCGAAGGTTTTGTACTGAAGGTTTGCACCGAAGGTTTTGCACCAAAGATTTCGCAGTATTTGCTAGATCAAATATAGCTCGTGGTGAAAACACATTGCATAAGAAAATAGCAAATATACTAAGCAGACTGGAGGTGAGCCAGGGCTGCTTGATAGAGGGTGCGAATGTGTTACCTTGTTGTATACAATCACGAGTCGCTGGAAGGCGGTCGGCCCAACTCAAACCAAAATGATATGATGGTTGCCGTGACAAAGGTTGCTTTAAAGGGATACAAAACCAAAATTTGAATTTCGCAAAATAAGGATGCAGAAACATTGAAATATTTCCGTGGTTCAGACGAATGGTCGCATTTTTTAAAGAGAAGGGCGTGATCAAGTGAGGACGACGACGTCACAATTTTTCCGGAACAGCTGAGAAGAGGGAAAGTGGCCTTGCACCTCTCCTCCTCGCTTCGGTTCACCAGCTTGACAGGATGAAGCAAGGAGTAAAGGGAATGAGAATCGTGACGTCACGTGTCTCGTCGGCCGCGTTCAATCGCGCATTTCTTATCCAAAAATACGGCCACCCGTTAAAGATATCGCTGTATGAGTGGCGTTTTTGGGTTTTGCAGCCAGCTCCAGCCTTGTTTTGTGAGCTCCAAATTTCGGTTCAGTATAACTTCAACTGTCAATGGTGGCTGCCTGTTGTGTTTCAGCGTGCTATCAACCTTGCGCTCTGGCTGGATTAGATGGCGACATGCTAGAACATGGCTTTTTCCCTCTGAGCCGTCTCACACAAAACATATGTGCAAAAAAACAAAAACAAAAAAAAAAGCGCAAGGTTGTGTTGTTATGAAAAGAGGCATTCGCAACTTATTGTGCCACTTTGTAGGAACTAAATGATTGGGGGTCGGGTTTGCCATCTTTCAACTGTACTCTTGAACACGAACGCTGTTAGAGCTAGGAATTCTGTGTCACACACAAAAACAAGCTCCAAGACTATAGAAACTTGCCCAAGCACGAAGTTACGCTCCCAAATTTAAGTGTGAAATGCACGGAAAGTGGCAGCTAATATTTCCAGACTCCTAAAGACAATCATTTTTTCTCTCCGAGATTTGGTGTCTTTCCTAACACCGGACTAAAGGAGTAATGAGGTATGTCTTTTCGCATTACTACATTTCAAAGTCATCATACTTTTTCATGAACATGCATTTTACTGGTCCAATTATCACAATAAAATTGCATACATCAACTCTGCATCCAAACCAAAAAAGAAATAACTGCTATATTACCTACAATGCAGCTGACATGTGATGGCAGATAGATTCACTCACCCACGGTGCTATACTGGAAGGTTTGGATGTGCTCGTAGATCGTCCGGTGGAACCGCATTCCGAGTTCCAGCAGCACGGCGTCCACGTTGGTCCCGTCCAGGGAATCGCGGATCTTGTCGATGCACTTTGTCAGGTACTTGACGACTTTAAGAGCCACCTGCCAATAACGATGTTAAAACGACGGTGCAATTGGGGAGAGCTTTAGACAAGTTTACCTTGGTGGTCTCTATGACGTCCTCCACTTCCGGCTTGAAATCCGTCTTTTTCTGCTCGGCCAGCAGCAAGCCTCGGACCCAGCCGATCACGGCCGCCAGTGACCGATCCAGCCCGGTGTCCATTTTAATCTCCATCTGCTCCGTCAGGTCTCGCTTCTTCTGCAGGCACAGGCTGTGCTCTGGTGTTGACCTGGGTCGGTGCACGTAACGCGCGACGACGCCCGAGGAAAGAAAAATTTACAGTCTGGCTGGGTCGGTACAAAAAGTCGAGCAAAGTTGAAACCGAACAAAGAAAATGCAGAATCAGTGCCTGCTCTTGAAACTTCTGTCATCACTTCTCACTCGACACAGATGGAATTCTCGCAAGCAGTGATACTATAATGTTGGGTACAGAAGTCGCCATTATCAGAAGACGAGAAAACCGTTTCAAAGACGTGTGGAATCTAACAGCTTGCAAGGTAAACAAAGTGAACCTGTAACTATATGTAGTAAAAAATAGTCCCCAAGTATCAGTTTCTAAAAAAATAATAAGCCTTTAAAGAAAAGAAAAGAAATGTGTTCGATCTGTTTGTGCTTGACAGAGGTCAAGATGACTAGGCCTTGGCCAAGACATCTTGACTTTGCATGCGCTTGTGTACCTCGCACTGTCAATATTACATTTTGTTCGGGACAAAGGCGAAAGACCTTATTTTCTAGTGGATTCCTAAACAACAGCTTCGTATTCCAATGTTTGAACCTGTCACGAGACCTCTGCAAGACCTCAAACAAAGTCGTGCAAAACTGCGCAGTGAACAAAAAAGTGTAACACACGGTCGATCTTGGCAGAGTGATGCCATTTGACGTTTATCTGCCCTCAGTCCCAAGTTTCGAAGAACTACAAACGAACGTCCTGGGAGAGCACGGAAGCTTCAGAGAGTCCCAACAATTCACTGAACCCCTTCGCTACGCACGCATGCCGGGCACTGCTCCGAAAGACTCACAGAAGTAGAGGAGCTACGCTGTTGTTGAACTGCTTCTCGAGGAGCTGGAAGATGGAGTTGCACTGTCGCACCGTGTCAAAGAAATAGATCTCCGGCTCCGCCTTGGGATCCGACACGGGAATGGCTGCAGTCGGCCAAAAGAGAAAACACGGGATTTCAGCGTGCAGGAACTGGTTTCGCAACAAAAATAACCCCAGTCCTCAATCTGGGTTCCTAGGCATTCAAGAATTCCCCAGATTTCCCCCAGGGGTTCCTGGGATGCTGAAGACCTCCCGGATGTCCCTAGCCCCAAGTTCCCCGTTTTCAATGGCGCATCTGTGCTACAAATCGATACGCATGGTAACCGTGAGCTAAACACCCCTTAGTGTCCGCATTGTAGTTAGAGTTCTGTGTTTCTGGTAGATACCAACAAACCCCGATCTGGCTTTACCAAAATCGGGGGAAATCAAAAAAATTCTTAGGCAGTCCTAGAATGAAAAAAAAAAAAAAAAAAAGAAACACAAAAAAACTTAAGTTTCACGGAAAGAAATTGCGATCTACAGCTCTATTTTGCATTGACCCGAAGCTGCCCCTTTCTTTGGGCACCAAGCCCCTTAACTCGTTTGACGTATTCTGTTCGGGTTCGGTCGTGGCCTGTCGCCCGACAATTGGGGAATGTCATGCCTGTGTCCTGTTCTCTTCGACTTAAGCCCCAATAAAAAAAAATCTTTTTGTCCAAGACCAAAAATTGACGCCAGAAAACACAAAATTGGTGGGAAGAAATAGACGCAGAAAGAAACACACACAATTTGAAAAGGAAGCGCACCCGAAAACGCAGACCCCTACTTATGAAAGGTGTCTCCCCCCAAAATTTACGGGGATTTCTTCGTCACAAAAATAAACTATGCGTCGCCGAACGCTCCTTCTCCATTCAAATGTAGTGCCAGCGGTCTCAACCAGATGCCAAAGCTCCAACACCAACCGTTATCTTACTAAAATGTTATAAGCGATTTTCTGAAATTTTTAATAGGAAAATAACAGCCGACAGAGCTCCCAAGTATACGGAGCTCTAAAGTGCCAAGTATCAAAAAAAAAAAAAAAATTGGCCTTTTTTTTTTATTGAAATTTTTGAACGAGGTAATGGTTAGTGCTGAAACTTTGGCATCCGATTCCGACCATTTGGCATCTGAAAATACCACATTTTGGCCGGAAAATGAGCGTTCAACAATGCATAATTTATTTTTTGTAATAAATTTTTTTTTTTTGCAATGCATTGTTGAGTTAGTGATGTCTGCAAGCTGCTTTACTACAAAAATGCCAAAAGAGAGAGAGGGTTCCTCAGCTGTGTTTCAAGGCAGGTAAGTGCTCCTCAAGGTCGACCAGTTTATGACTCTTGCTGCATTGCTTGGAAATGAGCAACAATGTCCTTTTATCATTCCTTTTATGCATCTTTTTTTTTCTTTTTTCTTTTTTTTTCTCTATTGAGAACACAGAGTTCTTAGGAAAATGGTCTCACCTCTTAGTCCAATCTCGAGTGCATAGTGCATGTGCTCGATGCACAGGCTATTGAGAAGAATCTCGAAGAGCTGGGCCACGCTTTTTGGAAGCTCAGTTGGCTTGGATAGCTGCAAACGCAAGACAGTGTTGGTTTTCCAACCCCTTTCCCGTTTACCTTTCGGAGTATGCATTACAGCAGTGAGGGACGTTAAGCAGTACCACCATGGTGAGGCAGCAGAAGAGATACAAGAGAAGAGAACCAGTAATTGCAGCGGTAACAGCGCAACATATATTGCGGGGCGGTTTAATGCACCACGATAGAGTAACAGAGGAAAAGTGAATTTGAACGGCATAAAATAAGAAATACACAGCACGCTGTAAAGGTATAGCAGTAAGAAACAAGCACGCAAACATAGTGGGTAGAACGCACACTGCTAAGAACAGCATAATACTAATAAAAGCTTAATTCCAAAACAAGGAGATGCAACAAGTGTCGACAAACAACAAAAATATGAAAACTCAAGAACACCGTCAAAGGGAATGGGAAAAATGAGCAGTCCTATACGTTAATTTGCCGTAGTCACAGCGAGACATTTAGGAGCACGGATAAAGTGTCGAAAAAAGCTGTGCCTACACACCAGCTGACACCTCTGGAAGGCCAGCTTGCTTTCCTGGAGGAGGTTGATGGCCACTTCCTCGGACAGGAACGTCTCTCCGCCAAAGTTCTCCACCGTCGGCGCAATGTTAATATTGGAGCGGCCTCCTAGCCTTGCCTGAAGGTCACGCCTCAGGTCGTTGATCCTGGAGAGAGGAAAACAATTTTAGGGGCGACGAGGTCGAAAGGTCTTCCGAGACAGACCCATGTTTAAAATATGTACAACTCGGCAACGTTGAAAATTCAAGGAGGAGCAGTCTTGAAGAAACAGATGTTATGGGACCATTGTACAGCACAGAAACCATGCCTTACATAATCCAAATACATCTGAAATTGAATTCGATTTATGCTAACAGGCACATTGGACTAAGGATTCTTGCTACCTAAGCAAGGATGTTAACCCTCTTGGGACCAGCCGTAGATTCCTAGGATGTCAATGACATCATCTGTAGTTGGTCACAGGTTAAGAGCCTAGTACAGGGGTGGCCAGGCTGACCAGGCCTAAAAGCCGCAAACGAAACCACGAAACTTCTAAGAACCACGGGGGGGGGCAAGTTTAAATTTTGTTCAGAGTCTGACTGTACGTATGAGTTCACAAGGCTGTACGGCAGTACGTATGGAGGTACAAGGCTGCCAAACCGCGAGCCGTACTTCATTCTGCCTGAAATCCCTTCTTTTTTTTTCTAGGGAAATGCGGGAAAGGGGGTCTCCTTGCGAGAGATCCGCGAGCCGCACTTGGACCAGCAAAGAGCCGCATGCGGCTCGCGAGCCGCGGTTTGGCCACCCCTGGCCTAGTAGGTGCTCCACCTTGTGTACTACGAGCTTTCTGCCTTTGATGAGACTTCGTCACATGGCAGCCAAAGCCCGGCAGAAGGTGACACACCTACCGTTATTTGCTTACGAGCGTGAAAAATAAAATCTCATATTATCCGGGTTACACGAAAACCAACTTTCAAACTGTGTTAACGAAGTGTTGGTCCTTCACTTGTTGAAAACAGGACCATCCACGGGTTGCCGACATGCAGGAACCTTGCCGGCATGTGAGGCGGACTCACCCGCCGAACTGGAACTGGCGCTTGTGGTGGTTGCGCGAGTCGTAGTAGCGGTTTAGCACGCTTGTGCACTTGTCCTTGAGGTAGTGGGTCTCGATGGACAGGTACGGATCCAGGTGTTTGGAGAAGATCTGCCGAGTCAGCTTCTTGAGGAAGGCCGGGTCGCTGCCCATCCTGAATTTGGACAGGTCTGCAGACAGCTGCATCGTCCTGCAGAGTGTGTTTTTCTGATGTGGTGCCGAGGTCCCCGATGTGGTGCCGAGGTTACCGTTGTGACACCGATGTTGTACCGACATAGCACCCATACTGTTCCAACACAAGACCATTATAACATTATATATACATTGGTTACGAATGTCAGTCCCATCTTGGACAGGTATGCGGCCAACGTTACCTGCGTTTTGTTGATGTGGTACCAATACGAGACAATTGTAATGCCGATGTTGCGCTGACATTTCAACGATGCGGTACCAAGCATACCAATGATGTGGCACCATCTTGCCAATATGATGCAAACATAAGGCCACTGTAATGGTATAAATGTCTGTTGTCTATGTTCTGCCAACATTTTAGAAATGTGATGCCAATGCTGTGCTGATGTGCTGCCAACACAAGACCACCGTAATGGTGTACATACCAGTTACTGACACCGTGCCAATGTGAGGTTGATGCCATGCCACATACGTGCTACCAGTGACGCTAGCAAGTGTGGATCACATTTCAATATGTGCAACCAACTAGTACACCAGTTAATTTTGACTTGGTTACATTGTGACAAATATTTTGGCATCGTCATACCAACCTTTGTTCACTGCGGTGTCAAAACGCCGACACTGAAATGTTGATTACAGAGTTACCTCTCAGTTAGAAATGCAGCCTTACAAACTTAAAGGGACACTGCAATAAAAAATATACTGTAAACGACTTAATTTTCGCGGGCTCAAATTTTCACGAATTGGGCCAAAGATGAAAATTTTAAATTATTCGCAGGTTCTAATTTTCGCGAATCAAGTGTAGCTTCTGTAGCATTGACATACTGCCCGAATCGTTTGCGGGACATATTTTTCGCAAATTGTAGGCAATATGCGAAAATTAGGTTCTAGCAAAAATTTGGTCGTTTACACTAATTTTTTTCTAAAAAGCCTAAATGGGACACATATTTAAAAAAAATTTCCCCACATTTCAGTTTTTAGCAATATTTACATTGTTTGATGCACTTTAGGTGGAAAACAGGGAGGCTGCAGCCTGCTAAGCCCCGCCCCATGCTTACACCGTGCTGACATTTCTCATTGGCTGGAGAGACGATTGACGTGTGAAATGTTGGTTGTAAAATTGTATGTACCTCCGTGCCGCTACAGTATTTTAATTGGCAATTTTTTTATGCTTGAGAAACAAATAATCTAGATAAAGTCATTGTTGTTTTCAAAGGTATCCCAAGATTGCCTTTTCCGCATTGGTCTGAAACGATGAAAACAAGGCTGCCGGCTTCTGCGGAGTACATGCTCAACGAGCGCAGCTCGTCAAGCTCGTCTATTTTTACGACGGCGAGTCGTTTTGCGTTCACCAAAGTGTTTAGAGAAAGACCTCCTCAACCGACGTGGTTTGTGACAAACAACTATCGCACACACCATCGGAAGCGCTGTGCGGATGCTAGTTTTCATAGCGGCACTGGCCCAAGCACCTTGTGTCACCCATGTTGCTCAATCTGGCTTGATTTGTTCGTTTGTGCATGTTGATGCCGAATAAAGATCTTGGTTCCGGTAAAAGCGGCTCCGCCGCTTCGTGAATTGTGCAACTGTCATGACTGCAACCATGGTTTCAATAGCCGAGAATATACCTCCACAGGTAAGAACTTGCGAGCCATTTGGCCGAAGGCAATCTGGCGTTCGGCTCGCATCAATTCAGTCCAGGTATGTTCCCGTCATTTCGCTTCGAAAGGCAAGTAGCTCTCAAGTTTTGCAGTGCACCTGGCCTGACAAAGTGAATATTTTTAGGTCACGTTTTAATTGCGCGTCATGACACTCACTCACCTTGCTTGCGGACGCCACGCGAAAAAAATAACAAGAATATGGAAGCTCAAATGACGGCATATTTATTTTGTTGCTGTTTTCAATCCTCTTGGTCGCTTTTTACCACACATCGACAGATGTTGACAGACGCTGGTATTGGACCGTCGCTCACACATAATAGAATGCTCGAATGCCACCTTCAGTCTTGCCAGCATTGTCGAATTTTTTAGATCGGGGCGGAATAGCAGACGGCCAAAGATGAAAACGGACGCCGACGCACAGTTTTCACGTGAGCGCCTCACGGGCATCGCCGACAATACTACCGTGCGTCTGCTCGCACGACTAGCAGGTGGTGTCAAGGTGCCAGACTAGCTGCACCGGATGTCGCGAAAGGGAGACACTAGACATACGAGCATGTTTGGTCGAGCAGCCAAGCCAATCCAGTAGCTATGGGCAGGACCACTGATCTGTAGGCGGGGCTTAGAGCGGGCCGTGACCTCCACCTAAACCTCGTCTAAGGGAGTAAATATCGCGCAAAAAAGTTAATTTTCCCCGTGGAAACACTAAGAAAAAATAAATATGGGTACCAAAAAAGCCTAAAAAACTATCTTTTCATTGCAGTCTTTCTTTTCAGACAAACCTCAGAAAGGATGTATGCTGAGCGACTCACTTGGAGTAGAGCTCGTACAGCGTCTTGAGATACTTCTCAGGATCGTTACGGTCACTGAGATTGGACTGGATGTATTCCTGAAAAAGAAAAGCACCTAACATTAGAGCTTTGCCGTTCATGCATCCACATACTTACAATCAAATACTGAATGAATTCTCATCTCTGATGAAGCTGTTTTTCTGGGTAAATATCTTCATGGCGAAAAGTACAGAAACATAACTCAAAATTGCAAGATCTGAAGGAAATTCTAAGCCATGCTGTCAATATCTAAAAAAAAAGTATAAAAATTAATTCCTCAGGTATAGACATCTACATGAACTAAGATATACATAGGTTACGATTAACATACCTTTTCACAAACAAGTCTAGTTTCAACTACCTACTACTTTTAAAATATCCCATGCTGTTGAAGTGTGCTTAAAATATTCAATCAAGGTTCACTTCCCAATGAGGACAAGATACTGGTGCAGTTCCATTTCAAGCAACACTGTTTATGGCCGAGTTTGAGGTAGCCACAGTAGTACATAACAACAGATAACACTGATATCAAGAACTCGTCGATACATACGAGCTTCGCCAACAGGATTTTGAGACAAAACTGTAGCTAAACCAGCTCTAGTGGCAATGAAGCAAAGGGACTCACTTGCAGCTTGCCATTGTAGATGTTGCAGACAAACTTGCACATCACCTGCTCAGGGTTGGTGAAAACCTCCTCTATGATCTGCTCACAGCGCTCGCAGAGCGGAACAATGTCGGCAAACAAGTCCTTCTTCAGAAAAGCGCCCTACAATAAAGAGTATCCTTTAAAGCACTGCAACCTACCGTGTGTGGGAAACATTTCAAAACTTACGGAACAGGCGGAGCTTAACTCACCATTTGACTCTGGTCGATGAAAGTGTCCACGCAAGTTGAGTAACCCTGGAAGAGAGAGAGACAAGGTAATGTTGTTTCCAGGAATGACATAATTAAGACTGCCAGAAGTTTCGATGCATGAGGCCCGGGAAGCTATAAGAAAAGAAACAGGTGTGTCTGACCTGGCATCCTATGACATGTAGTCAACTACAAATAAGATCAATAATCGACCCCCAAAAAATCTCGAAATTTCACAGAGATGCTTTTTGACTGCCATTTCATCAATACGGGAAAAAAGAGACACTACGACTACGCATCACTTGTAAGTGCATGTTACCATCTTGCACCATCTTTTGCAGGGCACCATAACTACATAGCCGTAGGTGTTGTTTCCCCCTCCAGGAAGCACTGCTGTCGCCGGACTCTTCTACACTTTTCATAACTGACTAGGGGTGTCGCGAACTTTTGTCGAACCGGATTTTTAGGTCGAACTTTCGGGGTTCGACTGGGTCGAACCGGTTCGGAACTTTTCACCAGATTCGACCGGTTCGACTTTGTGGACACTGTGGCCAGACCTTGATACAAGCATGTCTAGGGTTGGAGAACTTTTTTTTGTATGCGATGGGTTATTTTATTTTATGAACAGTTGCAGTTAAAAGAAATCAATTCTTATCACTGAAGAAGTTAATAACTTAATTTTTTGTACTGAATTAACTCAAAGAACCAATCAGCGCTGCCCTTGATTCATCACTTAGCCATCATCATCCAATCCGAAGCCAACTGGTCAGCCTGTCGCGCGTGCGCACACGAGTCGAACCTCAATGCAAGGTTCGCCGAACTTTTCACTAAAAGTTCGAAAAAGTCGAACCTGGTCGAACTCGAACCGCGGCCGGTTCGCGACACCCCTATAACTGACTCGGAGAGCGAGGAATTTGACGGTTTCCCCGAAGCAGCTTAATCTAGATAGGCAAGGCAATGAGAATAAATCTTTTACAGCATGTGGTTGATGTTGCCAAATTCAGCCATGGCTCCATATTCTTTTGCTTCAGTCCAATAACATTGAAAGGTAAGTGGGCCGGTACACATGCATTGTATAAAATTTTCTCATGTCTTAGTTTTCATTCGATGAGCATTTTTTATCTGTCAAGCTCTAGCCGTGTTGCTACATGTAAAAGGAAGGATTGCAGCTAGCTGATCTTTTTGCGGTACCAAGAAAGCGTGTCAAGATTTATCTTTCTGCCTGTGTGTTTATGCATGTGTTGTCTCTGCGACTTGGCCTAAGCTAGGCCTAATGGTCCACAGCTTGGTTTACAAGTGCGTAGCACATTAAAACTAATTCGCTCATCACACATACACTCAAATAAAGTCGACTACCTTCTCATTTTGTATATTTTACATCCTTTTGCTGCGAAATACATACTTGATTGCCCCTGCCAGACAGTGCCGTGCTATGGGCGTTTCTCGCGAATCAGAACGTCAACGTTGTTGCACGTCAAACGGCACATGTGAACAAGCCCATTGTGCGAAGCACAGAATTCGCGATACCAATGTTCATAAAAAGAACAAAAATTCATGTGTGAACCATGCACAGGTGCGACTTGAACAAAAGTGCAACTTATATACCAACTTTTCTGCGAAAACGGCTAAATATACGGAAGTGAGACTTATAGTCTGGAAAATACGGTAGCTAGAACTAATATATTTATTACAAAAAGCTTAACAGTTTACAAACTGTTACAGGAAACCTAACAATGTTCCCTAAAAACTGCAACAAATAATCTAATACTGTAGTCATTACTAGAAAACTGTTACAAGAAACCTTGTACTCTAAATCTACTACACAAACCCAAAAAGAAAAAATACTGTTTGAAAAGAAGCTAGTATTTCGTGCATTCAGGGCAAGGAAAAAAAATTTACATCTCCATCTTCCATTTGTTCAAGATCCTTCATGCGGCATGCCATAGCAAAAATTACTAATACATCAATGTGAGTAATCTCATAGGCACTGGGAGAATCGGAAACCTTTAAATGCTCCTTGCAGCGTAAATACCCGCTTGCTGTTAGACACCTTGGGCTGCGACACCGATTGTGTGCCCAGCTAATACACAGGCACAACCGTACAGATGCTAAGGCAAACCTCGGGTGGGAGACTCACCCTGAAATGCGACAGGACGGCGGCAACTTCCCGCATCACCTCCTTATCGCCCTCATGGTGTGCCCTCACAAATTCTGCGGTCAGGGCCTTTTCGATCTCGTTGTACTTGTGGGCAATTCGCTGGCGGGCCTTGTCAAACCTTGGAGTCGGATTCAACGAAAGACTTGTACAAGCGAAACAAAACTTCCACCTGCTAGAAATTCCTTCTGCGTCTCGTGCCGACGAACTTATTGTTCCACAGCACACGTTACAAGTCGTGCGACATCCTCTTTCATTTTGTGCCTGTCTCTGTCACAACAAAGCTCCTCTTTAAGATTTTCCTATCAACTCCGACTCCCACCGGGCTTTACCTCAAATTCTAGCTACAATGATTCGACATCAGCACTCCTGTCCCCTTGCGTTAGCTGTGCTTCACTGCGCAACAGCCAGATACCGCCGTGAAAACTGACTCTTGACATTCACTGCGTAAGTTACTGTCTCAATTAAGGTGGCGTGTCAAAAGGTACCAAAGTGTCTGCGGCGATCCACAACGAGACCGCATTGAATGAAGACCCAACATACTTCCCGGATGGAAGTTCCTGGGCAATCAGGTGGAGTTTCTGAATGATGTCCGCCGCCTCGTGAAGCTGCAAGGGACGCAAATGGAAGTGTCGCTCAATTGCTCTGCTTTCTCCAGAGTTGAAAAATTGGGCTCTGTCAACAGCACAGCACCTACGTTTCATATGTTACCGAATGAAACAGTTTGTTTGGACCCTTGGCAAGAAATACTCCCCTTATCGATGTCAGCCTGCCAGTTTTAACATCCACTAATGTTTCTTGTCATTACTATCAGCCAAACAGCAATAATATGAACAATGACAACTGCTTCATGCAGCAAAAAGTTAAAGGAAGATCCATTGTTGGATTCTTGATGAATGGTTTAGCATGACCCTTGGGAAACACCACACACGTTCCCATTTTGGGCACGCTAACATTGACCCCTTCACTTTTTTGTTTTGGCTTTCACCTTTGCTTTCTCTGTATCTTGCTACCTCTTCTTGGCTTCGTCACGGGGTCAGTGTTAGCGTTTCCCAAGAGGGGACGTGTGTGGGGTTTCCTAAGGGTCATGTTAACGCATTCCATAAGGATCCACCAATAGACCCTCTAATTTTTTCCGGCTTCAGTCCCATGCAGGTCCGCGTCGGCTTGCTGCTTCTTGCACCACATTTCGGCCAGCCAAGCTAGGAGCTGCTTCCTCTCCTCTGTCACGTTCGCCCGCCTTGCACGCTTAGCAGCTGCATCCACTGCCTGACGCTGCTTTCGCCGTTCACCGGCTACCCATGCGTGCCTCGGTGCCCACCCTGTGACGTCGCCTCCCTATCACCTTTGTCCTTCACTACTCTCCTCCTCTCTATGCGGCGTGCTTCCCTTTCCACTGTTTTGTCCGCAGACAGATGCCTCTAGGACAAAAAGAAGGAGGCTATCTATGAAATGTCCAAGGTGTTAGTGAAACAAATAAATTGGTGTATAATTATACAGCAATTCAGGTTTTCTTGCTAAAGTTAGTGAGGAAATTATGTGTTATACTTTTACGTCACAATTTCTTGGGGGAAATTTCTTTTAATGCAACCCTAGCCCTTAACAGAATCTGTGTAGAACACTGAAAAGAGTGCGAGAAAGATATAATGTGCTCGCCACCCTCACCTTGTTGGGGTCGTGAAGCACGCTCGCCGACGCCAGCCCGTGTTGCTGTTCGGGCGGCCCCAGAAACTCCGCGAAATGCTTCATAAGCTTCTGTGCCTCGACGGCTCGCGAGCGCGGCGTGTTGACGCTCTCCAGAAGATCGCCCAGGTGAACGACCTTCATGGCCACGTAGCCGATCTGTGCATCCAGTTCCTTGTAGGTGGCATACGACGCCTGGAAAAGGAGGTCAAAAGCAATTTGAAGCACACGCTCATTCATTTCATTGGTTTATCCATACAAATCGTTTTGCGCCCGAATAGCTTTCGGGGACACTCTGCAGCTTGCTTTGCTTTTATTGTCCATGGGATATTATAATGTCCCTTGAACATCTCATGAAAATCTATACATCGTAATAATGTCATAAATATCTACAGACGTCCATAGATCAATATATGGCATGGAAAAAGGCGGTCGCACCTCTGTCTAAGTAGTCGACATCTACCTTGATTTGTTTTTGTCGTCCATGGGATATTATAATGTCTCTCCAATATTCTATGGATGTCCATAGATCATTATATATAGCCATAAATATTTATAGACGTCCATAGAACTGCAAGTTCCATGTAAACTGTATGGAAAAAAGTTAGTTTCCACATTCATCTAATTTGCTTCCGCTTTTGTCATCCATCTGGGCTTACAATGCCGCATGAATATTCAATGAACGTCTACACATCGTTACAATGTCATATATATCTGTAGATGTCCATAGAGCTACGAGTTCCACGTAGGCCGCACCTTGTTCTTGTCCTGTAGCTCAGAGACTTTCTGGCAGTGGCGCGTCTCCTCCTCGCGGCAGATCATCTCGAGTCGCTCACACTTTTTCTGGGTCATCTCAAAGAGAAGCTGGAGGTCTCTGATGCCCTGCTTGAAGGCCTCCTGCAGCACACTTGGGTCAAATGTCTCGGGGTCCATGTTGCCCCCGAGGCTGCGCCATGCCAGGCGCTCCACAAAGTCCTCCGGACTGAAGGACTCCTGACATGTCAGGGCAGTGAACGGTTTCAGTTTCCATCCTCCGAAATTCATTCAGCATTGGCATTCTACATTGAACTCTGCAATGTCAGGTCACCACAGAAAGCCGTATGCTCGTACCCGTAGGTTAGCAATGCCTTGCAAAAGGTTAATAGATACATGCGTGCGCATGAACAAACAAAACAGAATGAAACTTGAACGCCGGAGTGCGTGGCCTTCTATGTAAGTTGCGCTGTCTAGAGGCGATAAAAACAGCCGTGTGGAGAGGGGTATGTGAGGTTGTGCACATCACAGGAACGGCACACTCTTGCAGCCAAGGAGGTTAGAAGTACTAGAAGAGGGCACGTTGCAATATTGGTGAAGCCTAGTCATAAAAAGTTTAAACGATGTTGTGGCCAACATGACCGTAGATCTCTCTGGCAATTGGTGCGCGTGACATGTCACGTGTGAGATGGATGGTTGATTGTAGAAGCACTCCTTGCAGGCTTGCGCGCACTCCGTCCGTTAGGTTTTATCAGATTGAAAGCTAGACTGTGGTGTATTCTAGTACTCCATGGCTAGACGAAGACTAGCTACGGTCACGTGATCTGGTCACGTTTACCCTGGTAAGTGGGGAGAGTAAGGAGGAAAATGAGAGAGGCGAGGCGTCAAGGAAGCATGGCTTGTGGAGCTACGCGGCTGTCGTCATGCCCTCTCCTACCCTTCTATCCTCCTTGCTTGCAGCCCCCCTCTCCGCCACAAAGTTTTATCAACCTCCAGGTAAGCATGTAGCAAAAGCTACGTGTTCTGGTGCTCACATTTCATTTTATTCCGATAGTACATGTATACAAAAAAGAAAGAAGATGGACGGAGGTAGGAGTGGTTTAAGATAGATGAATGGCATGCATAGTATCATCCTTGCAGAGCTCTGTCACGGTTTATCACCTATACTCCGCTCACCCTTAAGCCGAGACTGCAGCCAAAGCCACAAGTGCGAGCTAGCACGCACACTCCTGGATTCGAGACGCGCTTTTCTAGTGCGAGCGCTCATTTCCTGGAAGAATGTTTCAAAGCCACAATTTCTCGCTCTCGTGCTTGCGGCATTGCCCGCAGTCACGATCTTTAGGGTGAATGGAGTATGGGGCACTAGCTGCGGGATCGTTTCACAGCAGGCACCAGAGCTGAACAGCTGGGTTTGACCGTGGTTGCAGGAACGGAAGATTCCCGATGTACGGGGTCCATAAACCAGCTTTAGTTTCAACGCCTCTATTGTAACTGACGGGATGAGAACGTAGGACAATCGAAAAACCTCCCTGCTGTTCTCATCCTGCTAGTGACGGCAATTCAATTTGGTATTCTACGCACAGCGTTTTTTTTTTTTCTTTTTTCTTTTTGTTAGAGTGAGGACGTCAGGGCCTTTCGGCTGTCCCGCCTCCGATGTCTTACGAGCTTCGACGAGCTGCGCGATGCTGATTAGAGGTAGGTATACTTCGTTTCAGCTTCGGTCCAGACGCAGCCAAAGCTACAAGCGCGAGCTCCGGACTTTCAGCATCCCTGCCTAGCACGCGCGCTCGTGCAGTGCAAGCACCGTTCTTGGCCACATGCTCGCGCTTGCAGCACCGGCTGCGTCTGGACCGAAGCTGAAACGAAGTATAGGCTACTTCGATGCCGATGAAAGCAAGAGTCACAAAATCTATGCCACTGAGGCAGCGATCATCTTATTAAAAAAGTTTCACGTTCGCATTAGGATAAAAAAAATAATAAAAAAAAAAATAACGATGTTAACACTCTGTATGCACCTCGCATCGTAGCACGTATGGAGAGAGAACGAACAAGTAGGTTCAACTTGATAGGGAGGTTTTCGTCCTCGGTAACCTCAATAAGCGCCAGTGTAGAGCTTAAACTGAAACTTATTTAAGCATGCGAGTGACAAGCGATTGTCGTAATTTGTTTAATAGAAAACAACAACAACAAAAACATAAGCCGCACACGTCCGGCGTCCGGTGCCTCTTTCGAAATATGTAGAGGCACACAGTTCGTTCGGACGAACGCGCTACTCACTTGTTCGAGTTCGGGAAGGAAGTGGGACATGTCTGGTGATTTTCGTCGGGTTTGACATGCAGTTTGTAAACAGCGGAACTGCTCGGGACTTCAGCGAACGACGGTCAATTTGTGTGTTGGGAAACGCCGCAAAACACACCCCTACGCCGCCATCTTTGGTGACAGGACTGCTAGCGCCACCTTTCGAATACAAAGCGAAGCGGCAAGCCTTTTGCCAAGAATGCGTTCGATGAATCGTGTTACTCGCAGTTTTCTCTGACGCCTCTGAATCCTTTAGTTCGCAATTCAAAAAACAACTTCTTGCTAATAACTTATCAGCTTGCTTCAAATAAATTTAATTAATTTTACAAGTGTACAGTTGTTTTTATATTAATTCGTGGGATTTCTCACCTTTAGTGCGACAAATTACGTCACGTGAGCTATAACTGGTGACGTTTTTGTCTTTTCGCCCATAAAGAGGGAGAACGTTTAATCCTAGAGTGAAACAGATCGGGTACGCGAAAACGCTCAGAAACCCGGAAAGCACCGGAAAACTTCTCGGATGTATTGGTTCTCACGTGCGATGTTCCGTACTCCACATACGCTACAGTTGTGCTCGGTCCATTACAAAACTTTCATCGATGCGATCCATGCACTCCAAAGTCGGATCAGCCAAAAGGTCTTGTGCCGCTCATGTTCGAGCTCGAGCCGTGTCAGCGGACCCGCAAGAAAATACGATGTCGACCCGAGTCAGTTCCCACAGGAGAACATTCGAAATTTCTGCATCGTCGCTCACGTCGATCACGGCAAGAGCACGCTTTCGGACCGCCTCCTCGAGTTCACGGACACGATTCGAACATCGAAAGACAACCAACAAGTCTTAGATCGCCTCCCGGTCGAACGCGAACGAGGTATCACCGTCAAGGCGCAAACGGTGTCTATGGTCTACCACCGACCCGGCCACGAATCGCCGTTCCTCCTTAACCTCATCGACACACCAGGTCACGTAGACTTCAGTTACGAAGTGCTACGGTCCGTAGCCGTCTGCCAGGGAGTCATCCTGCTCGTAGACGCCAATCAGGGGGTGCAAGCGCAGACGGTAGCCAACTTCAACATGGCCTTCTGTTCGGACCTCACCATACTCCCCGTGCTGAACAAGGTAGATCTCAAGAATGCCGATGTCGAGGGGGTGACGTCTCAGATGGAGAACCTCTTCGGTACCAGGAGGGAGGACGTCCTCAAGGTGTCTGCTAAGCTTGGCACGGGTGTCGAAGAACTTATCGAAGCAATCATCGACAGAATACCATCACCGAAGGGTGATGCTGACGCGAAATTTCGCGGGTTCCTGTTAGATTCCTGGTACGACCGCTACCGCGGCGTCATCGCGCTTTTGATGGCTGTCGACGGAACACTCAGACTAGGAGACGAGATAATCTCGCACATGACGGGAACCAGCTATACGGTGCGGGACCTTGGGTTCTTGAATCCCCTCGAAACACCAACCGCCATGCTGTGTGCTGGACAGGCCGGCTACGTTGTTGCCAACATGAGGTCACCCAAAGAAGCCCACGTTGGAGACACCCTGTCGCACAAGTCTGCGGCCATCAAGCCGCTGCCCAAGCTGGAAGAATCTAAGCCAATGGTCTTTGCCGGCATTTACCCGGAAGACCAGTCGCAAAACAATGAACTGAGGAGCGCCATTGACCGTCTGCTATTGAACGATCCCAGTGTCCAGGTGTCCATCGAGAGCAATCCTGCTTTGGGGCAGGGCTGGCGGCTTGGTTTCCTCGGTCTCCTCCACATGGATGTCTTCTGCCAGAGACTGGACCAGGAGTTTGATGCTCAGGTTGTGGTCACGGCACCGAGCGTCAGCTACAAGGTCAAGGTCCACGGTGCTAAGAACATCAAAAAGTATGGCGGGGAGATGGTGACCGTGAACAACCCCCTCCACCTTCCGGACAGGTCCATCATCAAGGAATACTATGAGCCGATGGCCTTTGGTACCATCATCACTCCGGGCACTTACCTCCGCGACGTGACGAGTCTGTGCGTTGACCGGAGGGGTGTCCCCAAGAGCACGCAGGACGTGGATGACAACACCATACTGCTCCAGTACAAGTTTCCGCTCAACGAGATCATCGTCGACTTCTACGACGAACTCAAGTCTATCACATCCGGCTACGCGAGCTTCGACTATGAGGAAACCGGGTATGAGGAAAGCAGTCTTGTCCAGATGCAGATCCTCATCAATGGCAAGGTGGTAGAAGAGTTGACCACCATCGTGCACACAACGCGAGCCCAGCGGGTGGGTCGTTCTATGCTTCTAAAACTTAAAGAGTGCATTCCGCAGCAGTTATACGCTGTTGCGCTACAGGCTGCCGTGGGGGCCAAGGTCCTTGCACGGGAAGACATCCGAGCACTGAAGAAGAACGTTCTTGCTAAGTGCTACGGTGGTGACATCACCAGGAAGGTGAAGTTGCTCAAGAGGCATTCGGAGAAGCAGAAAAAGCTTAGGCTCATCGGTAATGTGGAAGTCCCACGAGATGCCTTTATCAAGGTGCTAAAGCGAACGTGAGGAACTGTGCTTTGTTGGTTTAGGTTTTAGTCATAGGTTGGACTGGACCTGACTGCTGGTCCTCTTGTCAAAATGTGAAGAAGCTGGTGGAAATGTTTGTAGTTCAGGCCTTTGTGGTAACCTTATGGCTGTTTAACTTCATAAGGGTTGTACATATCAGGTGTGTGCCAGTTTGTTCTTTGTAGCATGAAAGAGATTGGCACGTGCCTCAAGCTATGTTTACCTCAAACTACGTCATGTCTTATTTGAATAGAGAGAGGAAGTGGAAAACTGCCATGTTAATGCTTGTTGGCTGCTCTGAAATGAGAATGATTGGTCCGTTTTTTAGGCACAAGAAGTACAGAGGAAAAAAGCTACAGCATTGAAAAGTAAACTCACTAGTCAAAGCATATATGATGGCATGGCATGTGCTTGTGTTGTCTAGTTGTTGATTTTTCTGTGCTCCGTCTGTAGCTCTAAAGAAATGAATGAAGGAACCGTTTTGTAGTTTGTCTTTATTGGTACCATCTTGAACAATATTGGTTAGCAGTCAGCTTACTAAATGTGACAAAATGTATTTGCTAATAGACACCACTCCTGAGAGGCCCATTGTTGTACAGTGTATGCAAGACATTGTATAGCAAATATATATTCATCTTAGTGAACATTGCCACATTTGGCTCACTGTTTTATTATTTCATAACTAAACTACAATCCTCTACAGGTGCTCAAGAGTCTATGTTTTCACGTGCTGCATTGTACAGTAGGCAGCACTAGGGGATGCTGAGGGGTGTACTCTGTGATGTGGTTGATATGTTTCCTATTGCCTCATACTTCTGGGGACGGCGAAGAAACAAGGGGGCCCAACGTCTCCCTTAATATGCCTCTGAAACTGCAGTGACTTCTGTTACGTCTCAGCCTCTGCGGCCACCTGTTTCGTTGAAACAGCTCATGCTGCTGCCGACCGCACATCCATCTTACGAGTTCTTCTGTGGCATCGTGGTGATAATCTGCAAGGGCAAAAGCGTTCATACTCAATATCTTAACAAAGGCCTCTAAGCAGAATCAAAACTTACCGTCTTTACTTCAGTATATTCGAGGGCTCCGTCTTCGCCCCTGCGTGGAAGAAAAGCCAGTTTATACAAATCAATGATCGAGCATGGAAGGTGAAAGAATTAGAAGGTCGTATTTTGCTACGCACATTTCTCGACCAATCCCGGACATCTTGTAGCCCCCAAAAGGAGCTTGTGCACTCATGGACAGGAATGTGTTGACCCTAGTATTGAAAACGCCAGGAACATACGAGTTTTTAATCGCCCCTTTATTACAGCAACTGGATTGCGCAAAACTCGCGTCAGCAGACCAAAAAGCTTTGATTACAGAAACATTCACTGGATCACTGCAGGGCATATTCACAGTTTAAATGTGAGCATTAAAGTACGCTATCGTCATCCTCAATTCAAGGGAGCAAAGGTAGTGATGGGATTGCTGCACCAAAGTGTTCCAAATTTCATACTCTGCCATGTCCTGTTCCATTTCACCAAGTGTGATGGGCTTGTGCGTACATTACGCTAGAAGTTGAATTCCACTTTATCAACACACAAACGACCACGATAGACTCGCGCGAACTTTCGAAAAGTTTAGATGATTGCCTCGAATAATTTACAATTCTATTTAACCTCCGTGTCAAACACTGATTAGTAGTCGACATTGCCCGTGATCTGTTCGGGTCGGTTAGTGAGCTCCGTTGAATCCGCTTCTCCCTACGCAGCGGTGCTGTGCAGAGAAGCGATACTCACAGAGTGGACGTCGCCATCCTGTCTCTGTCTCCTCAGCCTAGTGCAGTTGTCTGCTAAAGGGAAAGCCCCTTCTTCAGAGCGGTGTTGTATTTGGGTAAAAAGTTCGTGAATGCTGATGTATGTGTCAACCTTATCTTACAGTCAGTTTCGAAAAAATAAAAACTCGGTTAGTATACAACTTGCTTCACCAACGACGGAACATATTGCTATTTATGAGGAATGAAAAAAAAAAAAAAAAATTGTTCGAGACACGGTGCAAAACATATAAATGTGGACATACAGCACGGCGAACGCCGCGACGGGATCGACCAGGTAAAGTCCTATTGGCGCGCCCACCAGTAGCTTATTCTAACAGTGAATTGTCTCCTCCGGTCAAAAAGCGCAACTAAAAAAAGAAATAAAATAAAGGTATCGTTGCCATGGCGGAAAGCGCATGCGCATGATATCGCGTGCGCTTTCCGCGCGGTGTGTCGGCTCTGACCTCGACGGACACTGGCTTGAACACCGCGCCAGAGATACCTTAATTTCAACGCGTTCATAAAATTTGCTTTTGTCGACGTTGAGGCACGAAACTAGGGTCAGTGATGAAGTTGTCTCTAAGCAATACGTGAAGCGTAAGGGCCAAGTTCTACACGACGCGGCTTACCCAAGAAAACGACTTTAAAAACAAGCATGTCTCCCATAGAAAAAGCACGGGAAACCGGACCCGCGAGAGGCAACCACTCGTCGATTAATCTGGCAGCTGTGGCGCACGCGGTGTTCATGCCTAAATATATCTTACACCGTGCTCCTTCAAGACAGGGTTGTCAACCGTGGCAGACGTCGGTGTGTGAATGAAAAGTGATAATTATCAACCTAATTACCTAAAATTCACTCATTAACGTTTCAAATATTGTCATTGCGTGGCACATTTTATTTAGAGATCGGTGGCACATTTTCAAAACAGGCTATAGCGGTTCCTCGACATCGGAAAGCTAGGCCCGCTATGAAAGTTTACGTCGCTTTCGGCAAAAACTTCCGTCCCCTTCTCGGGTTTCATAGTTTCGGAATCTGACTCCCCACGGGCCCTGCCGGTCTGCTTAGTTGCAGGTATAGTACTTAACACCTTGCTGAACCTTACCAGCCCTTTTCCTACCAGAAAATTCGCAGAGGTCTGCCGAAAGTTTTATTTTACTTTTTTTTTTGCGCATGATATGCACGGGAAAACAATTTAGCTCCGTTGAATACGCTTCTTCATGTTGCAACATGAAGAAGACATGTTACCACGGGGACTTGCACGAGTCCCCTCCCAATACTTAATTATATGAACTTAAGGATGATTGAGGAATGCTTACCACACTACGCCGGCCTCGAGAGCATGTGCAACGGTATTGGCTGTATTCAAGTCGTTTGTCACGAGCCCTGCAGCCAATCCGTACATCGTGTCATTCGCTCTTGCGATCACTTCTTCCGTGGTTTCGAACTTGAAGATGCTTTGGACCGGACCAAATATCTCTTCCCTGGCGATCTTCATGTGGTCTTTGACGTCCGAAAACACAGTCGGCTCAATGAAGTAACCCCTGGAGCCCAAACGACGCCCCCCGCATCGCAGTTTGGCACCTTCTTCTTGACCGATGCCGATGTATTCCATTATACGGTCGAACTGTGTCTCATCAATCTGGAAAAGTAGATATAATATAATATAATATAATATAATATAATATAATATAATATAATATAATAAAATATCTTTATTCGTAACATACAGATGAACTCATAATGCATACGCAGTTCACCAAAGGTCGTACTTTAACGAAATTTAAAATATACTCGTCCTGCTCAAAAATAGGTTGAATATAATCCACGACATCCGTAAATGACAACCACATGTTTGTATTCTGAGCCTGATGGCTGTATTTTTCCCTATAAACGGCCCACTCTGGCAAGCTCTCGGAGAGCAGCCAGCGGAGCTAGAGCACGTGAGACCCGGCGCAATCCTGACGGAGCCTGTCTCGGGACGACCAAAGCTGCGGCGAGGCTGACGTCGACAAGACGATTGCAAGCAGGGCATCTGGCCGCTGCCATGTCTCTGCTCGTGCGGGCAAGTGCGTGCAATTACAAGCTTGCCAAAGCCACGTTCGCGCCCGTGTTGCACATGCTTGAACGCGTGGGGCACGCGCAAGTGAGGCTATAGGAAGTATTCACTGGCGGCCATAGCTGTGTGCGCGACTGCTGAGCGCGTGCTGATGGCGAGCTTCCACGGTTTTTTTGGAACGTGCATTCCACACCATCTAGATTGCCGGTCTTAGCAACCTATTGATGTGGGCTCGTTCTGAGCATGCGCTGTAAACAGCCCTCACAAATATGGCGTCCAGTGAATACTCCTTATAGTTCTAGGCGTAGAGGTAGGAAGCTTCTGGAGGCGACATGGCGCCGCCAGAGGTGAGACTAGGAGTGTCGAGGGACACGCACCCAACGATGACCAAAACCGCAGCTGTTTCGGTCAACGTTGGGGTCGTGCCCCTCCACACTTTTGCCCTCACCTCTGGTGGTGTCATGTCACCTCCAGAAGCTTCCTACCTGCATGGTTCTAAGCGAGACATGCATCGTCACTAACTGTCAATGTTCCTAGACGGACATTACAAACGAGGCCTTAGCGACATCCGTCAGTTGCTAATCGTTTAATTCGTTTTATAATTCCCTTTCTTGTCATTTTTAACAGGAGATTGGGGCGTACGATGTGATATCTGCTCCCTTGAACACGTATAGGCCAAGAAATAAGAGCCGAAATGTTGGTGTAATATACCTTTGAAGAAACTAGTGATGGGACGAATCTTTATCCGAATCTAGATTCGGAGCCGAATCGAGATTTGGAAAGATTCGGAAGAGTAGCCGAATCTCAAGCGATTCGGAAAAGTTCGGAAAGATTCGGAGCGTTGCCATAATAGCCAGATCACGTTGATGAGAGTTTCAACTTTTCGCGATATTGAATTCACTAAATTCTACAAAATGGACAAAATAATATTGTGATATAATATCATAGTAATGAATAAAATGTTCCGCTTTGTTTATATTATTTTGGATGTTTGTTGAGAACGGTAGCCAGACATCGCGGGAAAATTGGTTTCGGTTCCGGATTACGACCAAAATAGGCAAGGTGCACGTGGAAATAAATACAAACGCATGCTTTTATCGCCACAAGAGATCGATGCCGTAATTACGGTCATGGTGGCACACACCACACGAGTGAGTATGTTCGATTCGATTATCTTCAACGTGTGTCCACTGAGGTATTGTTTTCGGAACACGGGAAACGATCACTCCTTGCGCCGTACTATTACAGTCTCCTGTACTGCATTTGTACCCTTCTGGTTAATGATATCCGATTGAGTTGGTGTTTGTTTACGAACAACGAAGTTGCACTGGACATCCCTGTGTTGTGTTTCTTTTTCATCAAATAAAGTTAACGTACACAAACCTTGCTGCCGAGAACGGAGAAACGACAGTGCGACATTTGTCTTCGCCACCGGCGCCGGGTCGAACTCGTGACGATCAACATTCATATCGCTCTCGCACCTTACAGGTACAGACATACGCAACTCTAGAGAAGGAGACGAATCATTTCCTTGCCTGAATATATTTATTGTGCGTCGCGCCACATAAAGTATAATACATAGCATTTTGCTACGTCTTACCGACCACCACGAAACCGCACAGAAACCGAGATCGTGCATTGGTTAGGCCTACGTCAACCACACCGATCACCTCAGCTCGACCTGGGCGCGTGCCAGGATTCAGAAATGACAGTACAGTACATACCATACGTTGAAATAGACAAGACGAAATCTGGTTTTATGCAGTAACAGTACCTAAGAAAGAAACAAAACTCACCGCATTCGCGAGGTTTACGACAAGGTTCACGCTGCCGTCTGCAACCGGCAACGAACCTGACGAATCTCCGAATATTCGTCGCGGGAAGTTCAGAAATTTCCGAATTTGTCCGAATCCGAATCTCCGGTGATTCGTCCCATCCGAAGAAACATCATGGTCCGATTCGTAGGTGGCTTCAGAAACAGTCGTGAGATTCTATTGTGCTGCATGCAAGACGTTGCTTAACACTGACGGATCATCAACGGCCAATTTGGTGGTTTTGATGATAAGCGCGTACTTCGTGCAGCAGACGTTTTGCACTATCGACTTTGCTATTATCGGCAGGAAGTAGGTATGACTGCTAGCGTTATAAGATGTCCGCACGTAGCCACAATTGTATTTCAGGGGGTGTTTAATAACATTAATCCCCCCCCCCCCCCCCCCCCCCCCCCCCTTCCACGACGAAGCAGGGTGAGATTGGCGGTACGGACGCTCACGCAAAGATTAGCGATACGCTGTTAAAATAAAACGGGTAAAGATGCATTGTCATTTTTGAAAACGGAGCAGGCTTCATTTACAAGAATACGGGCGTAATGGCTTACTGCTCCACTGTCGTCGTAGTTGCGGCCCACCAACTTTAAGAACTTCCTCGCAGCACACAACTCCCCCCGCTTTTTCAGGTAGCCCTGCATTACCAACGCGCGGAGGCCTGACAAAACACAAGGATTGCTATAGACCAGTGTCTGCCCTGTTCCATGGGCGCCGCCTTGTTTGTTTATCCTGACGCCATGACACAATAAAAGGGGAGGGGGGGGGGGCGCTAAAATGCCACGTTGTGCAGTGTGGGAATCAGTGGGAAGCAAAATCCATACGCGCTCCGATCCTGGGCCACAGGTTCCCAGAATGCAACGCGCGCGGTGACAGATTTTTGGAAGCAGTAGTTGGCTCCAGCCTCCATTTGACTGTGATGGCGTTTCATGAAGGACGATCAGGTCGTTCGCTGGCCTCGATTATTCTAGGTGGTGTTATGAAGACACGCTGTTGGGGGTTGCGTATATACCTGTGCGCCGTGTGAAGTGCGTTCGTCGAAGGGGTCTCCCACTATTCTCTTCTTGGCCAGTTCGACCGACTTGGCCACGAACTTGTCGTAGACGTCGGCGTGCACGTAGGTTCGTGTCGGGGCGCAGCACGCCTGTCCCTGGTTCCAGAATACGGCTTCGTGGGCCAACGTCGCTGCCAAGTCCACTGCATGGAATGTGCGGGCTGTCTCACCGAACGCCGTTCAAAATTGTTCGCGTCAAAAACTATGCGGAGAGCTAGTCGTCTGCTACCTGAGCAGGGGTTGTGGTGACGTCAGAATGCCGAGCTCTGATTATCTTGAGTTGAAAGGATAGTGGGTAGACCTCAATGTTAGATGCCTTGAGGTCTACCCACTATTTGTTTCAATCAGCCAATAAGAGCTGGGCATTCTGACATCATCGCGACTCCCGACTTGCAGACGGACTTGCGCTCCGCATACACCAACGCGCGCCTCGGACGTCATGGCATCGCGGTGGCGCTGGCGTCAGCTTGGCGTATGCACTGACGCTTCCCTTCATTCCAATGTGGTGTCTGTGCACGCATAGTGCCATGCACTTGGTGTGGGTAAGTGCGGACTTGTTCAAGAACAGCGCGTTGGTCTATTCGTGCCGAGAAGTTTTGGTATCGCCACCTGGTGGAATTTGTTTCACAACCCAGAGTGAGGAAACTTTGACTTCCTCTGTTTGGTGCAAGCACGTGCAATGACAAGTTTCTATGCACCATGAAAATTAAGACATAATCACGTGGGTAGCACGTGTGCACTACTAATTGTGAGAAAAACAGAAGCGCCCCTAGCGAGCTTCTGACCACGAATCGGGGGTATTCACATGGACGCCATACTTTAGTACGCCGTTTGAAGTGCACACTGAGAACGAGCGCATATTGATGGGCTGCTAAGACCGGAAATCTGGATGGTGTGGGATGCACGTTGCAAAAGAACCGTGGAAGCACGCCGTCAGCACGCTCTGAGCAGTCGCGCACATACCGTATTATTTACCGCCAAGAGACATTTAAGAGGTTTTCCGAGAAAGCGTTCTAAAATTATGGTTTTCAGCTCACAGGCGACGCCATCCGTGATTCTCCAAGTGGAAGCAAAAACAAATTACATCACTGCACGATGTCACGTAGGAAGATTTTTCTTTAAAAGCAATTTCGTGCGTTGCGTCTTATGAATCCCCGATGAAGGCGAAAGGTCGGGTATTCTTTTCTTGTACGCGTGTAAATAGATTTGCGCTGTTGGCATTTTTTTTTTTTTTTGTAATACAAAACAAGATACTACATTGAAGCTCTTGCTAAAATATATAAAAAAAGGGTTCATGTCAAGTAATGAAACTCACAGTCAGCGTCCGGGAAGATAATCAGAGGACTCTTGCCACCGAGTTCCAGAGAAACTTTTTTGATGTTGGAATCTCCCGATGCCTTCAGTATCAGCCTCCCAATCTTTGTAAAAGAAAGAAAAACAATAACAATAACAAGTATTTAGGTTGGGATATTTTTGTTTTCGTTGGAAAGTCAGCGGAAATGTAAAGCTTTTTTATACTTCGTCTCACCTTAGCGTGGACTATTGTTAGCCGCGCGTGCCAAAAGCCCGAGCTAATAGTTGCCTTGGATGAAGCCTCGGCGGCTGCACGAGCGCTCTTGCAGCGAGTGCTCCAGTCAAGGCTGTCGAAGCTACCCGCTCGCGCTTGCACAGCCTTCGCAGTTAGTCCGTGCTAAGGTGAGATTAAGTATAGTTTGTCGAACTAAGCATGATTTAAAATTGTCACGCACACAGCGCCACCTCTCCTCTGTAACTCGCTTGTTCAGCGATAAAAAAAAAAAAGGAGAACAAGTTGAGTTTTTTTAGGACGAGTTTAGTTTACTTTTGGTCTTAACTACACGACTCTAAAGTAATGTTCTATGAAAATTCATTCAAGTAGCTATTCTTTCTAACTCCAGTGAAAATCCAACACATGAAACATCTAACATATTACGTGGACATATGCGATGAAGTATTGCTCGTCTAAATCTGAATCTGAATAATAACGATTGACACTAAAACTTCGACATCCGGTTTGGACCGCTAGCTCTACATTTGGTATGAGAATGAGCATTCGGGTACGAGTAGTTTATTTTGCTATATTAAAAAAAAAAAAAAAAAAAAACTACTGTAATTTTTGGGGGGGGGGGGGGGGGGACACCGTGTATAGGCGTGCCATACGCCTTATGCTATTACAATTTTTCGTAATAATACGGGTTTACTTTATCATGGGCAAGAATTCAACATGCTGCAAAAATTGTTTATGCAAAAACAAAAACAAAACAACAACAACAAAAACGGACAGTCTTGATTGGGAATAAAAAGTGTACCGTTCCTAACGTTCCAAATAGCAGTATCAATTAATATTTTATTATTGCCATCTGTAATTTTTCTGGAGAATGTAACGATGTCTGCAGTTGCTCGGCTGAAGTAAATCTTTTGCAACATTTTTTCTGAGGGTCCCTGGGGATGAACCTTAGAAATGAGTTGGTAGGAAGAACTTGAAAGGAATTTTCTGGAAACTTCCTGGAAGTTTCAAGGAGGTTCAGAAAGCTACCGGAAGCTCCGGCTTTCAAGATGTTCCTTTCACGTCACACGGCTAGTGTTGACACGTTTTTTTCCCATTTCGATATAAGTGGGCATGGCTGCCAACGGTCCTACGAGACCTTGTGGATGAGCTGACACAGAAAAAACTTCAAGTAGACATCTTGGAAGCATTGTAAAAGTCTCATGGAAGCCTCCAGAAGGTTTCATAAACTCCAGGAAGCTCCATCTTCCAAGATGTGCCTTTCATGTCACACTCCTAGTGTGGACACGTTTCTTTCCAATTTCGATATAAGCGGGCATGGCTGCCAACGGTCCAACGAGACATTGTGGATGAGCTGACACAGAAAAAACTTCAAGTAAACATCTTGGAAGCATTGTGAAAGTCTCATGGAAGCCTCCAGAAGGTTTCATAAACTCCAGGAAGCTCCAGCTTCCAAGATGTTCCTTTCATGTCACACTCCTAGTGTGGACACGTTTCTTTCCCATTTCGATATAAGCGGGCATGGCTGCCAACGGTCCAACGAGACCTTGTGGATGAGCTGACACAGAAAAAACTTCAAGTAAACATCTTGGAAGCATTGTGAAAGTCTCATGGAAGCCTCCAGAAGGTTTTATAAAATCCAGGAAGCTCCAGCTTCCAAGATGTTCCTTTCATGTGACACTCCTAGTGTGGACACGTTTCTTTCCCATTTTGATTTAAGCGGGCATGGCTGCCAACGGTCCAACGAGACCTTGTGGATGAGCTGACACAGAAAAAACTTCAAGTAAACATCTTGAAAGCATTGTGAAAGTCTCATGGAAGCCTCCAGAAGGTTTCATAAATTCCAGGAAGCTCCAGCTTCCAATATGTTCCTTTCATGTCACAATCCTAGTGTGGACACGTTTTTTTTCCCATTTCAATATAAGCGGGCATGTCTGCCAACGGTCCTACGAGACCTTGTGGATGAGCTGACACAGAAAAAAATTCAAGTAAACATCTTGGAAGCATTCTGGAAGCTCCCTGGAAGCCTCCAGGAGTTTCCAGGCACTCCAGGAAGTCCCAGCTACCAAGATATTCCTTTAATGTCACACCCCTATAGTGTTTAGACGTTATTTCCCGCTTTAATATATGGGTGTGTATTTTACGGCGTTTATTAATGAGAAAAATCGGGGGACGCTTTTTGGCGTTCATTTTTTAAAAACAGCGGTGCGTTTCGGTTGGGCGACTCATGACGAGGCTAAAAACGGGGATTATCAGATAAAGAATCCGGTTTATTTTTACTATATATTGTGAGCCAAACTTGTCGCCCCCGGTTTTTAAGAAAGAAATGCCATAAAAGTGAAAAAGAGATGTGAGGCTTTGTGCACCCAAAGTGAATATATGCTGCCACCGCGAGAGTAATTGAGGTTCATTATTTTGAAGGAGCTCCATGGGCATCTTAGTTGTTGAAGATATTTTCCTTTTTTTTTTCTGCAGTTGCAGCATTAACTTTAGTCTCAAAATTGCCACAGAGACGCACTGACGCACGCTTTGTTTGTCAGCCTAGTTTTTGTTACCGAATCTTGAGAAAAGACGCACTGACACGTGTTTTACTGTGGAAGCGGCGGGATATTCTGAGCACCTTTTGCGAGGTGGACAAAACTTACACCCCTCAGCTGAGCCGGAGTTGCCAGGCACTAGCAGAGTAATCCGCCATATATTTGTGAGATATAACTTAAAAATCGTCAAATCTCGGGTTATAAAAATAGTCCAAATAGCCCAAAACATAGAACTTTATACATTATATTTGAAACAACTCTTTGGAAGACTTATGACATATTACACCTATTACAAAAGTATGCAAAAGGAAGACCAAACATTACTAGTTTTCAGAAACAATGGCGGAGCACGGGTACATTATTGCGCTATTGAAAAGCGCCAAAAAAACTTTAAACGGCAGTACTTCAGAAAAAAAAAATCAATCACGTTTCCGCGACTAACAGCATGTGAGGACTCACTTTTTATTGTGTTGTATCACGCTTGTGATTTAGACAGTTTTTTTCTTCTCTATTGAACTAATCCTTGTTTTTTATCTGGCTCAAAAATACAATGTTTAAGGCTTAGAAAGAAAGTGCTTTGAAATTGCTTGAATCTCGGGTGTGAAATAGCAAAAAATAACCAAATAGCCAACCACCAGATGTTCCCGCCAGCTACAAAAATAAGGAACAAAACGTGAGGGCGCGAGTGAGCTCATGTAAGTTCATAATTGTAGAAGTACCTGAGACAGCGGTGCCGACAGAAAAACAACGGGAAGGAGGAAAGAAGTCTCCGCAATCTCGGGTAATTCTACAATTATAAAAATAACAAGCCCCATTGGGCTATTTATAGCCCAATCTGGCGACCCTGATCAGCCCCCTTTCCATAAAAAGTGGAACAAGTCGAGCGAACCCATCAAGGGTGACACTAAACCGAGCCAGTAGCCCCGGAAGCCCTAGGAAACTAAACAGAGAACAATATACGCATCTCCGTCTCCCATGCGAAGAGACGCGTCACCAAGGTCAGTGACCCGACCTGGACGACACTGATGTTGGCAGTGTCTTCCAAAAGCGACATCGATCTTCGAATAGACACTGGAAGGTCGATGCAAGATCCACTAGAGATCCACGAGAAGACGTCTTTGATGAATCTCTACGGTGGAGGATTCAATAACCGGTGTGTTTCGGTTTTAACCTTTTTGGTATTTTTTATAACCGACGGATGTTTATCGGTGTTCTACTAGACCTCTGTGGATCCCGTGAAGGCGATCTTGTCGATGTCCGGGTGACCCGATATGGCGGCTCCCGCCGTCTCGCCGTATCCCGGGATGATGTTCACCACTCCAGGAGGAAATCCTGCTTTCGGGACAAGGTTCGCGACAGCCAAGGCCGTCAGTGGCGTCTGCTCGGCTGGTTTCATGACCACCACGTTTCCCATTGCCAGGGCGGGACCCAACTTCCAGCTCAGCATCAGGATGGGGACATTCCACTGCGCGGTGGTTTATTAATGCGTCAGCATTAGTACCCCCATGACGGGGAAAAGCTGACGGCGTCCGTCTGCCGACAAAACAGTTGAAAAGGAAGCGCGTCGCGTAGCGAGGAGGAAAGTAGTGAAGGTCAAAGGCGAGGAGGAGGTGACGTCACGGGGCGGAAGCCCATGAGCGCGCGGATACTGGGGCGAGTCTGAACCTGCAGCAGCGTCAGGTAGCTGGAAGATCTCTGTGTGGATACTTTGGGGATGCGTTAGCATGACCCTTGAGAAAACCCTACACAGGTCCCCCTTTGGGAAACTCTAACACTGACCCCGTAACGAAGCCAAAAGGATGTTCCAAAAAATAAAGGAAGCAAGATAGAAAGCCAAACAGAAAAGTGAAGGGGTCACTGTATAAGCGTTTCCCAAAGGGAGACGTGTGTGGCCTTTCCCAAGGGTCATCATAACGCATTGCCTAATGACGAATTCCACGAGTCGTTTTGGAGCGCGCCGGAACCAGTAGACCTGATACGAGATGGAACACGCTATCCGGACGGAGTCGCTCCGCCTCGGGATCCCCAGTGGAACACGACCTCTGCGGGATCGGCGGATGCCTTTCCCTAATTCACCTTCCCGGGCATCCTTTTCCCGCGGTCCCGGAACTCGAAGCAGATGTTTTCGCAATCGCGGCGCTAACAACACCTATTCAACATACGGGCGAAGGTAATCATGATGTGAAAGATATGAGTCGATAAGCGATGCGCATCAGCGTAGACCACTTGCTTCTTGACCGTAAAACTTGAGAACGGTATCCAAGTACGTCTCGATTTTCGGCCTTCCCTGCGGAGGTCCGAAAAGACAGTCGAATTCATGCGGGAGATACCAGCAATCCTCGTCGTCGCTGCTACTCGAGCCGCGGCTGCTAGAGGAGCTGATCGAGAAGCTTGATGACGAACTGCCATCAAGCAGCTGCAGTAAAATGGGCGGCACTTCGCGAGCGGCCATTACGATACGAATGCCAGTCGAGAACGGAAGTTACGCCTCAAGTAGCACCGAGTGTTGTGCGAACATTCCCTGGATGTTCTGAATGTTGAAGGAACGTTACCACATCATTCAGAACGTTCGTGGAACGTTCGTAGGCGAGCATTCCCTAGAAAGTAAGCTGCTCAACATTCTAGGAACGTTCGTTGGCGAACATTCGTATGCACAATGCTCTCGGAACGTTCTCCTTCGAACATTTATTTGCGCAACATTCTTGGAACGTTTGCTTGCGAACGTTCCTAGACTTTTTGCGGGTGAAGCCAACGTTACGAAGCTCTCACGCAACCTGTGGTTCGAAACACCGCCCATTATAATGCCACTTTGTTCCAAAAATATGCAAATTAAGTGGAGTTTCTGGAAACTTAGCATAAGGGATCATTTGTATTTTATATGAGTCTACCGAGGAATGTGATATAAGGTGTAAGAGAAAAGGAATGGTTTTGAAAACTTGATAATGAACTTGGCACTCACTGCGTATGTTGAGGGGCAGTTTTGAAAAGATCAGATTTTTAATATGTGAAATTTATAACCTTGAAAAAGGTAATTCCCAGTTCTGTGTTGAATGCCATGTGTATCTGTTCTAAAGTTCGGTGTGAGTAATCGGTTATATAGACAGCGCATTTTGAATGGAAGAAGTTGACAAGTGACACGTAGGAGTAAGCTGTCATTAATACGTGCTCAGGCCCGTGCACTGTGAAAGCGGCTAGCTTATGCTTGCACCTTCTAAAAATCTATTTCGATTAAAAAATATCGCTCTGTGGGGAGATTTATCTCATCCATGTATGTAGTGCGGCTCATTGGGGCTGTAGCCTAAGCAAGCCGTAATTGTGGAATCTTTGTAAATAGTCCTCAAATAATGTTTTCTGAGTGTAGTGATGACCCACGCCACATTCTGAGGAGATTGAAAGGATGTCCCTGCATAAATTAGCAACATTTCAAAGAAAAGTTATAGAAGTTCTCTGGATGTTCAGAAAACGTTCTTCTGGTTAGGATATTTGAATGTTGGTTGAACGCCCTGGTAATGTTCTATGTTCTTCACAGAACGTTCTAAGAATATCCCTTGGAAAACATTCCCCGAATGTAGCGATAAGTGCCTGCGTTAAATTCTGACAGCGTTGATAGAATGTTCTTACGTAAATTTTCAACATTCCAAGAATGTTGCCTATGTTCTTTTGAACATTCCCGGAATGTTCTCAGAACGTTCTCGTGCTACGTGGGGTGTGCGCTCAGAGGGCAGGCCAGGCTGATTCCTGGTCGAATCCGCCGAAATCGGCGGAGCGACTTTTCTCGGATCTAGATCGAGATTTGCACTGGAAGCTGATCCCAAACGACAAGTGGAACACGTCCGTCTCGACCTCGATCGCCAAGGAAACAGGCGCGCTCCAGAAAAGCCGATCCCGGCGCGCTCCAAAACGACCCGTGAAATTCGCCATAAAACTCCACCGATAGATCTTCCTTTAATTTTAATGAACAGATTTCGATGGGGGCTTGAGTGAATTGACTATTCATTGTAAACATATAAACAAAATAGCGCAAACGAACAGAAGGACAAGTAGAAGGGACAAAGACACACAACGCTGTCTGTGTCCCTTCTTCTACTTGTCCTTGTGTAAGTTGTGTTCGTTTGCGCTGTTTTAGTTATATGTTTACAATGCACCACCGACGAGCCCACCTCCAAACATGACTATTCATTATAGAAAACACCAGCGAAAATAGAAATCCAGTATTACAGCTGTTAGTGCCCTTCTTGTCTTTCTGTGTATGTATCCTCTGTTGTCCTGATCTTTCTTGAGCTGTTGTTTGCTGCCTATAACATTTTTTTAGCCGATAACTAACGTGAGTCGTTATTTGGCATTTTGATGTATATATTGATTCTTTATAGCAGTTCGGTAATCTGATATGCTCAAATGAAAAGCTTCCATCTTCTTTTTCTACTTCTTTTGTTGGGACAACACATAACGGACGTTTGAGTTAGCAAGGACTACGCACCATTTTTTTAACGGAAAAGTATATATATTTTTTTCATATTCACAATATTTTTTTATTTTAAGGTAAAGTAATAATATAGACTGCTGTACTGTGCGTGGGCTGTGTAGCGCAACCCAGGCTTTACAAAAGAGAGCCTAGCCCCGTCACAAAATATTTAATTGCGCGAGTTCTTGTGCGATCAAACAACAACCATTTTGAAGATCAGGGTTTTCGCGCTGGTGCCCTTTACTTGCGTGCTGCACAGAAGTCTTTAGACGGTACCTACTCCATTGTAAAATGAACGACCACAGCAAAGCGGTATCGGCATGGCTGGATGCGCGTGCGTATGTTTCCCTTCAGAGCACGAAAAGCGTACCAATAGCCCACATTCAAAACATGGCGCCTCGATGTCTGTCTGTCTCAAAGAGAACCCAACCATTCGTGAGGTCCATATACTCAACCTTTTGTTGAATCCCATGCTGCCACTGCACATCGAAATGGAGACAAACAGAAAATGTGTGCGCTAAAATGACCGTCAAGTAAAAAGGAAAAGTCGCGAGTGCGAGAGAGTCGCACAGAGCGGACAAGAGACTCTTTTCAAAAGTGCGCGCCATCTAGGAGCAGCTATGCCAATGAACCTTTTCCGGCCCGGTGCCAAGCGGCGGAAGTCGGCACGAGAAATCGAGGAAATTCAGAAGGAGGCATCGGATCAGCGAGTAGAAAACGTAATTACGGCATATATATAATTGTGTTTCACAAAAAAAGAAAGTGTACGGAAAGAGAAACACCCCTTACAAAAAATTTATATCTGGCCAGATCTGAAGATTTCAGATATGGCCATATCAAAAATTGGCCACATATAACCTGATATGGTATATCTGCCAGATATAACCTGATACTCTTGGCTAGGTATGGAAATCCCAGATCTGGCTAAGTAAGGAAATTCCAGATCTGGTCAGGCATTTCAAAGGGACACAAGCCTGAAATCATCACTTTATATCTTTTTATTGTCTACAATTCTCCCAAGTGCCCCGGTCCGCACTCGAGGAGTTATGGAAACGGTGATCCTTCAGCTCCCTAGTGATCGCTAGTTATGACCAATTCCATGGTTACACAGTTTCGAGTGTAATTCGTAGTCACCCTGAACAAGCGTCCCATAGGGCTCAAGTACCTGTCATATCACTTTTAAGTTTTCTCATCAATGGCAGCGTTTATGATACTGTGCATTCTTCCAACCTTCAACCAGGCTGAGCCGCCGAAATCTCTTACCATATTATCATTCTCGTGATTGTTGTTTTAGCAGGAATTACTTAAAAGCCGAAAATTCACAACAAACAAAACCGGGATTTAGCTCGCATTAAGCGGAGCTGTTTATAACATTTTTAGCATTTCTAACTTAAAATCAGCGTCTTTGAAGCTGCACGAGAATGATAATAATGTAATAGATATGTGTGCAGCTCATCCAGGTGGAAGGTTGAACGGAATGCACAGTACTGACATTGGCGGGACATTTTAAAAGTGGTATGGCGGGTACTTGGGTTCTGTACGCCAAGTGTTCAGGGTGACTCCGAATTACACTCAAATTTGTGTAACCATAAAATTGCTCGAAATTTTCGATCACTAGGCAACTGAAGAAACACCGTCCATATATGATTCCTCGAGTACGGGCCGAGGCGCTTGGGGATTTAGCAAATTGTCTATTCGCGCGTAATGTGAACACCTCGAAATAATGAAGCTACATTGAAATCCTCGTGAAAACTAGCACAAATTATGTCAAACTTAAGCTTGTCAAAGCTGAAGTTTGGGATTATTTTTGCTAATATTTAGTTCGGGAACAATGAGTTATTCCGAGGTTGGCAACAAAGAAATTTTTTAAACCTTTTTTTTACTTTTTAATATATTGAAAACCGACCGCCAGATAACTCTGTATATACGCCAGATCGGTCTGTATATACGCCATATCAGGCTGTATATATGCCAGATAAGTCTGTATATTCGCCAGATAAGTCTGTATATACACCATATCAGGCTGTATATACGCCAGATAAGTCTGTATATACGCCAGATAAGGCTGTATATAGGCCGTATATAATCATATAATGTTTGATATGGCCAGATATGGCCCAGATATAAGATTTCCATACGGGACGACGTTTGGCTGGACGCTACGGATGCCCCTCTTTAAAGTCGCGGTGGGCACGCGCCGCAGCTCAGAGTGCGAAGAAACTGGTATACCGTAGCTCCCATTATCGATTGGTAGCGCAGGTATACGTCACTTCTTCGATTTTTGGTTCGTGTAGCCACCGCCTGATGCCGTCGGTATGTGGAAAAGGTCCATTACGCGAGCCCGTCATTGTCCGGGCACTATACACTGAGCATGTATACTGCGTCAACGTTTTGGCGACGACTCGGATCCAACAAACAGGTTTAAAGCTAAGGAATGGCGATCGCCAATGATGCTTGGTGTGATTTTGCAAAGGGTTCACTTGACAGTACGATCAAGCCTCGCGAGTGGTGTCTGTCCCAGTCTCGAGTGCACACTGCAGATTTTTGGGCTTCAAACGTATTATGTGGGCTTGATACTGTCGGGTATCGCAGTCAATGGCGTTTCTATTGTTTTATAAATGCTCCACAGGGAATCACATTTGGGCTCTTTTGAGAGTTGGAATTGTCTAATAGGCCATATGCTTACCGGTATGATCTGTCCCACAACGCCGATGGGCTCGCGTCTCGTGTAGGCGAAAACGTCTCCGTCTATTAAAGAGAACAAATAACATAGAATGAGAATTAACCGAGAATCGGCGGCTCGTTATGCGAGGTCCATACCTGCTTCTTCCTAGGATAAATACCAATTGTGCCCGCTAAACTATCAACCGTTGGCCACGGTATGCGCAGAGAGCAGCAGATATATAGGACGTTATACCGACCGCTCATTGTTCAGCAAGCATCTAATTTCCGTTTCAGCATCAGCTTATATCGCAACAAGGAACATATTGACATGTTGCTATATGATCACTGCGTGGCGAGTCCAGTGCATCTGATTTGCTCCGAAGCCAATGATATTGTGGCATCAGAGCCGTATATTAGGAGAGTTTGGCCAGTTTATGATCTCGCCACCGTAACGCCCCCCTGCCTAGTGAGCCAATCAGCCCGCGGCGCAGAGGGAGAAGTGTGAGATCATGCGTGTGAACTCCCGGGTGTTCCCGGCTGAGCGGTGAGGGCCGCCATTTTCATGCACTCGCCCGTTGGAATGCATGGGATCGACATCCAAATTTTGGTTATTTCGTTTTATTTCGCTGGCTCTGGCAAGGAAATGATTAGGTGTTGTTCCTCGCTATAGGTTAAGAAGCCAATGAATGAACTTTTCTCGTCGTTTCACCGCAAACGTTTTTTCAGGCAAAAAAGAAGTCGGCCTGTAGCAGACGACGCGTAGCTTCAACAGTGTTCTGTACGGAAAGCGTGTTGCGTCAAAATGGCGGTTGTCTCCTCTTTGCTCTCCTCCACTTTTCTCCTCTCCAGCGCCTTCGTCGCCACACCCACTGACCAGGCTCTACAAATGTACGGCTGTGCGTGGCATTAGCCAACGAGATCGCAGAAGCGCAAATCACGATGCAAGAACCATGAACAGAATTGTCCATGCCCTGCGTTTGCTCAGTGACTGCGATGGATTAAAAGTAGGGTGTGGCTAATCTTGATGCCGCTCGTCGTTTTGGTTATTGGTTCCTGATTCTTTTCATCTGCTAGATCTTGACGCTTCCCGGTGCTCAGTGATAATAATATGATAATGATATAATAATAATATGACAGTGATATGATTATGATAATACAAGGATAATGATAAGGACTGTAGGGCTGATCACACTCTGTTGTTCTGAAGTTGTTAGCTATTATAACAGGTATGTCAAGCAGGGCAAACTCAGACCCGTGGGTTCGATAGAGGGAATAAAACGGAGATCAATATAAAGACGACTGAAGTAGTTATCTTTACGAAACGAATTTATTTTAGTGTATATAAGACGATGGAGTTAAACGCTTGGCAGAATCCTGAGTGTCAAGTCTTGAAATTACATTTTTTTTTAGGTAACGAGGCCCATAAAAGAATATCTTTTTAAACGTACACTTGAGATTGATCTGGAAACTCATAGAAAAGAGAGAAACAATTATTTTGTAAGGCCCACATCTTTGGGGTACCACTCTTTGACCTCGCCTCAAACACAAAAATCTTGAAAAAAAAACAAAAAAAAAAAAAACGAGACGACGGCAATCATCTTTACCGCATGAGAACGCATTATTTCCTTCCTGTCACTCCAATAAACGACCTTGATAAAGAATATGTTGAATGATGGTAGTAAGTGACGCACTGTTTACTTTCCGTATTTGCTTCACACACTACAATAATAGCAAAAAAGATCATATGCATTTGTTGCAGAACACTCATAAGCAGTCACGCAGTCCTAAACCAGTGTCATTTTTCTTCAACTTAAGTAAACTATTTATGAAGTGCACGCAGAAGCTTAGCTATCACTCACCGACAGGAATGGTGTTCCCATGCACCTTGTCAGCATATCCGCCGTAATAGCGTATAACAGCGCTGGCAAACATGACGTCAGCAAGGGAGAGGGTGAAAGGCTTGCCGTTGTCCACCGTTTCCAGACTCTGAAAGCCGTAATACTTCGTCAAATGAGACATAAATGTAGTCGAATACGGCAGAAAGAGCTTGAACCTGAGCATGAGCCTTTAAGTCGTTGATATTATAAAAATCTTGCAAACGTCGAGTATTGCAATACGACCCTTTTCGTTCGTGCAGTTGAGGTACATTAATCTAAGATTGCGTTGAGGGGAAGCTATGTATATACATTGCCGCGCCTAGATGAATGGAATTCTGCTGGGCTAAATAATAGGAATTAAAATTCAGCACAAACACTTTACAATTGTCCCAATGGGTCAAAATGGTTCGTTGAGGTTGAAACACTGTACAGTCACTAACAGTTAAGAAACGCAGAACGTGGCAAATTTCAAGCATCTTATTATCGCTCTACAGCCAATAAGATTGCATCAATCATCATCATTATTCTCGTCATCTTTGCTGCATTATCCGGAAAGATTGCCGAAGAGTGAATTACAAAATAAGAAGTGTGAACATAAGTCACACCCTGGTTAAAATGTATAAAAGCGCGAAAAACCTCAAGTAGCCAAGACTAAGTAAGAAAAGCTTGCTTCTTGCAATTTGCAAAAAGCAAGAGGACTAACAGTGTTTGTTGCTTTCGGCGCTTTCATACTTTTTAAACTACCTACCAACTAGCCCAAGTAACCACTTTGCTGCGCCCTGAGTTTCTCAGGTAGTCAGACACTAACTTAGACGTCGACAACAACGTCACACACTACAGGAAATTCGGTCACAAATCTCACGGCAAGGTAGTCGGCGTTCTCTTCCATCAGGTCCGCCAGTTTGAGAAGCATTCGACCTCTTTTGGACGCGTCCATTGTCCTCCATTCCGAACCACGTGCGAAAGCGGCTCGTGCTGCTTTGACAGCCAGATCCACATCTTCCTGAGTGGCGATATTGCACGTCACAAGTCCAAGTATTGAGCAAACATGATTTCATGCAATGATTTTAGGGCAAATCCCCAAGGTGGAGAAGATTTACGCAATAATGAAGTGACTTCCGCCTGAAATGGTGCGCAACTCGCGCCCTCTATAGGCGATTGGCGGCCGCTGCAAAGCGATGTTCTAAGCCAACACACCTCTTGATAAGCAACTTGTGTACTCACATTGTGTGCACTAATGGTGCGCCCATTTGTTGACAAGTCTGGTGTTGAGACTATCATACAGCCACATTTTATAATCCGTAGAGCGCTTATTAGGTTATTTATCACCAAATAAAAGCGGCATACTCCTTTCTGAGCCTAACCGTCTCAGAGTTCCTTCACTATTTGCGTGCGTGATGCTTCGTAATTCCAGAGGAAATATTTTTTCTTTACTATATTTATTTTAACATGATGTCAGCCATGAGGCCAAAGCAAGTTATTTTGAAAAGTACTTAACTATTAAAAGCACACCTGATATTATTGTTATGATGCTAAAACAAATAATGCCAAGGCTAGTTCACGCAATTGCGTTCGACTGTGATCGACTTCGTTGGAACCGCTTGAAACCGCTTGGAACCGCTTAAAACGAGAAAAAATACTGGCACCATCTCTCAGATAGACCCGAAGCACTTCTGATCTTCCTATATTTTACAAATATTGTTTTTTTCTGTGTGTTTGGAAAAAGAATTGCAATGTTATACAATATCATTTTTTATAGGTGTAAAGTATTCCATCTCACAAATACTCCATGCCAGTGTGTTTTTCCTTCGTAAGCATTCATGAGCTGTCACGTAACGCTGTCTATCACCCCGACCCCAAATGTGTGCACCAGCCTAAACTGTAACAGCAGTGTTGCCACATTACTAAGTTGGTTTTACCCTTGTCAAGGCGCAGACTTTTTTTTTGTCCCGCAATTTAACGTTTAGTTACAAAAGCAGACTGTTTTTAAAGAAAAGTATCACATATGCAACTATCTCCAAATGTAGAAACACACACAAAAAAAAAAAAAAAATACGCTGAGAAAATAGAGCAAAAAAGAAAACAGCACGAATCTTCTTAGGCAGCCTTGAACGAAAGTTGCGTAGAAAATAAACAAAGGTTTTATTATAACATGTATTCAAATTCAAGCCAAAACTGCGTTCTCCTAATGAAGGCTCTTCCTGCTTACGGAATACCTGCGACATTTCAAGCGTGAATCGCAAAATAATTAGTGATCTGTAAAAAAATATCAGAACCACTAAATTAGGGCAATTGCTTTCGCTAACCCTCTTAATGCCAAACATACGTAAATATTAAGAACAGTCTTAGCTAAGATGGGAGCTTTCCGGTGTTGTTAACAAGTATAGAGGAGTTTACTGGCTGTATCTCGGTCTTGACTCAAAGATACGAAACAGAGTTTTTGACAGGGTCAAAGTATTTTACATGCGTTCGAGTTAAGTTTCCCCTATAGGACTATGTTTTTTCTCGAAATATAGGAAATGTTTCACGATTCGGCAACACTGTGTGACATGAGTGCAACCAGAACCAGTGTGACAATGATTTCAATTAATTGATCGAATGATTCTTGCCTTGTCTCCTTCCTGAATGTCGGCAATCTTTTCGCCGGTGGCGGGGTTGTACGTCGCAAACGTCTTGCCCGAAACCGAGTTGACAAACTCATTGTTGATGAAGATCTTAAAAGAATAAAGGACATCAAGTGAGCGACAAATTGGAAATGGTTAAAAAGTCCTCATTATGCCGGAAAAGATAAACATCACGATGAACTGCACTTGCGTGTTTATTTTTAAAATCCAGTGTCGTCATTTTGGCGGTTTCTTTTAGTCTTTTTTTACAACGATGTTTGGGTTAGCAGAATTTTGTTCTTTTACTGAGCTTTCAATTTATCATGCTTGTGCACTCCAAGCAAGGTGTCTAGAACGTCAGCTTTCTCGCAAATCGGGAGGGCAAATCGTTGCAATCTACGAAAAAAGACTGGTGAATGACGGGGCACAAAATACGTTTAGTTTTAGACCTAAGGAAACAAAGAAACCGAAGTTTCAAGATTTCTCAGGGCGTAGCTCTGTGGGGAACGAGGCGATCATCTGTGAGTGGCGCTGACAGGCAAAAAGATCGTACATGTTTTATGAATGGCTAGTTGAACTGTCGACGACTAAAAATGGACGGTGAAAAACAAGTGCATAAGTAATCAGAGAAACATAATAAGGGTGCAGGCGAGCTGGTGAATATTAACGACGTTGAAGTTTTCTGAGACCGGAGAAGAAGAGAAACGTTAAAACGGCAGAAGGAACAAAATATAGACAGGATGAGGTCTCGAGCTCGGCCAAGTCGTTCTTTAGTCCACCACCTTATAAAGTCTAAAACTCATCGTCGTCAATACCAACACAAGACTACGAGGTCTACACAGTTCAAGCGCCGCAACCAGGTGGGGACAATTCTTACATTCCGTGATGGTGGTTGTGGCGCTTGAACTGTATAGACTTCGTCCTTGTGTGTTGACGGCGACGATGTTTTGCCTTTGAGACTATAATGAAGGGGTGGTCAAAATAAACAAGTTAGCCGAGTCCGAGACGTCGTCCTGTTTATTTTTTGATCCCTTCAACCATTTGATGCTTTTCTTCTTCCCCTGTCTCAGGGTAATTCGACGGTACGTAAACTCGAATATCTAAGTCGTGAAAGCCATGTCGTTGATAATGTGCTATGATAGTTTGTGTTCGTATCCCTAGCTAAAAAAAAAGTTCCTTGATAGGTTTGTTTTGTATGAACGGAACTCTAGATCGTAGGGTCCAGGAGGGAAAAGTACAGCAATATCAATAGTAAAATAAAAAAAAAAAAAGTTTTTTGGTTGTTAAAGTATTTCTGATTGTATATAGTTTTGAAATGAAAGACTCATAATGACCGATATGTATGTATACAGTGCCCCTCAAACTTAACACCGCCACTCGGTTCCGCGAATATTGATCTATTGCATGCTACCAAAAAATAGATTGATCGCTGCAGCTGCTGGAGTACCTTCCTTTGGTTGGGTTTTCATTGGGGACGCAAACCTTCACCAACTAGTTCGACCGCTAGGTTTAGGAATAGCTCAAAAAGTGAAGAAACCGGACCATCTCGTGGCGGCGTTAAGCTTGGGGCGCACCGTACCTTATTAAGTTTATTAGTCACCGACAACTTAAGAAACATAATGTACGATGAGTCCCGGACATTTTGTTGACACTCAGCAGCCAATCAGATGGCCGCATTGACCGATAAAAAAGCAGAAGAAACAATCACGAAGCGAGGAGCTCGAACATTAGCTACGTCCAGGTCCTACCTTGCCTTTCTTGAGACGCCCGGGACTACAGTAAATTCTACCAGGATATCAGAATCAACTAATCATAAACGTCGGTATATCGACTAGATTCTTCGTTTTGTTAATTGTTTTTACTAATTGGCCGGGAAATTGATAGTTAGAGCACATTATATTATTTTAATGTAACTCGGTAAATATCAATAACCACTAATATATCAACTTATGCGCATTATTTATGCGCTGCGAGAAGTAGTTCTTTAAAAGGTTGGTTGTCGGAAAAAGAAATTGTGACTTTGGTGATTGAAACAGGTACGTCTTGATAAAATAGCTTAAAAGAAAGCATAGACTTCCACTAACCTGTGTAGACGTGATCTCGGGGTTCCGCACGGGCGCCATTATCTACAGCAGAAGCGCGACGAGTTCGTTAGTGACAAACTGCGGTTCACATCGAGCGATGCTCGAACTTAAATACCAGCGCAAGAGCTGCCGTTGGCATAGTGATCGTACGTTTGTTTCGTTATATGTGGTAAGTTTGGGGTAATCTCGTTCCATCTCGACCTTGACGAGAGAGAGAGAGAGACTACGAGACATAATGGCCCCACTTCGAGCAAACATATACGAATGTTATCTTCGCATGTCAAACACCAAGCCCTACTGTGGGGGGTGGAATGTCAATGCGATGGAACGTTCGGGACGCCTATTGTGAACACCGCGCAATACCTTTTGTTTTGTTTTAGAAATCCATTTATTGTAAACCCCGATGGCGATGACGTCATACTGCTGCGGTGGCGCCACTGTCGGGGCGGCGCATTGTAGAGCTTATATATAGATTTGAGAGAGGGGAGCGACTGAAACCGTTTGAAATTTAATGGCAAACGCTTCCCGCTCAGATCGGTCGCGTGTGCGCATGCGCGTTGTTGTTGCGTGTCGAGGAGGAAAGCAGGCAGAAAGGCGGGGGCGTTTGCAGACGATCAACGCTGTCGTCGTCTCATCGCAGCCGGCATTGCAGACGCGGGCCCGTAGACCACGTGACTGCAATCGAGCAGTTGGAAACGCTCCGAGAGCTAGGCACACTACGGCGCACGCGCAGACGGTATTTAATTCGCGCGAATCCGGTTTCCGTGCGCGTGAATTGCTCAAAACCTGTTTTGCGAAAGCGCGGACTCGGTGCCTTGTATTGTTTGTAAGTGGCGTGTTTGTCTATTACACGCATAAATTGATTAACAGGAAGAGTACACATGAAACTACTTACGCACAGCGACAATCCACCTTTTCGTTTGGTACATTTTAAGAAAAAACACCAAGGACGCGGTTAAATGGGCCGTGCAACAATGTTCGGACTTCGGTAAAATAATTTTGGTAGTTCTTCCCTGTTTCACGTCTGAATTAGAGTACTGAAAGCCGATTTTACCCGCGCACTAATTCTTAGAAGAAAAAAAAAAAGAAGTCAAACAATGCGGAGCCCAAGTTCGTCTGCTTGTTTTGCAGGCGACGTCAAAACGCCGCGCTCTGATTGGAAGGTAGTGGATAGACCTCAAGCAAGCTGCCTTGTGGTCTATCCATTATCCTTCCAATCGGAGTCAATCAGAGGTCGGCGTTCTGACGTCATCACAACCCCCGCAAAAGAAGCAGACGAACTTGGGCTTCATACATCTTGCCAACTTATTACATTGCACCCAGTTACGCATTGTAATATTCCCTTCTTTGCTTCGCAATTACGCAACGGAATTGCGATATTTCAACAGAATGAGACGGTTTCTCCGTCCCTTTTATTAAGATGAACAATGTTAAGATTACTTTAAAGGAAGGCTGAACGCCTTTATGCGCTCTCTGGTTCAGTTCTAACAGACTGGATTACCGAATTACGTAAGAAAATACAAGACCGACGCAAGAATTCATTCAAGATTTTATTTAAAAGTTCGTTTTCTAAGCGTACCTCGGTTCATCCATTCTAAGCGAATTCCGCCGCACAATACGTCGCCCCCTGATTGTGTTCCCAGTAGACGACCGACATGAAACGGCGTAGGCATAATTATCATATCAGGTAATAAATAAACCAACGTCGGCGCCATCCATTTCACATCGCAGCACGCAGCAAGCGTGACAGAACACAACACACGCCTCGGAATAATAAAGCATTCTTACCCTATTATTCGTAAGAGCGTAGCGTCCGACGTGGACGCGTGGCGTGCTATTCGTGAAAAGAGTAAAAAAAGAAAAGAGGAAGGGGAGGGTGAAGTATGCATAAGGTGTTAACACGACCGCCGTTGAGATAACGGCCCTTTATTGTCACAGATGGCTGGGCGCGAGCGGTCGACCTTAGCGACATCGTTTGAAGAATACTGCGGTTAAATTACCATGCGATATTTTTCTTGAAGGTAAACATCTTCGACAGACGCTGATGTACGTGGACCCATTTCTTTCATTCGATCACAATACGAAAATTTGCCATCCCAAGAGAGGTTTTCAGCCCCATTTGCCCCGACCCTCCTCTCTCTCTTTCACTCTTTGCCTCTTTCTATTTCTTTCTCTCTCTCTTTGTTTCAATCAATCAATCAATCAATCAATCAATCAACAAATCATTCAATCAATCAATCAATCAATCCCACGGTTACTCAGCCCCATTCGAAAGCACACTCGACACACACCTTCGCGCTGCGTGTTCGGAAAAGATGTCGCTTTCTCTCTGAATTCTCTTGACTTGTCTTCCTCCTCTTTTCGAATATCTGCTGATATTCCGATATCTTATTCTTCATTTCTTTTTGCTATGTTCGAATGTTTGTCAATAAGAAAACCTACCACCATATCTCGAAAGTAATTTGTAATTTGGGCAGACGCTACTCGGAAAAATTATTTACAGTAAACTGCTAATTAGCGAAATGGAAATGAAATTAAAAGTTACTGAATACTCATAAAAGCAATTGAACTATACACTAACTTCCTAGTGCGATTTTCTTTTTTCTCCTAAAATTAATTTCTAAATTCCTAAAGTGTTCTTTTTGTGGTTAGCTATTCCTGTCACCGCAAACCCTCGATAGACAGTTTTAGTACAGCGTTGCTGGCTCTTGCGTACGCAATAGGCAGTAGTTTAGCGTACGCTAAAAACGACATGCGGCGTACCGATTTTAGTTGTGCGTTACGTTGCCGAGTGAACATATCGCATGATCTTTTTGATCCAATTTGCCAGAGCCGTAGAATTCCGCGTGCTTAAAACGCCACCATGCTACTAAAAAGGAGTATTCTAAATGAAAACGTTTCCAACAAATTTATTTCCAATGAAACCAAGCCGCAGCTGCCCGGTCAAGCGCACTTTTCTGCGAGGTACGGAGGTACGAGTAGGAGTTCGTATCCAAACTCGACCACGGAGATTCCGACAATCGTCCCGTGGAAACGGCACCTTTTATCAATGCTATCGCGGAAAGAAATCCATGACCTACTGATGTCCAGTGCATAGCGAGAACTTTGGCGATTTCTTTTAGAGTCGTTCGTCCGTCGGCGATAAACTTCGCGAAGAGGCTTAGCGTTGGGCAGATCGCAGCGTTCACGCACATTTCGAGCGGTGAACATTTTCACTATGCACTCCTTCAGCTGCACGTCGATCTGATTCGATCGCGGTAGGTCCCGGAAAGAATTGCCGAGATGAACACCACGCAATTTCACGTAATACTGAACTTCGTGAACACCACGTCGCCCTTGCTGCGCCAGTTGAGGTAATCGCCATCTTGGAACTGGTGCTCTCGCTGGGCCCGAGATCTCTCGAGAGCTTCCCGCAAAGCCTGCTAGTCTGCAACGCAAAATCCACAGCGTTGCTTGCATACGCAATACGCTAGCCCTTCTATTGCGTTCTGCGGATGCGCACTCTCGACTCGCAATTTCTTCGTGTATGCAAAAATTTAGTGTACGGTCCACTAATACTGTCTAATATGATTCGTTAAAAAAATCGAATAAAAATAGGTCGATCTTTGGCGCACCACTGGTCCAGCGTCAATTTGAACTTTCAACACCCACAACAAAATATGGGGTGACCACTAAAATACAAGAAGAGGATCTGATGTTCATAGTACTATTACATCTTCACTTCATTTAGAGGGCCTTAATGGTGCGGAGACTTTCATCAGACATGGAGTTCGCCGCAGTGTACTAGACCTGACATTCCTGTCACGGATATATTGGCAGACTGGAATGTGCTAGCCGCTTCCTGGGGCAGTAATCATATACCGATCATGATTACCAGCAAGTTGTCTGCCAAAAAACCAGGGAAACTTACAGAGAAGTTCGAGTTACCAACTGGGATGTATTTCGATCTCAAATGAACTTTGCTCTAGCTGGCAGCACGAAAGACACCACAGCCATGATTGCACGAGCCATTCAGCTGTCAACAAAGAGCATTGGAGTACCATACAGTCGGCCTGTTTCCGACCTCATGTACCTGAACTTAAGGGCTGCTCGACTGTCCAATATGGCTCGCGCAGCGCCGAGCTCGAAAAATAAATGATCCGAATGATTGCACTGCACATCGCAAGACGGACGCCAAATGTCGCCGACAGATTAAGCGCCTCCAACGCCTACAGTGGAAGAAACTATGAGAGTCGGTCGGTTCCCCATCAGGCATTTCTAAAGCATGGAGGGTCGTCAGCGTCTTGAAAGATAGGAAGTAACCTGAGCATCCTGTGGCAGGATTAGCGATAGCCCTGTGCCGCACTACTCAGAAAACCACGGAGCTTCTTGCCGATGCGTTCGCTGCCACAATCCCGCTGCCACAATCCCGCTGCCCCAGGGGTACAGCGACAAGCCTCCAGTTCCATTGAAAACAAATACTTGCACAGAGACAGACCCTGACTTTAGCATCACTGAACTTGATGTTGTCCTCCGACACTCCGGCCGTCAAACCGCTCCGGGACAGGACGGCGTAAAGTTTAAAACACTGAGCAATCCTTTTTTCCCGCATAGAAAGGTCCCTACTGGAGTCTATTAAACACATATGGAGATCGGCAAAAATCCCTGTAACATGGCTCACCTCAGTAGTGGTTCCCACCAGAAAGCCAGGGATACCCGTCGATAAATTTAATCCTACCGGTCAATTTTTATGGCCACATATGTCGGGAAATTAATAGAAAGACTAGTTAGTACTTTCAAGGCTTACCTGGTTGCTTGAATCCAAAGAAGCATTGTCAGATCAACTCTGCTGATTCCGACGAAGCAGGTGCATCTTCGACGCCATTGCTGATCTCGTTTTGACCCTTGAGAAGGCACGTTCAACTCACCAAACAGTCTACTTCATATTTTTGGACATTTCCAAAGATTTCGAAGCCCTACCACACCATACTATTCTGCGTAAACTCACACGGTACGGAATTGCCCGAATCATTCGTACTCATCCGTAAATTGATTACCAAATCACCCCTAACCCCTCTTTTTTTTTCTCACCCTGTTTCCTCGCCTGTCCGAGTCTTGCCCCTGCTCAAGGAGGCTAACATCACGCGCAGGCATCCCATCTTTCTCTGTATAGCAACAATGAACAAGAACAGCGATGTCAATTTGAACATTGGCAAGTAAATATATTTTCCGAATCAGCGTAAAAAACTGAGTCTAGAGCAGCAAATGAATTTCCTCAAAAGTTCTTAAGTATTTCTTAATCGTAGAAAAACGATAAAAGAGAAACCGAAACCAACTTGCAACTTTGCTGGTCCGCCACCTTTTTTTTCCGTCAGATGTATAAACATCAGCACATGGGCAGCTTGAGCCTGTTTCGCCCAGCGTGTGAAGCAGTCAAAAGGCCGTCGCGATCGTCCGTGAAAAATAAGCGACTACAATTAATCGAGCTTGTCTGAGTCGAGCAGTGGCCGGCAAATGTTATACGATTTTCAGCACGAGATTCCAGACGATTCGCCATTCGCATTCGGTCCGACGGCGTCGCCTCCGAGGAGACCACCCGTGGCGGCTGCGTCCGCGATCTGCCGGCATATGGACCCAGATGCCGCTCCAGAAGCATGAATGGCATGGAAGGTCTTGTGTGCTAGCACGTTGCGAACGCTATACACTATTCCAATCCCCTATTCCAGCGTGCGATCTCCTCAACCCAGCAGGCGCATGTTCGTCGCTTCGGAAAGCGAACAAATCACGCGTCATACGCACGAATTTCGAAAATAGAAGCGGCCAGTAGCTCTTTTTTTTTTTTTAAATGTCTATGCGCAGAGAAAGTCGTCTGCTTCTTGTGCAGGAGTTGCGGTGACGTCAGCACGACGCTGAGCTCGGATTGGCTTCGATTGACAGGATAGTGGGGAGACCTCAATGCTAGATGCCTTGTGGTCTACCCACTATTTGTTTTTCAATCAGACAATCAGAAATCGGCGTTTTTTGACGTTACCGCAACCCTTGTGCAAGAACCAGACGACTTGCTCTCCGCGTAGGAGCCAGCGTTCGCGTCGGACTGCTCGGACCCACTTCTATCGCTGAGACTTCTCTATCGAAAACAGATGAGCTGTGTCTCTCGCTCTCTTCGTTGTGTTACTGCATCCCACAGCACATTACCGATTCTCCCGATCCTCCATCGCATGCCGCAAATAGCCTAAACCAGACACCATCCGCATAAACCACAGATTCTCACTACCACTACAACCCACAGCGCCGTGGAGGAGCGAGCGTCGTCTGCTCTCGGATACAACATTTGACGTGGGTGGATGGATGATAATGGCTAGACTCTTTGTAACGGGCGGCAGCTTGCGCCACCTAGCCTAAAATTTTGTCATCCCTTCTTCTGACGAGCGTCCCTGCTCGTTGTTGCCAGTGGAGCGAGGGCCAGCGATTCGGTGTGCTGTACCCGTAAACTTCGAAATTCGTTTTTTGGAAAGAAATTTATTATTTTGATGAGATATTGTGTAGTCATACTCTGAAATGGATGTTTAGTCCATGGTGAAAATTTCATAAACATCGATGACCGTCAATATACGAGTGTATTGCGCGGGTCATGGTGGCTAATTAGGATGATTTGTTCAACAAAGAAAGCAGAAGAAACTCGTCAAACTCGCCTCGGAACGTGATCATGAATAGATGAATTGAGATCAGGGCAATGAATTAATCTATGAATTGGCATTTATACAAAAAATATTAAACCTCGCTAACTTTTTTTTTTTCTTCACTCAAACGGAAAGTGTTCTATTTTCAATACAAAGCTGTATGACCGATATAACGATCATGAAAAAAATCGTTAGTTTTTAGCTATAGCTTAAAATCTCAGATGAGATTGTTTTATTAAAACAAAGTAAAATAAAATAAAATAAAAAAGACACCGTTGTTGTAGCCCTTATTGTTACAAATGCATACCATATGTTTCTAAACAGAGACTGATGTGATTAAATTTGGTATCTATGATTCGCGCTTTATATTAGCTAGTACGGAAAATCTATTGTTCTGAAAACAAGCGTTATACTACAGGAATCATGTACTGCTCAAACCAGGGTACTCTCTTTCTGGAACCTTTGCAAGTTATTTGATGCTGCATGGTTGAAACCTTCTGGTTTATTATGTTTTGAAGGATAACGTTTCGAGAAAGTGTAAGCAAAAATTTCGGACCACACATGAATATTCTTTTTAAATATTTAGGTAGATGGTACAGCGTAGCTTTATTTGGTTTTCACGAGTATGGTATCTCAAATCCCTGAGGGGTGACATAACTCATAACATCCGGCACGAAATGCCAAGTGTTTACGACATCTTCTGTGGGATTGCAGTGACGACCTAAAAAAAAAAAAAGAAAAGAAGAAAATTAAATTTGGAAGTGATGAGGCATTTATTTGTCTAATTGCGCATGCCAAAATTATTATCAATTAAATCTTGTTCGACGAGAACGCAGAAACAACGCCGAGACAATTAAAACGTATGCTACAGGGGTCACAAATATATTTAAACGGCACACTGATTAAGTGAAACGAGTGCTAAACACTAAAGGTTGCAAAATGCGAAGAGCATACGTTCTCTCGTCGGCATTCATTAAAAAAAAGATATTACGCAGAAATAGCTCGTGGGATACGTCTTGTTTCTATCTTTTTAATATGCCTAAAATTCTGATGCAGCTCACACACGCGCAAATAAAAGGCGTTTCTTTGCTGACAACGTAAGACAGTTCTGCCACCTGTCGTAAAGAGAGCAGTGCTAGTATGTTTGAACAAGATGTTTAAGATAATCGCTAAGAAAAATAAAGAAACTACACGCGAACGCCAGCTATCGCGGAAGAAATAAGTAAAAAAAAAAAAGGAAATGACTTTGCACTTCTCACATAATAAAGTATAAAATTAAAGAGCAAACAGTTTTACAAAAGCTGCGACATAAATTCACTCACCGTCTTCACTTGGGTGTACGCAAGCAATCCGTCTTCTCCCCTAAAGTAAAAAAGAATAATAAAAAAGTACAAAAACATGAGACCCGGCAAAGAAAATAAAAATAAAATTATACTTTTCTAACGTGCGACCAATTTATTGAGCAACACCATAAGGATGGGAAAGATACATTCAAAAGTGTATCGAAATACGAATATAAAATATTCCGACTGAAATGTATTTATTTACTAACACAAATACAAATTTTAGTAAAAGTATTTAAATACAAACACAATTACACTTTTTTCATACCTAAGTATGTAAATACAAGATGCAAGCACAACGAGCGTACTTGATCATCTTTAAATACTTTTACAACTAAATTTTGTCCCCATAATCTGGCATCTTCAAATTACATTTAACCTCGTGTTAAAAAAAGAAGACTGCCGAAATAAAAAGAATGGAGTTTCTATATACCAAGAATGAAGCGCTTAAAGGAAAGTTGCAGCTTTAAAAACGCATGGCGAATCGCTAGCCAACTGTGTGGCATATGTGAAATGTTCTAACGTTTATATGATGGTTTAGCAGCTCGTCTAGTTGGTTCAGCCAGACGCCCTATAGACGCTTTCAGGCAGCTGTGCATGGGCGCCGCCATGACCGACCTTCAGTTTTTGTTTCCTCTTATTCCGTTCGCTTCACTTCATATTTTCCACAGCAGGACAGGTTATTGCCACTTTAGATGTTACTGCCTCCTTCTCCCTAGCATAGGCCCTTGTGGAGGCTCGTGAACGCCAGCTTTAGTGACTCGGCATCTCGATAAGACAAGATAAGGTCGGCAATGGCGGCTCAACCTGGCGCGTGTTTAAAGCGTCTATACGTTCACGGCGCTCTTCATTGAATAATTTAACGCGTGGCGGGTGTACACTTGAAACAATAAACCTGGAGATCATCCAGGACCTTCTAATTCAGTCCTCCCCTCCCACCTCGCCTGCTCGCCCATCTCTCCTCCTCACTCCACCCCTGGTCACATGACCTCCCCGTTAACTAATCAGCTTGGAGCACCTCACTCTTTTTCTCACACCCGTCAACCAATCAGAGTCGAGCCTCGCGGCCACGCTTTTATCCAGGCTTCACCTTGTGGCTTCGCGAAACGCCAAACACCTAGCCAAAAAAACGTGTCACGTTAAAATAAAAATTTTCGTTATATACACGTTTGCAAGAGAGGCTCCTGTGCGCTGCCATTTTGAGCGATGCTGGCGCCCCGTACCGTTTCCGCCATGCTGGGGTGCGCCAGGGGCACGTCACTGGGGTGCGCGATGACAAGATGGTGCCGTTTGCTGCATCGCCGATGGCTTACGTTAGCGGTACACTTACTGTCTCGGAACGCAGGAGGAGGTATCCACACAGAATCGTAGCGTCACATATTGTAGGACGGGGCATCTTTCAGGGTTGGAGCTGACTTTATAGACGCTTTACACACGCGCCAGAATACAGCCGCCATTGCTGACCTTCTCTTGTTTTACCGAGATACCGAGCCACTGAAATTGGCGTGGACGAGCCTCCACAAAGGCCAATGCTGAGGAGCAAGACAGAATAAAATTTAAGATGTCAATAACCTGGCCTGCTATGGTAATAATGAAGTGAAGTAAACGTAATAAGGGGGAACAAAAACTGAAGGTCAGTTATGGCGGCGCCCATGCACAGCTGCTGCAAAGCGTCTATAACTATCGCAGCCTCTGTTCCTGCATGTTGTGGAAGCCAGAGCTGCCGCGAGCGCAGCCATCGTTGATGCAAAGACCATGCGACTTTTGGCGCATTCTGAAGAGAGCGCCTTCAGACATTTAGATCTTTTTGAAAATTTTCGATTTGTTACCGCTTTAGGCATTTTATTTAATTTTCCTTGCTATTTCGCTGTCGAAGACGACACGTGTACGTTTTATAATTGTTTTTTTTTTTTTTAATTTCTTTCTCCGCTCAGTGGTGTACGCTTCGGCGAGAGACGCTTGGCAACATTGTACGACAACCAGCGAACGTCCTGGCTGGAGAGTAGGTCCGCCTCACCTTGGCGCGCGGTTCGAGGTTAAGCCGGGATTCCACTTGCAAAGGTGTATAAAATAGGTGGGTAAAACACCAAGAAGCAGAATGCATTTAGTACGAGTTTAACCTGAAAGGCTCAATGGAAGGTAAAACTACCCGTACTTTTCAAACAAGTCGTTAATCCGACGTCTAAAAAATTAAACCAGTCTACCAAAAAGTCAATTACTGTACCCAATGCGTTCCTTCTTCTGCTCTATCTTTTTTTCTCTATGTTTATATGAGTGAAGTGGAGCAAGTTTAATGCTCTCTATGTATGACTCGTGTTGCGAAGGGTTCATAATTTATCGCTTTTGATTACGAAGAACGGTGCCACAATTGTATCTGGGCAGCATTGGAAATACAAGCATTTGAAATACTTAATGTTTGAGTATTTAAATCGATGACACATATAAAATACTCAAATGTATTTTTGCATTTGAAATACCGCCCATCTCTGAGCAATACAAATTGTTTTCAAGACACTTCATACCTTGCATGAAGCTAATGACTCGATGCATGTCTAAATTTGGGACCAACAAGATCACACATAGGCTCGGATAATTTAAGACACGCAGGTCACCCTTAAGTTACCGCTCCACAATCAAGGGGATTGAGGAATTCGCCTATAAGTACACCAAAAGGACGAATCGTGACGCAAGAAGCGTGGCCACATTAAGTCTCCCCTCGCTTTTCAGGTATATTGCTGGTTCATGGCGGCGAAAGACACTACCGATACATAAGGTTTTCCCACATTTGCATTTACAAAAAAATAATTGTACGGGGGATTGCTGGGAAATTGTGTTGTACTGTCGCCGGTTATAACGAAGTCGGTTATAACGAAATAGCGTCCACAGCGAAGTGATCGTGATTCCCCATTCCCTTTTGCACTTCGTTATAACGAAGTTGGTTATAAAGAAATAGCGGATATAGCGAAGTGATTTCCGATTCCCGCTAACTTAGTTATAACCGGTCTTGACAGTATACGTGAAACATTCTAGCATCAAGTGACATCAGGTCACGTGACGTAGATTCCTCCGCTAAATTTGACGGGGAAACTGAATTGGTGCGTAGGTTATGTGACGTTAATTTTCCCGCTAAATTTAGAGGAGAAACTATATTGCCGTATTTATTCACGTGACGCCAATTTCACCGCTACATTTAGCGGGAAACTGAATTGGTGCGTAGGTCGCGGGACGTTAATTTGCCGCTAAATTTAGCGGGGAAATTGACGTCACGTGACCTGATACCATGTGGCCTACACGCCAGTTTCGAATCCCCCGCTAAATCAGGCTACCATGTTCTAGAAGGGGAAGTAGTGGCAAAAGCGAGGCCAGTGCCAGTGGGGGACGCTGTGCTTAAAAGGTAAGGCGGACGGCCGCATGTGGCGCTGCGTTCGACGAATGGAGGAGACAACGGCTGCATCGGTTGCTTCTAGAAGTTTGTGCGCGACACAAGAAACAATCACAAGGGACAAACTCCCTTGTGATTGTTTCTTGTGTCGCGCACAAACTTCTAGACTGCATCATGAACCAACTAGGCCAACAACAAGTTTTGATTAAAATGCAATTAAATACAAAGGTGCAAACGAGCTGGACAATAATGACGAAAATAATCCCTGGAGAAGGGGAACAAGAGGGACAAAGGACAAACATAAATCTCCAAACACAGCTATGTGACTGGTGAGCGACCGAAAAAATCCGCCTGGTCCGGGTATCGAACCCGGGACCTCTCCACTTGTAATGGAGAGGTCCCGGGTTCGATACCCGGACCAGGCGGATTTTTTCGGTCGCTCACCAGTCACATGGCTGTGTTTGGAGATTAATGTTTGTCCTTTGTCCCTCTTGTTCCCCTTCTCCAGGGATTATTTTCGTCAACAAGTTTTGATCGGTTGCTCCCTCTCGCGTTAGCAGCCATAGGCGCCCTGGGCGGACGCCGCTTGTCTAAAAGATTGGATATGTGCTGATCACTCCAAAGCACTAACTGCCGAAGCGATGTTACCACTAGACGCATTTTTGAAATTTTGAAGATTTTGGAAGATTTAAAAGTTAATTTCGTTCTTCAGCGTATTCAATGTTGCAGTTTTCTTGACAACGAAAGCCGTGAAGACCGCTTGACGAGGCCAGGCAGCCATTACATTCTGGATCAGGTGTGCAAACATAACGAAGTAAACTCACTTAGAGATTTATGCGTGTTGGGAAATTTTTAAACCAGCAAAATCTGTTGACTGTGGGTCAGATGACAAAGGAATGGGTGACCGCACATAAGCACTTACAGCTCGGTGCCGATTCCGGACATCTTGAAACCGCCAAAAGGTGCTTGCGTGGCAACCGTGAGGAATGTGTTGATCCTGTCGGGAAAAAAAAAAAAAAAACAATATGAGGATTTTTGTTAAATCTGCGCAAAGACAGGACTTCTGGGTTAAATAAAAAAATAGAGGTATTTGTTTATTTTGAACCTCAGTCAAATATGTTTAGCCACACAATCTTAATCTGTGTGTAATCTGTCGTCTAGGTTAAACAAAGAAAAAAATAAATTTAAAATTGTAGAAAATATTTTTGTAGATGTCTGGCATAGTTTAAACGGTTCCTCTGGGAAGCGCTATCTATATACATCCCGATATTTCAACGAAATCATCGGGGGGAAAAAAAGCAGGGAAGGGGAACGCGCCGTTCTCTTGGTTTTGGCAGTTCCAAAAGGCCCTACTACCGCAACCTCTCAAATATGGATGCTCATTTCTCTCTCTTTTCTGACCCTAGTGGAGTGGTCTATGTTTTTTTTTTAAAGAAGTCATTAGAGGTTTGTGGTTTTCACAATGGGACAGAAGAAGGGCAGGATAGGGAGAATATGCGACTTGGGCCCTTACCACACAACGCCAGCTTGAAGAGCCTGCGCCACGACGTGTGCAGTGGTCACGTCTTGGGTGACGATTCCGGCGGCTAGGCCGTAGATGGTGTCATTGGCTCTGGCTATCACTTCATCCGTGGTGTGGAACTTGAAAATGCTCTGCACGGGGCCGAAGATCTCCTCTCGGGCGATCTTCATGTCGTCCGTGACGTCGGAGAACACGGTGGGCTGGACGAAAAAGCCTTTGGTTCCATGGCGACGTCCGCCGCACTGAAGCTTGGCCCCTTCTTTTTTCCCGATGTTGACGTAGTTCAGGATGCTCTCCATCTGTCTCTCGCTGATCTGGAAATTCAAAAACATTTTTGCATTGGAAGGGTGCGCAAAGGCAAGAGCGTGAACTCCGTGGGATTTTTCTTGTTACTACCCGTTTCGGAAAATGACAAAACAAACTAGTTCCGCAACAAGCAGTTATGTACTGACCGTCATGGCTGCGCGGCGCGACCCAAAAGCCCCCGCGCATAGTATTATTAGTAGAAATAGTAGTGATAGTAGCTGGTTTTTGTGTAACGTTCCCTACACTCAAAAAAAAAAAAAAAACAGTTTGTGCTTACAAGGTTCTCTGACGCCCCAAGAACTCCTTCAACTCGTAAAGAACGGTTTCGCCTCAAGCACAATCGACCCCTGGCGCACTAGAAAGGCAACTGGAAGATGAAGGACTCTTTTGCATAATAAAAGGAGCTTAAAAAAAACCCTTAAAGTTTTCCCACGAAGAAACCTTCTAGGGGTGATTAAAAGCACTTTTTATGGTGCAAAATATGGACAAGCCGAAGAACCCCTGTGTTCTTTTACGTCCAAATTTTTTGTAGAGTGTCTGTTAGCATAGCAGTAAGGTATGCAGCATGGGCAGAAGTCGCGCCATAAAAAGGTCTATTTCGCAGTGTCTTTTTGTGGAGTGTTCCGTCTGGGAACAAGATGTCGTGTGGTAAGTCTTGGTACCCCTGCGCTTGCAATCTTTTGTTCATCTGTGCTCTTTGAACTGTGTACACCGGTATATGGTTTTCTGTCTCTATGTCGGGGCAGGTAAGGCTTAGCCCTTTCTTCATTTTGTTCGGTGTCTACGCAGAATCGTTGCCTTCGCACGTGGCAGCTCTCGTTTTCCTCGGCAAATATGGTTCTGCATGGTTTCCCGCTTTTTATGTCGATTCGCACATCATAATGCTCTTTGAGAGGGTCTGTCGATGCGTCAGCCAATGGGGGGTTCTTGATGGGTCACTGCTGCAAGTCTGTCCACCTTCTCGTCATGCCTCGGAACCCACCAGAAACATACCGGTGTGACTTTTGTCGTTAGGGCACCGACCGCATTTCTTGCTCACGTTGTTAGAGGGTCACTGTAGTTCACGTTTCCCAAGCTCTGCAGGGCGTAATTGGAGCCTGTGAGTGCGACTATCTGCTGTGGTGAGCCCCAAGGCTGCCGACTCAGCAGATAGTCGCAGCTCACTGACTCAGCATTTTTCGCTGAGGTAAAAGGCGCTGAAAATGTGGGCAGGCACTCTTTAGCGCCCCACGAACAAAAATTTGTCTTTAAAAATGAACTTTCTGGAAGCATCAATGTGACAGCTAAAGACTTCCAGGGGCCCTAATTACACAGCGGGACCAAGCGGAGCCAAGCGGGACCAAGGGTCCGGGACATTGCCGCCCGCTGCGATTGGTCAGCGGTTCGGAGCTGGCCAATCGCAGCAGGCGACGATGTCTAGGTCCCGCTTGGTCCCTCCGTGTAGATTAGGGCCCCAGGAGCCTTCTTTTCTTTCTATGGACTTCCAGTAGATTAAGAACGTCTTAGAGCCACCGTGTCTGGAGAAACTGGAGCACCGTACAAGGGTGGAAGAAACCCAAAAGTTTTATCTACATAAGCAGCCCGGTTTGTCATGGCCGGTTTGGTCACTCGAGCGCTCGCAGAACGCGATTTGGGCCAGGGCTGCTTGTCATCGTCCGGCTCACTTGTGGAGCCCGTGGCGTAGTCCGGCTACTCATACCCTTCCCCCTACAAAATTCAAGCTACCCGGCGTCTCTTTCTCGCACGTCGACCGTCGGGGCCTTGCTGAGTCATTGGCCAGCTCTGCTTTCGATCGGTCACTGGAGCTGCCGGCGCTGTCTTCTGGTGTTGGCTGCCTCACCTGCTCGTCAGCCTGCGTTGAACCACCGGCCTTTTGCGTGTGCTTGTCCCGTTCTTGCTCTTTTGGCGCTTTTTTAGCGTCTCGCTTTCGCAGCTGATCCAAGTGCCGCCATTGTTTCCCATCATTCAGCGCGACCATTCGCCTCCCTTGAGTGGATACCAGCGTTCCTGGTAGCCATCTTGGACCGCGCTGATACTGACGTGACCAGACGTGCGTTCCAGGAGCAAATAGCAGTGGTCCGTTTGTTGGGAACTCTTTGTCGCCTTGCTCTTTGTCGCCTGGCTCTTTGTTGCCTGGAAAGTAGCCTATTTGTTGCCACTTCGGGACCACTTTTGATGCACGGGCGAGGATAGGAAGCTAAACACACCAATCGGGGACGATTTCCAGGAAGCTCCTCCCACCTCTCTACACTTCAGCAGAGCGAACACTGGAGAGGATGTCGCTTCCCCTCCAACGGTGTTGCACGGACGCGTTTCGGAATCGGAAAGGCTCACCTGCGGTCCCTGCACACTGCGCTCGTCAAATGGGTCCCCCACGACCCTGTCCTTGGCGAGTTCAACGGACTTGGCCACGAACTTGTCGTAGATGTCGGCGTGCACGTAGGTTCGTGTCGGGGCACAGCAGATCTGTCCCTGGTTGGCGAAGACCGTGTGGTGCGCCAGCGTAACCGCGAGGTCCACTGGAAAATAAAATGTAAGATTTACTTGGGCCAGTTAGCAATCCTTTGACCCCATCTACTGAACTAGTTGGCAGCGCATTGTTCCTCATTCTTCTACCTGTCCACAGGTATTGGGTATCTCATACTCCGCACGAAAAAAGATGGTGAAAGATGTGAGTGGAACTTCCGAGATAGCCATCGCTTACGACGGCATTCGACAAAAGGAATCACTTTGTTCCCTTTTGTACTAGCAGGCCCCTGTATCGACATCACGTGGAATAATCAAAGCCCATATGTGCTAGAACATTGACATCATCATAGTCCGATCGAGCGCAAACAAAAACGACACGAGCGGTGCGTCAGCGCTCGGCTCGGTGTCGGGTTCAATCGGTGCACCGATGGACGCACGGTGTAAGGTTTGGGCCCAGTTGATGTGTTGGCGATGTCTTGGCGTGATAACGTTCCATGGCACTAGAGAAGGTTGTTCACATGCGTTAATTTTATTAGTCTATGCTTCGTTTTAAGTCTAAAGGCAGCCGACGCTATGAGCTAATGGTACCAATCAAGCAGCATAAACAGCACATGTCACTAGCCCCTTTCTGTTTATGATTGGTTGAGCGATGATAAAACACGTACAGAAACACGACGAACACCATGACGTTGCGCTTTTGGAGCTGTCTAATTGGTCCCATCAGCTCGTAGCGTCTGCTGCGTCTGGACGTAAGATGGAACGAAGTATAGACCAACTCAATTCACTGACGTCACGCCACTGCGGTGGCGCTGCCGTCGGCACTGCGCATGCGCAGAAGCTTCGCCTCACGCGAATCTGGTTTCTGCGCACGCGCAGTGCCCACACCCGATGTGGGCAAATGCGGGCTTGTTTGTACACACTGTGTCGGTGTATAGGTGGTGTTGGTCCTCACCGAGTCTATGATAGACTGTACCGAGCCTACGATAGACTGTAGTGGCGAAGACACGAAGCTGAAGGTGACGACCAGGACACTTCCCGTAAAGAATGACTTGCATTTTTTTTTTGTTTTTAGCTGTACTGAATATGTTTTTAGAGCGTTACTCTTAGGCGCCCGTTTCCGGCTTGAGCGGCGTCGGCGTCGCCGTTGCCGTCGCCGTCACCGTCACCGTAACTGCGCGCAACCCTCGTAACCCTCGTGAGGGTTACGAGGGTTACTCTCACGAGGGTTACGAGCGTTACTCTCACGAGGGTTACGAGGGTAACCCTCGTGATCCTCGTGAGGGTAACAACCCTCGTAACCCTCGCGAGGGTTAGGAGGGTTACTTTCACGAGGGTTATGAGGGTTACTCTCACAAGGGTTACGAGGGTTACCCTCACGAGGGTCACGAGGGTTATAAGAGTTACCCTCACGAGGGTCACGAGGGTCTTGAATACCCTCTGAGGTCCCGTGAGCCCCCGCTGAGGTCACGTGACCCCCCGCTTAGGTCACGTGACCCCCTGAGGTCACGGGACTCCCCCTGATGTCACGTGACCCCCCTGAGGTCACGTGACCGCCCCCCACCCCCCCGAGGTGACGTGACCTCAGGTAATCACCTGTCCCTTAGTACTCTAACATCCTATCCCTCTTTACCGTTCCATCCTCCCCAAGAGCTGCGCTCTAACCCGGCATTACAGGGAGTTGTAAACGGCTTTTTAGAACGCAGCTCTTAGGCGCCCGTTTCCGGCTTGAGCGGCGTCGGCATCGGCGTAAGCGCGCGTAACCCTCGTAACCCTCGTGAGGGTTACGAAGGTTACTCTCACGACAGTTACCCTCGAAACCCTCGTGAGAGTAACTCTGGTAACCCTCGTAACCCTCACGAGGGTTACGAGGGTCAGTTACCCTATAAAGGTTTACCCTCACGAGGGTTGTGAGAGTTACCCTCCCGAGGGTTATGAGAGTTACCCTCGCGAGGGTCACGAGAGTTACCCTTACGAGGGTCACGAGGGTTATCCTCACGAGGGTCATGGTGGTTACCCTCTCGAGGGTCACGAGGGTTACCCTCACAAGAGTTACCCTCATGAGGGTCACGAGAGTTACCCTCACAAGGGTTACTAGGGTTACCCTCACGAGGGTTCCCCGCACGAGGGTCACGAGGGTTATCCTCACGAGGGTTACCCTCACGAGGGTCACTGTGGTTTTCTCACGAGGGTCACGAGGGTTACCCTCACGAGGGTCACGAGGGTTGGCCTCACGAGAGTCATGAGGGTTACCCCCTGAGGTCACGTGACCTCCCTCAGGTCACGTGATCCCCTCAGGTTACGTGAACGCCTGCTGTCACGTGACCACCCCCGAGGTCACGAGACCTCAAGGAGGCATCTATCCCTTAGTAGTAAGTACCCTTCCATCCAGTCCCTCAGTACCCTTCCATCCTCCTCCTCAAGAGCTGCGCTTTAATCCGGCGTTACAGGGAGTTGTAAACGGCTTTCATTTTTTTGACACTTGTTAAGAGTAATCCTCTCTTGCCTTTTTTTTAATGAACTCGGTTGGAAAGAAATCGAGGTGGGGAAACATGGAGTAAAACCCGTGTCGGTTTTCAGTAGCTTCCGTGAGGAAGCTGAGGGGCTAGGAGCAGTACCGTCGGTCATCATTGGATTGCGCTAACTAGCATAACAGAAAACGCAGAAGGCGTTTGGAGAACATTGTTTGTGCAAACACTCGGCTCTACCTTCGAACATCATCGCTCGAGGTATACTATGACAAAATCTAGCGTAAGAAACCGCATTTTGTTAAACTATACTTCTAGCCGTTGAGAATAGTGAATGTGTTTGCTTAGGCCACGGGAAGACAGGCAGCCTCAATGGGTTTCTGGTGTCGCCGTTGTAGGTGAGAAGTTTAATCAGTGCAGCTGCACACCCGCTAGCGTGGCGTGTTTTACAATGCTCATCCAGATCGACACGGGCGGGGTTGAGGACTGAACCCAATGATTGCATGGGTTCTGCTGCACGAGTTTCCGCTCCGTGTACTCCGAGTTCCGTTGCTTATAATTAACGCACTTGGCCGCCGATTTCTCGTCGCCAACGGCACTGGCGACGCTCTGCCCAAAACAATGGCCATCCACGCTAACGCAGCTGGCATGTCATCACTGAGGCGAATTAAAGCACTGCCGTCCCGGCAACGTTCCACCGTGCGAGTAGAAGTATATGCTGTCGGGTAACTCCGTTCCTTTTTTTCTTTGGATGACACATAGTTGCATAGCCTCCTATATACTGACAAAACCTTGCAGATCGGCAGGAGAAGCGGCCGCCGAAATGGAAAAGGTGGAGTGGCAGACAACGGACGAGAGGAGAGCCACGTGACTGGCGCCCCGCTGCGGCGAGACGCCGAAACACACTTCTCCGGAGTGAACAAGTGTGTTTCGGGTCCTCGCTGCTGTAAAAGCTGTGCGCTGTCGTCCAAGTTTTCAGAGAAAAAGATCTTTGATGCATGCTCTATAGACGCTTTACACACGCGCCAAATTACAGCCGCCATTGCTGACCTTCTCTTGTCTTACCGAGATGCCGAGCAACTGAAACGGTAGTTGACGATCCTCTACAAAGGCCGATGCTTTAGAAAAGGACACAGTTGAATCTAGTATGGCAATAACCTGGCCTGCTATGGTAATGATGAAGTGAAATAAACGGAATAAGAGGAAACGAAAACTGGAGGTCAGTTATGGCGGCGTCCATGCACAGCTGCTTAAATCGTTTATAATACCAGAGCCTCGCGCTCCAAATCTGCGACCGGGCACTCTATGGCTCCGTCGTCGAACTGCCAGGTTTGTGAGTAGAAAGGAGGATATATGATAGTAGTGACTCACGATCGGCATCCGCGAAAATGATCAGTGGACTCTTCCCTCCAAGTTCCAGGGTCACATTCTTGCAGTTGGATTCGCCCGAGGCCTTGAGCATCAACTTCCCAATCTAAGATAAAAAAATAAGTAAACAAAAAATAAAGCAAGAAATAAGAAATTTTAGTGTAGAGTTTGTACCATTAACTTGCGCAAGAAAATTCCTTCCGTACTCCGTATATGTTTCGTCTGCTCTCTGCTGCCTGTACACTATAAACACCGACAACTTAAGAAGCGCAGGGCGTGGCAAACTCCAAGCATTTCATTATCACTCCGGAGCCAATCAGATTGCGGCATGAGACGATGAGAATGCCGAAGGACCAATCACAAAGTAAGAAGTTTGAAGATAACGAACCCCACCGTGCGTTTTTTAAGCTGTCAGGGACGTAAAGTCGAGATAAGTAAACCGTTATTTTTTTGGAAGGCATAAATAAACTATTCTTTTTTTGCACAAAGCTATATCTCTGCGAGAACGTGACGATAACGGTGGTGACAAAAGTCCTAAAGATTGAGCGCATAGCGTTATCTAAATAGTAAAAGGTGAACAAAAGATCTGAGCCGACGTTTACCTAAGCTATAGGTTTCTTCAAACTTAAATTTTAGATTATAAACGCGTCGATTACGACAAGAAAAAAAAAGCTTGCCAGGAATGGTTTCTTTATGTGCACTCAAAGGTTACCTCACCAAAGTTTACGCATTCGGACTTCATCTAATTGGGTCCGACGCAGTAGCTGTAAAATCCGCGACCTTCTTACAAACCCACTTACAAGTAGAACACGCTAACTATCCCGCCACCTCGGCGTGTAAGCAATTGAAGGAACAGTGGGGAGAAAATACAGCTTTCTTGATTTGAACTAGCCTTCGGTAACTCAAATTAGACCCCTAAAGAAGTTTTCATTAAACAAGATACGGAATATGAAAAACACTTCACCGAACGCAGCACCAGAAGGACGTAATAGGATAAATATTAAAATAGAAGAGTTCGCTGTCCGTGCAAGCCGCGACCAGCGCAATACTGGTTCCTATGTCAAGATTCATGGATGCAGCGTTTGTCAAGATTCATGGATGCAGCGTTTATATACTGAGTGGAGAAGACAAATATGTAAGCGAGGTGTGTGTCAGTTGACGGCACTTAAAAAACAAATGGCATTAATAGCACATTCATTGTCAACAGCGCGTGGCCGAACCGTTTTCACATGAGCCGGTAACCGTAATTTTTTTTACGGTTCAGTTCCGGTTCGGGTTCATCGCGATAACAATATAACGGTTCGGGTTCGGGTTCAGTTCCGGAAAAAATACCGGTTCGGTTCCGGTTTTCGGTTCGGTTCGGTTCCGGTTCGACACCCTGATATATATATATATATATATATATATATATATATATATATATATATATATATATATATATATATATATATATATATATAGAACGGGCATGGTGGCGGGAGGCCGAAGGCGTGGGTATAAAACTGAGAAGAAAAAAACCCTTAGTGAAAACAGCAACAACGGACGATTTAATCTTCGACGTTTTGGCCGGAGTCCGGCCTTCGTCAGGAAGACGAAGGCCGGAGTCCGGCCGAAACGTCGAAGATTAAATCGTCCGTTGTTGCTGTTTTCACTAAGGGTTTTTTTTCTTCTCAGTTTTATATATATATATATATCTATATATATATATATATAGTTTTACTGGCAAGCTTTTTTTTTTTTTTCTTGTCGTAATCGACGCGCGTTTATAATCTAAAATTTAAGTTAAGGATAATATATAAGTGTTTTTTACTGAGAAAGGTGCTACAAGCGCCGACAATCTTAAATTTCGGTTTGATGAATAATATATGCTTAGGTGGACGTCGGCTCCTGCAGACATTTTATTTTTCGTTTGTACCCTCTGACCCAGCTAAGGTCATTTGCTCGAACCTTCACATTATATCACCACCGCTAGCGTGCACATTCCCACGGAGTTGCAGCTTTCTGAAATGCGTAGCTTTTTTACGCGAGCCGAAAAACCGGGTTTCATTTTCTCGATCTAACCCTAATCATTCCTTTAATCGCCTACTGCGTGCTGCAATTTTGGCGCGCTGGGCTGTAGAACGCGTTCCGAGCATGCGCAGTTGCCTTCTTCTTCTGCCTAACATCAAGAGCCGAGCGCTCGTTCACACCCCGATGACTCAGCGTATTTCACCTGGGTGAGAAGCCCTGAATAATAATAATATTATTATTCGTTCGTCTGTCCACCGTGGATGGAGAACGCTTTGTTGGGGCGCCAGTCTAGAAACGTGGGTATACGCCTCGGCGATGCTAACGTCATGAGCTCGAACCGGGCGTAGCCAGGCAACTAAAATCAGTTGTAACATATGTATAGGGGACGAAAACCGGAAATAAGGAAGGAATATCAGTACGATAATTCACGGGGCAGCTCGTTGTTATTCGAGGCTAGAACCCTGTGCCGTATGCCAAGGGGAAGACGAGACAATAGAACATGTGGTGTCAAGGTGCACAGGGCTAGCTCCAGCCCTCCAGGAAAGGGCGACGGATTTAGCCGGAGCGCTACACTCTAAGCCCGGTCCCACTTAGTAAGAGGGACATTTCTTCGATTTTTTCCCACTTAACTTTAAGGGGGGCGACAGACCTCTTAATATTACATGGAGATGCTCCCTCTTAATTAAGTGAGACACCACCCCTCTTAAAGTAAGCGAGGCGGCGTCTCCCTTAAATTTGAGGTCAGAGTCCCTTAGTAAGAGGGACAGTTTTTAGATATTTTCTTCCTTAAATTCGGAGGGACGGTGGCCCGCTTAAAATGCAGGGGTATAGTCCCCCTTAAGTCGGGGTCACGCTGCTTATACTTCATACAAAATACATTCTGCAGACATGTTCCGAAACGAGTCGCCTCGACATCCGCGCTTCGTACGCCACGAGGTAACCAATCAAGAGGTTACTTTGTCACGTGGCATATAAAGCACGGATGTCGCGGTGACTCGCATTGGAACATGTCTGCAGAATGTATTTTGTATGATGTATAAGCAGCGTGACCCCGTCTTTAAGTTACCTCTGTTATTGTATCGTACAATTTCTGCTCCTTCGTGTTTTGAGTGTAAGCTGACATGCTGCACTGCACTTCTCGCACTTTCGCTGATATTGTTTAACCAAAGTTATTCTGTGCTGCGTAGCAGAATTGAAATTTCATCTGTATATCTTGTTTGATAAACGGAATCAATGTGTTAAAGAAAACAGTAACAATCTTTAGGAGTAAACACTGTTTTATTTGCCATGACACAAGAAAATATTTTGATATGTCTTTATCAAAATAATAATTCCATAGCGATGTTCTGGTAGCTTCTACGAATAAAAAAGACTTAGAACGACGCCAGAAATCGCCGTTTCTTGGAAACTATCACACAAAAAATTTCGTGCTGCAGAGTGACTCATTTTGCCTATCATAAACAATAACAATACAATCGTGCTGGAAAAAAAAACTTTTTTTAGCGGATAACACAAAAAGAAAAGTACACTCTAAAAAAAAGCCCGTGCGTCTACTTTCCCGCACAACACTTGGAAAGACAATCACCATAACTCTCGGAGGCAGCTCAGCGAATGTAGATGCCGAAACATATGATTATACCAAAAAAATGAGTTGCGACATTAAGCACAACAAGCGTGATGTTTTGCATTGGTTAATGTCACAACTCGGACTGGCTTTTTTGGTCTTATCTTATGTTTCGGCATCGTGATTCGCTGAGCTGCTTCCGTGAGTTACGGTGATTGACTTTCCAAGTGCTGGCTCGAGAAAGTAGATTCCTGTGCTTTTTTTTAGAGCGTAGTTACCTACTTCATAGCATTAAAAACTAATTATTCGGCGTCACTTGCCATCAGCAGAAGCTCAGAATTTCTGTTGTTTTTGAACGGCCATAAGCAATTTTATGAGCTTCTCCGACATAAACTGAATCGAAACACTTTATTTTCAACGAGCAGACCCTATAGGAGTCCAAGGTTTTGTCCACATGCCTCAGGGTAGGAGAGTCCCGTTATGTAATACACCCATAAGCACATGACTAGTTCCCCCTCCATAGTCGTGCTAGCGGTTAGTTTCACTGACCAGTTCCCAGAAACGATCCCTTTCTCCGAACCGAAGAAAGTCTTGGGTCTTGGAACTTTTTCGTCAGGGGTAAAATCGTCCTGCAAACAGCAATTGTTAAAAAAAAAAAAAAATTGCGTCAGCGTCAAATTTAGATTTCTATTTTTGCATTCGCTTTTTCACATACCAAAGGTGATGAAAGAACTTCTGGCCAATCGAGACCGGAGGATGGTCTTAATGTTCATGAATGTTGTTGGGTTGTCTCCGCAGAAGGCCCATTTTACCTCCTCCAGGTTTCCCAGCATGGTGACGATCGTGTTATGGAACCGAAGTTGTGCATCCACCTTTAGCTGAATGAAAGACCATATTGTTTTCCTTTAGATACAGAGAGTGGGAATTAGAATAAAGGTAATGAAGCGCTTTCACCTGTTATCAAGCAGGCGCTAGGAAACAAATGCGAAAATAAAGTGCAAACAGTTCAAAGATTCGGAACCCAATCTGTATACGATCAAATAGCGAGTGACATTAGCTTATGACGTAACTTCTGCTACTATTAATTTTTAGTACGAGAATAGACTGCAGTTTTAATTAATTTACGAGAATCAATCGTTTTTGTATTACCAAGACAAAACGAAAACGCATTTAGTAGTAGATAAACTTTAGAAGCCCCATGTGCTTTGGAAAGCATGGATTGCATTTGCGGCTCGAAGCTGCAGAAGTGATCTAGTGCATGTTTTAGAAAGCAACATAATCAAATAAAAAATTACATTTCTGTAAATATTTCGCCGCAAGCCATTCATTTTTTTTTTTTTTTTTTTCAGAAGCAGTGCATATGTTAACAGAACGTAAATAGAGCCTACCTACATACCAAAATACAAAAAGTTAATTATTACCGAGTTCGTTGTGAACCGTGTGCGGGTGTCCGCAGTAGGCTCACCACTCAGGGTGGTGCGTTCCACCGTGCACAGGGTCCCGGTAGAGCTCTTTACACGAGCAATCCGAGCGGAACCCCCGCCTGATTCCCTTGATGTCAACGTTCGTTGCCATTGCCTCACTCTGAAAACAAGATTGTTAATAACGGTCAGTCATTTAACGCCCATAGTCAACCTAGCCCGCATAAGAAAGAAAAAAAAGCAAACTTCTGCTTATATATTTTTCGCGGATGTACGACACAGAAAAAAAAAATATTCAGCAAGCTACAGAAAACAAAGAGCATAATAAACATCATAAATAAAATCTCCAAAAACAAAAACATGGTCGGCGCCAAAAAAAAAAAAAAAAAAAGCCGGTAGCTGTGCCGGCACGACCGTCAAAATATAACGAACAAAACAGTACGCCAAAGAAATACAAAAAAAAAAAAAAATGTACTCCCTGGCCACCGCTACACCCTTCCCGCCTTTCCGCAGACGCCGCGACGCCGACGCAACGCGAACACGCGAAGAAAAAAAAAACCTTTATTTCTTCTTTTTGTTTTGTGCTCGTCCAATCCCCCTGCCCATTTCACAAACATACACACACATTATGGGTTTTTGCTCGCCGCCCACTTGAGAAAAAAATGTTTATAATCACTGCAACGCTAACGATGTCTACAACATAACGTTGCAGTGTAAATTGCTGTAATGAATTGTGAAGGCAAACAAACGCAAAATCGCCAACATTGTTTCTGTCAATCAACGCTCTCGGGCGGTCAACCTCAAGCATTTAGAGTCCACACCGAGAAAGAAATCGGCGAGCCAAGCTTACAAACACTGACTGCCCCAGCTAGGGTGCCTTTATGGTGGCTATGCCTTAGGGAGGGTGATGCCATCCTTTGTAGTACTCGATGCCGACAGTGTACGCTCACGGATAAAATACCAGGAAATTGCCGGTAATAAAATGCCGGCGTAGCACTGCCAAAGTTAGCAGCTCGAGCTGGGAGAAGAACGATCGCGCGTTCGAAATTAAAAAGTAGACAAAAGCGTCGGACAGAAAATGGTCTGATATCACCAGCTTAAGACAGACGCGTACACATTAGGACACCCTAACCTGCTAAAAGTGTTTTGTGCGAAAGACAGCCCTGCGGCTCACGGCAGGGCAAACGATTAGCGGCGCTTTGTCCTTAGCTGAACGAGCAGATCCAGGAAGCGACCGCGTCCGCGGACTACAGCTGAACACTCTCACTCTACATGCAAAGCTCGTGCATCTCATAGTCAGCGTGAAAATATTGATGGCTAGTTATTCCCACCCGCACTGCACCTAAAACAAAAGCGCCAATATGACAGGATTACTCACCCGAAGGAAGTCAAACGAGCAGCATGACGCTTGCGACTCTCCGGCAACGACCGTTTCCAGCTCTCCGTGAATTGGCGCGAAGCCTTAGCACCGTCCGAACTCTTTGCCGTGGATTAGTGCGCCCGCCCCCCTCCTCCTGACCAAACTACATTGGTCCAGTTAAGAGGGACCTGTCCCCTCTTAATATGAAGGGACACCCGTGAATCTTTTTGTCTGTCTTTCCTGTTCAGAGGGACTAACGAAACGGTTTCCTTGGTCTCTCTTAATATGTTTGTGTCCCTCTAGATGTTGCTATTTTATTTTTAAATTTCCCTCTTAAAAAGAGCTGTCCCCCTGAAAGCATTGTTGTCCCCTCTAAAATCAGAGGGACAGCGTTTTTTATGAGAGACCGGTTTTAGAGTGTAGGATTTGCAGACAAGAATGGAGGAATGGATGATAATTGTGCATTTAAATAACAAAGAGGAGATTGGAAGGCCGGTGGAAATTACCCAGGGAGAATTGAATGGCGTACAACTAACTCACACAGCTGGGGACAAGCGGGACAGAGGAAACTTTGGACTCCCTCCCGCGTGGCTCCGGCCCAAAAGACTTCCACTCTTTCTCCCAGTGGACCCGGTTTGACCAGAGGAAAATTCGCGACTTTTTCGCCAGGGGGAAGATAGGGGCGTGATGCTTTTAATTCTTTATGCCCGATCCCCCAAAGGTAATCCTGGTGATATCCCCCCACCACCTGGTGATTGTTACGAAATTGCAGAGGGCAAGCAAAATTGGCGACGGAAAGCAATCCTACTTTTGGTTCTTAATGTTTTAGCCTAGGTGGCGCAAGCTACCGCCCATTATAAAGGGTACAGCCGTTAGCATCCATTCATCCATCCATGCTTCACTATCAGACAATCTACCCACACCAGCAGCAAGATGGCGTCGCCCAGAGGCCGTACACGCAAACGTCCATCGAAGGGATTCGAGTGTTGTTCCCAAAAGCAGCAAATGAGCCTCAAAAAGCAAACGTAAGAAAGGAGTGGTCCACTTTTCTTCTTTCTCGCTGCTGGATACTCTCATTACTCTTTCCTCTCACGGCTTTGCTTTTAGGGCTAGAAGAGGAGATTAGCTACCGCCTCTATTGGTCGGTAGCTTGCGCCGCCTAGGCTAAGAAATTAAGAACCAAAAGTAGGATTGCTTTCCTTCGCTAATTTTGCTTGCCCTCTGCGATTTCATAACTATCACGAGGTGGTGGGGATATCACCAGGATTACCTTTGGGGGATCGGGCATAACTAACTAAAAGCAGACCTCTGTCGAAAATGTTTACGTTTAAATCGCTAGAAGATTGCAGATGTAAAGCTGCAGTGGGACCGCCCACACATCGTACAAAGGACACGAATATTTCTCCGCGGACACCATGACTTAGTTATCTCCGGGAACGCCCCACGCATGCGTTCGAAGCACATTCGCTTCATACATAAATGTATGCTTCGAATTTGTCTGCAGACAGTTCTTGAATGGCCAACGTTACGGAAAACCCTCGTACGAGGAAAAAGAACGCTTCAGGCAGTGCCTCCAGACTGTCTTTTGTATAATGTGTTCGCAGGGTGAGCGCGACTAGCCACTATAGCGCATGAGGTAGCCAATATCGCTGCAGTGTACGGAGGGAACACGGGGAATGATATGAAGCTGAACGTATCTATAAACCCCCCTCCCCCCCCCCCTCCCCCCACACACTCCTTTTCCAAATAAAGTAAGTTAGTTTGGGTTGTGACATTGATAATGTCGTTTCACCAGTCTTGTATACTTTACTGGAAAAAACGTATTCGCTTAAAATTAAGATTTCTCTCGGTTGCAAATGTATCCAATTAGATTACTCGATAATACGAGAGGAAAAGTAATTCATAGTTACTTGAAAAGAAAGTAACCGTCACTCTTGCAATTAGTTCAGATGTTCGAAAACGACAAATTTTCATGCCGGTTTGAAAAAAAAACGGCGTCTTTCGTGCTGTCCGTTATTGGATTAGAATGACCGAACTATACAAATCACAATAGCCTCCCCTAGTGCCACTAAATAAGCTACGCTTCAGAGTAACGACACTTGGCCATATTGTGTCTTAAAATCATGGTTGCCAGTTATCTGAAGCTTTATCTGAAATCACAGGAAATGCTTTTTCGCCCTCGACAAATGTTTAAACCGTTCGCGACAGAGCAAAGCAATATTACATGACCTTCTTAACACCGAATCTAGTGCTGAGGAAGTCGCACATTTGAATCATGACGATCGGCAGTTGCGTCTGTTCTGCATACGAGCCAAAATGGCGGCGCCCACAACAATGTCGGGGAACGGAGTGCCGATACTCTAAGCGCAGCTTATTTAGTGGCTCTAGCCTCCCCTATACTGACTAAGCCCGGCAGATCGCCACGTGACGCGGCCGCCGAAAGTGAAAAGGTAGAACGGCAGCCAACGGATGAGAGGTGAGGCGTGTAAGGGGCGCCCCGCTGCGGCGAGACGCCGAAACACACTTCTCCCGATCGATAGAATGTCCGCTCGTGCTCCTCGCGTTCCTCGCGCTACCGCTTCGTTTCTCGTCGGGTTTAAAAGCCATGTTTCGGGTCCTTGCCGCTGCAAAAGCTGTGCGCTGAATACCAGAAATGCTCTCTGCAAGCTGATCCTCGCGGTGCCAATCTGCGACCGGGCACTCTATGGCTCCGTCATCGAACTTTCAGGCTTTTGAGTATAGAGGAGGCTATGAAACTACTCATCTTTTAGATCCTCCATTTTTGGTAAACCATCCTCCTGTAAAAGACTTGGTTCGAGGACTCTTTTCTAAGAAACTCTTACAAAGGGCACCACTATAGGAAGGAGGAGGGAAGAATTTAGCAGTTACGAGTAATGTTTAATACTTCCTAAAGTAACAGGATTCTTCTTGCGATTACTTCCTAATAGATGAATTCAAACGATTATGAAACTTACTCCAAAAAGTATTGGAACAAGTAATTTGATTACTTGTTATGAGTACAGTACAAATCTGCGTTTCACATGCTTATACTCGATGCTCAGTGTCACCGATGCGGACTAACTTCTTTTTAGTTGTAAACAATATTTTAGCCTTGTCATTGGCTGAGCTGCCTCCGTAGCCAGCAGCAATTGGCTCCTCTAAGTGCTTTGCAGGAACGTAGACATACCGAATTACAAACTGTACGAACACCAAGGAAATGCTTTTCTTTTTTTTTTTGTTTTGTTTTCAGACCTGGGTGGATCCCGTGAAGGCGATCTTGTCGATTTCGTGGTGGCCCGATATGGCGGCTCCCGCCGTGTGTCCGAAGCCCGGAATGATGTTCACGACCCCGGCTGGAAACCCGGCCCTGGGCACGAGGCTCGCGACCGCCAGCGCTGTCAGGGGTGTCTGCTCGGCCGGCTTCAAGACCACTACGTTGCCGGTGCAAAGCGCAGAACCCAGTTTCATGGCCAGCATCAGGATGGGACCGTTCCACTGTATGCAGCAATAAAAGATTCATGGGGCGATGAGACACTGTACTCAAGTTGCGCGATTGTTTGGGCATGCGCAGCTGTGGCGTTTTCTTTACGGGTACCCTGGCGACCGCAGCGGCGCATGCGCGGCGCCAGGCTTGTCTCCATAGTAAGGTCTTGTGGCAGATTACAGAGCGAAATGCGGGTGGTTAGCGGGCTGCGGAAACTGTCTACTAAAACTCCCTGTTGAAGCGCGACGTAGGAGAGTAAGAAAGCAAATCTCCGAGTCGCCATTATCTCCGAGGTGGCATCCGTGTATACGCATGAGACACTGGTGGACTTGAGACTTGAGCACCCTCCTCCTCTGTCCGCAACGTAAACCAAAGTAACGTGCGTGGAGGCACGAAAGAAAGCTCCGCCGCCGCGTGTATCTAGTTGCCGGCGTGCGCTCATTTGTAACGTGCCTAACCAAAAAAAAAAAAAAAAGTAATTTAGGAGGCCTTGGAGTTGCTCCATTGTTTTTCTTCGTGATCAAACAGCTACAGTGCAATCCATTTGTAAGAACCATGAAAGAAACCCGAAACTTCTATCGTTATAACCGAATATATCGTTGCACCTGGACTCGAAACTGAGCGTTTCCAGTCTGGAAACTCTGGAAACCGATCGTTATGAGCAGTACATCTTTATGTGTGGTACACCGTTACAAGTGGATTGCACCGTGGTACGCTGATGGCGTCAGTATATACGGCAAGTTCGTCTGGCTTCTCACGCAACGGCCATATAGCGGCTCCAAGGTATATGTACATGGGTAGCGAAGCTTCGGCCAAAAAGCGGTTCAAAACAAATCGCCAGCGGCATCGACCTGGAGGGTCACGTGAAGGATGCGATTGAAGCGTGACTAGGAGAGGTGGGGACAAACATTATTAAAATTAATTAGTTTGTGACTAGAAGTATAATCATTGGTATTTTTAAACAAGCTAAATTAAATTATTAGATAATATCAATCATATTTAAAGTGCAACAAAATTCAAAACTGTTTTTGTTTTGCTAATATTATGCATACTTCTTATTAGCGTCCTCTGTACGCCACTAGCAAAAAGGCCGACTAGCAATAGCGATATTTGCAGTTTTTTTGTAGACCTCGTGGCGCGCGGAAAGGCAGTCTGCTGACGTCCGTCTGCTTGCTTGTGCTTGGGCCTCCACGTGCTCTTCGCGTTTAATTGTTTTAGCGGCAGTTAACACCGTTTCGGGAGTTTTGTTGTTTGCTCGGGCGTGATTAGCCCAGTTACCTGCGCGGGAACTCGGCTGTCGTGCGCTTGGATCTTGGACGCTACTGCGCCCAATGGGCTCAACGTCTTTTGCGATGATGAGCACAGCGCGATACGCAAAGAAACGGTGCTCCGTGGAAATGTGTGAAAGCAACACCCGCACGGCTGGCATCTCGCTGCACCGGTTTCCCCTCGACGCTCGAAGGTGAGACTTCGCTACTGTCAGTGACATGCCTGCTGTGTGATGTATGCCCCTTGTTCGGTCTCCTCTTAACTCTTGTTAGTTTTACCTAAAACTATTAGGGTTGTCTGGATGTGCACAAGAAGGCGTAATATGTTATACTATGAATGTTTTAAGTTCGAAATCACTGACTTCGCAGCGTTGTGTACCGTTATTATAGAAGTGCCCACGATATTAAAATTTACCTGTACCGGCCTGGCTCTGAGGAGCCTAGTGTCGTGATCATCGGCGTGGTTATCAGTGGTACAACACAGATATATAATAGCGCATCTGTGCGTAAGACTCGTGTTTTTACTCTTCATGATGTACACAGAGCAGTGATGTCATGCATTTGTTAAGGTCCTTGCACTGATTTGCTTTGGTTTGTGGACATTTTGGCTACATTTTCTTTTCGTAAGTATTCATGGCACCCTCATAGCACCATGCCTTATCTGCAGGCGCGAAGCCTGGGTTCGGTTCTGCAACAACTGAAGTCTACAGGGGAAGACTCCATGGCAGCTACGAGACAGGGTAGTTTTCTCCTTACATATCGAGGAGTCAGCTCTCATGCGCCCTGGACACCTCCGTCACAATGCGTTGCTAAGTGTGCTTCCCACAAAAAGTAAACAGACCAATAAACCTTCCGTGCACTTTGTGACTAAGCATGGCTAACCCGCTCTTATAAAAATGGTTACCACATGGGGTTGAAATATTGCTTTTGTGGGCTCATAACATTTTTATATTATTTGCAGGGACGACACATGGCGACATTTCCAGCAAAAGTTCTCCAGGTTCAGCAGTTTTGCATGGTGAGCTTTTTCACTGAAACTAACATAAAGTGGCAGCAACTGCCAGCACCACTGCATTAACTCATGGTCTTCATGACTTGAGCATTTTGCAAAAGAACTAGGTGAGATTAGCTGGGAAAAGCTGGTTGAACAAGGACAGAGGTACTGCTAGAAGTTCATTTCAGCCCCGTTTATAATGACATGTTTTACTTGAGGTGACATAATCAACGTCACAGAGCATATTTTGCCTTGCCGACACCCAGTCTTCCATAATAAAGCTGCCCATAAAAGAAAGTGATTTAAATTTTGTGTTAAAATAGGCGAATTCACCATAAATTTGTAGAGGTGAGTTTGACACCCTCATTGAGCTACACATGCTTCGGCAGTTCAGACTCACGGAGCTTCTGTAGTCACCCTGAAGACCAGTCTTCCGAAATGAAACTTTCGTGGGAACAAGGTGATTTCCTTTGTCGTGTGTTAGAATAGACACATAGGAAGGAACTCAACTACTATTCTATGGCCAACTTCACGCTAAATTTGCAAAGAGGATTTCGCCAGCCTCATCGAGCTGCACATACTCCGGCCACTCAGACTGGTGGAGTTCCTGTAGTCACCCTCTTGACCAGTCTTCTGAATTGAACCTGTCATAAAGGAAGGTGAATATAATTTTTATGGATTCGAATAGGGGAATAAGGGAGGACTTCCTCTTCTCCTTTGCTAAGTTCACATTAAATTTGCAGAGCGGATTTCTGTGGCTTCATTGGACCACACATACTCGTGCACCTTACTAGAGAACAGTCGACTAGGGGCCAATAATAAGTGGTGGCCGAATATTGCTTGTTCTATCTTTTTATTCCCCTTTCTTTGTGAGCTTGCTTTCTCAAGTGGTAGAAACAGCACAACTTGACGTAAAACAGGAAACAAGGAGTATACAGACAGGCGCAGTAAAAGTACACAGAGAGGCACTGTTTCTGCCAGCTTAAATGAACGACCAACTCGTCCAACTTTCCACTCTGTTGAACATGCTTTCTTACTTGCAGTTTTTACAAAAGCTTTTCTTTCTTTCTTTCTTTCTTTTTTTTGCGGTTGATGACAGCTGCGCTCTACGTCAAGATGCTGTTCCTGCTGAAGAGTCCAGCGGGGACGTGGTTGACATGGAGATTGTGGTTTCTACACCGTCGCCTAGAGACTCTCTCTCTGGCTGTGCTGCTGGGCCTTCTCACAAATGTGAGTGCTTTCTATGATGCAAACTTTTTTCTTTTGCAGGTTTTTTGTGTGAAGTTATAAAAGATCAGGCCGCAAAAATAAAAAAGCCAAGGCTCGAAAAACACAAGGGGATACTAAACTTTATCTTGAGAGCAGATGACGCAAGGGGCCACATAACACCAGACCGACTAGCTGGCAGCTACAAATCGAAGTTTGTTCAAAGTTCACCACATTTTTGTTCCACGGTATTGTCATTGTCAAGCACAAAAAAAGACAAAAAAAAATGTTCCACACGCAGGTGTTAACACCGTCAAATCAAAACAACTGAACCGGTTTCACTGAATCACAAGTCTTCCCGCAAAACCTCACGTAAGACAGTGTTTCTTAAAGTTATAGAAAAGCTGCCGTGATCATAGGTGTGGGATGCTGAGCCTGTCATGGTCCCTTGTCCTATCTGCCAAACTTTAGTTGCCTGTTGTTGTGCGAGCGCTTCACTGTTACAATGCCATGGGCATAAGTAAGGTATGGTCAAGCTTTAAGAAAATGCATTTCACAGTTTGGATGCCTATTCTGACTTGCATGTTTCTGTGTGCGCCCTTGTCTTTTTGGACTATCAGGTCTCTGGCCAACATGAAGCGCCTAGTCGAACATAAAGATGTACTGTTGCTTTCCTAAACTTGAATTGCATGTGTAGTTTGTCAAACTTACAGTTCTTGTTTAAAGACACTTCAGATCATTGAGGAATGTTCTTGAGCGTGAATAGATTACACATTTAATAAATTGATGGCGAATGCAAGTTTTTCTTGGGGACCTAATCTGGGTCATTTGCCAAATCGCAGCACCCTGCAAAAGCTGCAGCATCGGCAACAAGAAGGTGAACGCCTGAGAGCCAAGGTGCGACAGCTTCAAGAGCGTAACAAGAGGCTGCAAAGAAGGCTGCAAAGAAGGCTGCAAAGAAGGCTGCAACGACAACGTCAGATGAGGACTGTTGCCGAAGTCGTTGAGAGTGTCCGCGTTCATGTGTCTCCTCGTGTCGCCGCACTCGTTGAAGCCCAGCTTAGAATGAGCAATGTGAGCCGGTTTGGCCAGAGATGGTGCAGCCACAACAAAGCCTTGGCTTTAGGCCTCTACTTTCTAGCCCCAAAGGCTATAAGTGTTGCAGGCGACTGCTCAGGCTGCCATCAGTAAGGTCACTGCAGCTATGGCTTCAGCGTGTGCCACTAAAGATTGGATTTTACCCTGGCATTTTCGAGCTGATAAAGAGGCGGGCAGCTGCTTTTCCTCGAGCCGATTGGGCCTGCAGCATAGTCTTTGATGAAATGCACATCAAAAAAGAGCTTTCATACAACCCCTCGTCTGACAGGTTTGAAAGACTTAAAGAACATAGTGGACACCAAGGCAAAAAACTGGCAGTTAAGGCTCTCATGTTCATGGCGAAAGGAGTCGGAACACCGTGGAAGCAGCCGCTTGGCTATTTTTTGCTCACAAAGGCACACCTTCAGATGTACTAAAAGATCTATTTTTCCAGTGCTACAGCGCCCTTGTGGACGCTGGCCTGAAGCCGGTAGCTGTTGTATGCGATGAACGGTGCCAGAACGTGTCCCTTTTTCAAGCACCGTAACTGCCGAAAAGCCTTACGTAGAGATCAATGGCAAGCCACTTTTTTTTCCTTTCCAATGCTCCGCACCTTTTGAAGTGACTAAGAAACATGTTATTTAAATACGACTAAAAAGTTGGTGATTACATAGTGAAAAGTTCCTACATCAAGGAAGCTTATGAAAAGGACCGTAGACTTGAGATCGGTTCTATGCTAAAGCTGAAGGAAAAGCATTTTAATTTGACCTTCTCGTCAAAGATGTCGGTGAAACTAGCAGCTCAAGTGTTTAGCAATCACTGCGCAGCTGCAATGTACGCCCTTGTTACTTCTTAGCAATTGCCAGCCAGAGCTGTTCACACAGCGAGATTCGTTGAAAGAATTGACCGTCTCTTTGACAGCGTAAATAGCTCGCAGAAATCTGCAAAGACGCCATATGCCTCTGCAATCTGTAACGGCTCTATCCATGAGGAGTTTCTGAAAGAGTGCATTCTGGTTTCTAAAAGCCTGCAAGTACTCGGATGTGGAAGGCAGCCACACTGCATTCGTGGCTTCTGCTTAACAGTTAGGTCTCTACTGCTGCTCAGCAATCACCTCGCGGTTAATTGCGGCTTTTCCCACCTTTTAAACCGCTATCTGAACCAGGACACCCTTGAAAACACTTTTGCTGTTGTACATTCAAAATCGGGTGCAAACACGAACTCCACTTTCCGTCAATTTCAGGCTGCGTTCAGGCACCTTTGATTAGCAACCTATTCAAGCTGTCGAAAAAATCAAACTGTGCTGATGACATGTCTCTCCTTGCTACGTTCCCAGCAGGCCTTTTGGCACCTTCTCCTCGTCTTGCCTTAGGAAGCACAGTTTTTCTTGCCACAGCAGACGATTCGCCTTCAAACTACCCTTTGGCAATAGGAGAGAACAACATGGTTTATTTTGCTGGGTGGCTGGCATCGAAATTCCTCAAGGTTCATTCCTGTGTAGGAACATCCCAGAAATATGAGTTGAGGACAGAAAATGCGTGTTTTTCTGAGGGAAATCAAGTGCTCTTGTATTTGAGTGCGAAAGGAACTGCCGACTCCCACTTTGGAATCCTCTCAGTTCCTTCTGCTTCTTTCATATTATTTGTTGAAGCTTGTGAGGAAGTCTTCGAGACATGTATCAACAACCTAATTTCAAAGGAGAACGTAGAACGGACTCTTTGTGTCTTTTTAACCAGAAGCTTTCAAAGTCTCTGACTGTATGTGACGAAAGTGTTTATGATAATTTGTTTTCTCTGATTGCCAGAGTTATTCTGCACTGGTTCGCGCGGAAAAAAAATGCCGACTATTTGATACAGTAGCAATGTGTAAAGCTAGGCAGCAAGTGCGCAGACTACGTATGTGAGACCACCCAGAGTACTTTTTAAAGCAGTGCAGGCATGTTCTATTCGAGCCTTTCATTTTCTTCGGTTTGTTGAGGAGTAATGTGGTCCTCTAACTTATTCACATATATAGAGTTTAAATCTGTGAAGCAAAACTGGCTTATGAAGTGCAGCATACTACAGGGCTCCAAGAGGGTTTACTCCACTTGGCTTCCTTGACCTCCACCAAACAATCGCTGCGTTGCCGTGTAGCAGCACCAGCAGATGCAAGTTAAGATATTTTCAGCATTATGGTACCTTGCCCAAGGAATGTGTAGAAAAGTGTAGCTTTTCTGTGTATTACAGTGGTGGCCTCAGTTGTCGTCGGAACACTGTGGAACCTCCGAGTTATTAGTGGCTGCCTATCAACTGTCACCGTCCTCACAACGTCCAGCCGATTGTACAATGTCTTATGTTATAACAGTGTGCCTCATGTACCGATCTACTAATTTTCTTCGACCATGACCTTTTGAAAATAGTTGATACCGATTGTATAATTCTAGTGAGTAATCTGAGTGAATTATTGTAAGTGAATAAAACAAATAAAACGCGACTGTTAAAGCGACGTTGGACTTGCATTAGAGTTACTGTTGTGTATTTCATACGCCCAACAACACACTCCAGCAATTTGATTCACTCTTTTTTGTGACATTACATAATTTGCTTTCAGGTTTCTCACATATTTCCCAGGGATCCTGAAGGAACAAAAAGCAAAACACTGCGGCTGGAGTTTGACCACAGTGCAAAGACACGATGGTTGTGATGAAATGAAACTACTCTCATAGCAGGTCGGCTAACAAAGTCGGCTGCAGAAAAAAAACATTTCGAACAAAATATAAGAGCAAGGGCAAATAAGGGTGTAAACGATCCAGTATTCCAGTATAGAGTAAACACAAGGTGTAAACACCCCAGGAAAAACCCGAGACTGCAGGTAAAAAGAACGACATATACACTAAAAAGTATCAAACAAAGCTCAAACACGGAGCTATGTTTGAGACTTTTAGTGTATATGTCGTTCATTTACCTGTGATCTCTGGAATTAGTTTTGTTTAATTTTCGCGCCAAACCGCACGCACGCATGACGTCACGGTTTTTTCCGGAAGTGTCGTCATTTCCTGTTGATTTTTTGTTCCGCCGGAAGTGTCCCCACGACTCATAGATGGCGCTAAAGCAGCTCCATGGGCCGCCATTTTTTCGACATGTGGGCTTCTATGGAAGCTTCGCTACCCATGTACATATACCTTGGCGGCTCCATGATGCCGGGTTGTGATTGGAAGGATAGTTGGTGAAGACGGAATGGCTGGCTACCCTTGTCTTTCTACCGACCGTACACATTGGGCCGTTTTGTTCTGTTACGTTGCCGAAACACGTCGCCCATGCGTGATACAAAAGACCCGGTTTTTCTGCGCGGACATTATCCGCAGACATTATCCGCAGATATTATGTGCTGACACGCATCGGGCGTTGTTCGAAGAAGACCGTGAACTGTACCCATACAGGTAATCAAATTGCTCGTCATCAGTAACTTTTTGAGGTAATTTTTGTAATCAATTCATTACCTTTATTAGGAAGTAATCACGAGAGTAACCTGATTACTTCTGCAAGTACTGATATTGCATGCAACCGGTACAACGTTTCTCTTTCCTCCTTTTTGTTTCTACGGGATTCATTCCGCGAGGAATCTTTTAACCAGGTTTCCTGCAGGAGGACATGGTCGATTTAGAAGATAAGCAGTTTATAATCACGTGATTCTAATCCAGTAATAGTCAGTAACGAAGTACTCGTTTTCAAGCTGCCAGTTTAAAAAAAAAAATCTGTCCTTTTAAAAAATAGGAAGTAATCGAAAAAACAACGCTTACTTTTTCAACTAACGCTTGAGTACTTTTTTTTTCTGAACTAATAAAATAATATCATTGAATACTTTTTAAATCAAGAGAAATTCTAAGTGTAACTATTATTTTTTTTTTTCGAGCAACGTGAACAAGACTGACTCGAAGTATGTTTTCTTCACGTCTATGTGCGCGCTTCGAGCATGCCGTCAGTTTTTGTACGACCAATATGTGACACAACCGATCGGTATACGAGGAAAACAGTCTCTTCAATCAGGACCGGCAGTCTATCTTTTGTATGATGTATTTCAACCGTAACGGCGGCTTTACGGCGAAACAGAGCATAGCCTTGAGCACAGTGAGGATATATACTTACGGGTATGATTTGTCCCACGACGCCGATGGGCTCACGTCGAGTGTACGCGAAACAGTTGCCGTCTAGAAAGAGAGCAATAAAAAGGGGTTATGATCTTTCGGACCTTCGACGCACACCACGAAGAGATGCGATAGCATTTCTTATCTTTTATGGAGGCTAAACTCCTCTAGTTGCACGGCGTCGAACACAATAATGGCACCTTATCATTATCGTTTTCTCACCACATGACGCTCAAGACGTGTCTAATCGGAACCATATGTTCATTTTAACTAATTACAAAATAAATGAGTAGATTTTAGATAATTATTTCGCTAATTAGTACGTTTGTGAAATCTCTAACGTCCGCCGTGGCTCGCAGATTTTTTCTTATACTGACCGATCGGAATGGTCTTTCCGTGTATCTTGTCCGAGTAGCCGGCGCAGTAGCGAAGAACACGGACGGCGAACGCGACGTCTTCTTGAGAGGTCGCGAAGGTTTTACCGCCGTCTATTGTCTCCAGGCTCTGAAGGACAAAAAGGGATGGTGGAGGCAAATTTGTAGAACCCACGGGGGCGAATTGGATGCCTATGAATGCGACAGCATTTATCGTTGCACACACAAGGGCAGGTGTTGGGTTCCCCGCTCAATTCAGCGGAGAACCTGAATTCGTGCATGGGTCACATGACGTAAATATTCCACTATATTTAGCATGGAGCCTCAATTTGTCTGCAGGCCCCGTGTCATCATTTTTTTCGCTAAATTTAGCGGGGAACTGAATTAGTGAATAGACCACGCGACAAATTTTCCGCTAAATTTAGCGGGAAAACTGAAGTTGTGCAGAGGTCACGTGACGCCAATTTTCCGCTAAATTGAGCGGAAAACTGAATTGGTGCATAGACCACGTGATATGAATTTTCTGCTAAATTTAGCGGGGAAACTGAATTGGTGCTTAGGTCACGTGACTTCAATTACCACCAAATTTAGTGAGGAAAAGTATTTGAGGCCAGAATATAGGTAAGGGAAAATCTTGGGTAGCAGCTTAAAGGGATGCTACAATGAAATTTCGGCGCTTATTTCTTAGTCTATTCGTGCTCAAGGGAGGTATATAGTGACGATAACTGTATCGCCTCTGGCTACAACGAGAGACGAGCTAAAGGAAAACTCCCCTCTCCCCGAGAATCTCTTTTGTGTGTCTCACAAGTTGGTATTGTCCCTCTACAAGATTATAGAAGGTTAACACTCAAAATCCGTACAAAGAGAGCTTTGGGGTTACTTGCGGTGGCCCGATCGCCTGTGTTTTTGGCTGCTTTCAGCGGATGGTACGAGCCATCGGGGCCTATCCAAGGCCGTGTCAGCGTCACGTGACCTTGGAGAGGGGATTGGCTAGGATAGCTCGCAGCGTCCGCCGCGTCCGGACGCGAGGTCCCGAGACAATCTACGTCACGATTGCGGCGGATGTGACGTGCTCTCCGCTGGCTGCTCTCCGAGCGCTTGCCAGAGTGGGCCGTTTATAAGAAAAAATGGAGCCACCAGGCTCAAAATACAAACGTGCGATTGTCATTTACGGATATTGTGGATCATGTTCAGCCTATTTCTGAACACGACCGCTATATTTCAAATTTCGCTGAAGTCTCCCTTTACGTCCAGACGCGCAGTCAACGCTACGAGCTGATGGAAGCCATCAAACAGCTTCAAGGGGGCACAATCATGGAGTTCGTCATGTTTCTTCACGTGTTCTCTCATCGCTGAACCATTCATAAACATAAAAAAAAGTAACTTGCGCTTTTGGCGCTGCTTGCCTGGTCCATTAGTTCGTATCGTTGACTGCTACTTTTTCTTTTTTAAAGCCGTAGAAATAGCATTGAGAAGTCGTTTTGTACGCCAAGTTTAACGATAGTACGAAACCTTTGTTTTGGGGATAACCAATGCGACGGCATTGGACAAAAAGAGGAAGAACTCTACTGCTTACCGCCAAATAGTGTTTCTGTTCCTCGATGAGGTCGGCCAGCTTGAAGAGCAACGTTCCTCTCTTGGATGCATCCATTGATCGCCACTCGGAGCCACGGGCGAACGCTGCCTTGGCCGCCTTCACGGCCTTCTCGACATCCTCCTGAGAAGGCATGAATGAGGACATGTATAAAAGCATGGACCGCTTTCAACGAGACCCCCAATCCAAAAATGTTGTCCGTCCGTCCGTCCGTACGCTCATTTTCCCGCTAAATTTAGCGGGAGAACTGACGTCACCTGACGTGAAGTCGTGCGCGACTTCACATGGCCTAAAATCTTCTTTGTAGACCCTACACTCATAAAAAAAAGCTTTTACAAAGTATGTTTTTGCGTAAAGCAAGAAAGCTCTTTTTCTAGAAAATTTTATTGGAGATTAGTACAGAATGACAGGAGCGTGATGTTTGCATAAAGGTTTAGCTTATAGGGTTTTACGGCACAATTAACATTGTTTTTATACAGTTATGTCTCACCGATGACTTTAGGTAGCGCGTCCCGACATGGGTGCGTCCTAACTTCGCGGGTAATTCGTGGCGCGTCCTCCTCGAAGACGGGGGTTGGCATCCTTGGAACCCCTTCTACCGTATATGTTTCGGCGCCAAAATGGCCAATTAAAGCCAGAATAGAAGTTACAGCGCACGCTATTGAATGCGATACTCCCGAACCAATACAAGCGGCCGTGCAGTTCCTCGAGTGACCGCTGCGGGAAAAATGGCGGCGCTGCGGTCGCCAGTAGTTCGGTTGTCCAGTAAAAGTTAAAGTACGGATCGGTGCAACTTTTTGAGAGCCTCGCAGCCTCCGTTCCAGCACGTCGTGGAAGCCAGTGTTGCAGAGAGCGCAGCAGCCATCGTTGATGCAATGGCTATGCGGCTTATTTATGTAAGCCGAATGTATACGTGGCTTGCACATGACGTCCTTTCCGATGACCTCCAGAGAAAAGGGGAAGAAGGAGCTCCCCTCTTATCAGGATCCTCCTTTGTGCCTCCCGGATTTGCACAGCTAGGCGCCGCTATTCCCAGAAGATTAAAAAAAATTAACATGTCACTCAAAATTCTTACAAAAGCATCTTCTCTCAAAAGTATGCGATGTGACGTCAGTCTAGACTCTACAGGGACTCCCTTTAGACCTTGTGCGGGTTCTCTGCAGGCACCCTGTGACGTCATTCTGTGGACTCCACAAGGACTCCCTGTAGACGTTGTGCGGGTTCTCTGTAGGCACCCATAGCCACCCTATGGGTACTGTGAAACCCTACAAAGTTCTGTGGACATTAGGAGGTTAACCTTGAAAGGAGACACCAGCCATATGGACATCTAAAGGACATCCTAAAGTGTCTTACTGTACAGAGGGTATAGAATGACCTTACATCGTCACTAGTATAGGACGTCTATAGAACGTATTCGATAGGGCGGCCATAGGACAACTTCAGGGAGGCAACAGTTAAGTCGTGGTCCGTTTATAGAATCCCTATGTTTTTTCTAAGTAATTAAAATAAGAACACCGACTCGACATAACAACGTCTCCCGGCTTTTGGAGTATTTTTGCTTTTTTTCTAAGGACGCTGCTCTATAGAACGTCCTCGTAGTGTCCTTAGATCTTTTTGTAAGACCTCTAACTCTAGCTCAAACTAACTCTAACTCTAACTCTAACTAATTCTAATTCTAATTAATTCTAACTTTAACTGACCTAACTCTTGTTTCAAGCTAGCTCTCTCTAATGAACTTTTTCTAACTCTAATGAACTCTAATTCAAATTCTAATTAACTCTAATTTAAACTAGCCTAACTCTAAATCTAATTAACTCTAACTTTAATTAGCCTAACTAACTCTAACTCTAGCTCAAGCTAACTCTAGCTTTAACTCCAACTCCAACTCTAACTCTAATTAGCGCTTGTTAATTCTAACTGTAGCTATATAACTGTAACTGACTAACTGTCAGTGGCGTACCGACTTGTTTTTGAGTGGGGGGGGGGGGGGCAAACCAGACCCCCTCCCCTCCCCAGGGCCTGGGGGTGGTGCCCTTGGAGTCTCTTGGGCGCCGCCAGCCAGTGTTTGCCCTGCCCAGTGGCGACTGTTTCAGGGGGGGGGGGGGGGGGGGGGAAGACAGGCCTTGCCGCTCCCCTTCCCCCCCTCTAAGAACTGGGGGAGGGAGGACCAGCGCCCCCCTTGCCCTCGCCACTTCCCCGGTTGGTAGGCCCATGCTAACTGTTAGTCTAACTGACTTTAACTCTGACTAACACTAGCTCATCACTCTTAACTAAACTAAAATTTCGCACCAGCAGCGCGAAGGCAAGAGCATTTCAAGTGGCAACACAATTGCGGGCAATTTGCGGTACATTTTTTTTATCACGGACGTAAACAAATTGTAGTGCAAGAAAAAAAAAGCACGCCAGAGACAGTGTTTGCAAAGTGTCTTTTGAATGATCGCAACAGCGGTGTTACCGCGGCTCTAGTTTTTAGTACTTTAAGCGTGTCGCGATGTACACTTCCTTGCCGAGTCCACGTAGCCCTGTGTGTCTTAGACATCCTAAACATGATCCGCCTGTTTTGGCGTTTCTCACCTTTTGGCATTAGTCACTTCAAATTGATGACCAAAAAAAAACAAAATAAAAAGTGCAATCACACAAGTTAAGCCGTTTTAAAGGTGACTCTCTGGTCTTACCTTGTCGCCCTCTTGAATGTCGGCGATCTTTTCACCCGTCGCAGGATTGTACGTCGCGAACGTCTTCCCCGAAGCAGAGTTGACAAACTGGTTGTTGATGAAGATCTGTTGCCGGAAGTCGGCGTCGTCATCAGCGAGCGGAAATGAAAACGAGTGTCGTTTTTGTAAGTTCTTGTGACGGGGGCTAATTTGCTGTGCACGTATATCGAAACGAGGCCGTAACCCGAGCCGCTACCAACCAAACTTCGATTTACGTCTTGGTAACCACTAGATGAGTTGAGCGTGCAATTCCAGATTTTCTTTTCGAGTCGCTGGAAGACGTAGGTACGTTCAATTAGAATTTAAATCGCTCCGCTCGACTACAAGACAGCAATAGTTAGAGAAACGTGCGTTGTCTGCTTTGCTCTCCGAACGAGCCATTTGTCTATAGGGTGACCTTTAAGGTAACGAGATGTTTGGTTTTACCGGTTGTGGTCTTGAAACTAATTGGTTCTGGTTTCATAAACTGATTGACGTTTGGGTAACCGAAATTCGCATTTCCTGTTTGGAATTTATTAAGGTTACATGCATGGAGGTTTCAAATTTCCATGCACGCTTCCGCGAAAGCCTTCACCTGGTGCCCTACTGACCATAATGCATGGTTTGGAGATTTCTGGAGCACGTGAACAGAAAGAAATGATATCGAATAAGATGGAAAAAAAATTGCAGGAATGCGTCAGCTCTAATCATATAAAAGATACTCAAATTACAACCTCATGTAACGTTGAAAGTAGAAAAAAAGAAAAAGGAAACTCGTGCAAACTGGACTAAGTTTATAAATAAATATTCAAAACTGGGGAAAAACAAAATAGGCATGCACTCACACCATCTTAACGTTGAGACGGTGTGTGTCTGCTTTTCAGTTGTTTTGTTTTTATTTGTTCCAAGTCTCAAGTTTTTCGTTATAAAACCATGTAACGTGAAGTACCACCCGGAAAACTAACGATAAAACTAATTGGTTAAAAAAACTAAAAAAACACGATGTTTTCGAGATGTCAGGGGATCATAAATAACGAGAAACTTGATTCGGGCAGAACCTATGGTCCGAGGCACGTACATTGTTTAAGCGCTTGTGAGATTGAATTGTGTTGTAGGAGTTTAGGAGCAACAAGAAGATACATAAACAAGGTGCCGACTGATTAAAGCGGTGTCTATTTGTTTCAAACTTATCACCACCGACTATCTGATTATAATGTGCAAAAAGAATTTCGCGTACAAACTAGAAAAAACAAAACAAAACAGTTCTTTTTCGTTGAAAATGTTAACGCTTCGAAAAAATTGTCCGACTTGCGCGAAACATTTTAGCAACATTTGTTTTATTTTTCGCTGCGTTTTACTCTGGCCATTTAACGTTTGCCCTCTTCGCCTGCCGCACGCAATCATGAGCATACATCCCACTTCGTTAGGCTGTTATACTCCGTTTCATCTTACGTTTAAGCGCAGCGGGTGTTACGAGCCATCGGAGCCAATGGGAGGACGTGTGATTGTCACGTGACGTTAGAGAGGGGGCACAGCGACGCGCGAAGAGCGCATCACGGGCCATGTCCACAGAACGGGACTCCGCTGCATCCGGACGTGTATAGGTCGAAATAATCGTCCACAAACGTGGAAAACGTAAACGCTGCGACACACACGCGTATTCAAGCTTGTTACGCTATAGGTTTCCCGCTGCGAGGAATGGCTGCAACTATCGCAAATGAAGAGCTCCATCGTGATTGATTAATTTTTCCTAGTATTATTCTTTTGTGAACGGCTCGTACAGCATTACCGAATCAATAGATTGTTCATGCTCAAAGTGACCAATACTGCAATTTACGTTTTTCCTCCACATGAGAGATTGTCTCGAGTTAGTGACTCAATGTGGAACAGTGGTGTAGCCAGGAATGTTTTTCGGGAAAAGGGGGGGGGGGGGGGGGGGGGGACTGCACTGTGAACCACCATGTTCGTGTGCGAGGTTATTTAAATAGTGACGTCGGCTGGGCATCACAGTTATTTTTTAGAAAAAAGCAGGCCTAGTGGTTCCCTCGCCATCGCAATTTTTTGTAGCTTCAATTTTATAAAAATAATAACATTAACTTAATTTTTTTTTTGCCCGCTTCGACACATTTTACATATCTACGGTAATCTCCGAACACGTTTTTTTTCTTTCTCTTTTTGCACTTTTGAGGCGTCTTCACAGTTTGCGCCGCGCAAGAATTTTTGTCCTTAATATTGTCCTATGACAGCTAAATTTGGCACCCATAAGCTCGAAGATCCGTTGAATGCAACTATCCAGGTATAATTGGGAAAAAAAAAATATATATATACCGGGTGTTTTTTTTTTTATTCTTGCAGGTTGTTTAAAAAAAAAAAGCCATGAAAGCTACACTTATGCGATTTGCGCGAGTGAGTTATACGCCCAGGGAGACACTATGTGGGTGGCTAATTTTTGCGATAAGTCGGCTAAATAGTTAAATTAACTAATTAACTTTTAATTACTCAAAATAGTCATATGGTTCCAATTAGTAATTACCTGAGCGTCGTCCAAAACCCCTAAATCAGTAATTTTTAGAAAGAGTTTGAGCGCGTGCGCAGTAGTGCGCTGAAGTTACTACTCGTGGAGCAGGTACAACGTTAGGGCTTGATAAGAGACAGAAAAATTCCGCGGGCGCCTTACCGCAACCGCTAGCCTTGTACCTTTTCCACGAGTGGTAACTTTAGTGAACTACTGCGCTTCTCACGTGCTCAAAGTACTTTTGAAAACGACTGAATTAGTGGTATTTGATAACGCTCAGCAAGTTTCTAAATGAAACCATATGTCTATTTTCACGAATTAAAAAGTTAATTAGTGCATTTTAATTAATTAGCAAACTTATCGCAAAGATTAGCCACCCCTATAATGTCCCCCTGGGCGTCTAAATTGCTCGCACAAACCGCGTAAGTGTGGCTTTTATGCCTTTTTTTTTTAAATCTGCAAGAATAAAAACAAAGTAAAAGAAAAAAAAAAACGGTATATTTTAGCTGTTGTTTTTGCGATATTCATTTATTATATAAAAGAAAAAAAAATAGTTATCGCGCACATTCTTTTGGTTGTTCATTGCACTGAGTGTTTTAAGAGGAGCGAATTAGCCTACTTTCTTAAGCTCTTTTAAGTGTGTTGCCATGAAACCCATATGCACGCAAGAACATCTCTTTCTTTTTTAGCATATGCCTTGAATTTAGATTATAAAGCAGGCTATAATAAAACTCACACCAGATTTGCGAAAACGAGATCAAACACTCTAAACTGTGAAAGTGTTTCTCTGATGACGGGTTCAAATTTGTTTGACATTACCTACTTTCTGATAATCCCAACTTTAGCTTTATTCAAATACAAGCGCTCCCGACATAAACAAATCTATTATTGCTTTATATATCTTTTTTAACGATCAGAGAGTATAGATGACGATCCTATAAGAGATTATACAAAGGAACGAGTCTCAAACCTGAGTGAACTTGACCTCCGGGTTCCGAATGGGCGCCATCTTGGAGTACCGTCGTCCAAAATTCTACCGCTCAACACAATCCCAGAAAAAAAGAAAAAAGCGTCCTAGTCACACGGCGTCCTCAGAACGAATGCGGCTTCACCCAAAGACGGACGTTCTATTCAAGTAAGGAGGAAAAAAATTGGCATTCGGAGTTGGTACACTTCCTCGACCTTAAGTATACCTTGCTTTTCCGCGTTTCTTTATATATATTTCTATTAGAAGTAGCTCGCTGAATCCTCCGCGTTGTCCTTGAGGCCTGTAATGACAGTCGGATTGCCGGGCTCACGTTGCGTAATATGTACAACGACGTGACACATTAAGAGGCGTCACAGTAGACGTCGGGTTATTGCGAACATCGAATTTCGTAACATCCTGGTTTTCGAGCTATGGCACCTTATCTTTCGGCGGAAAAAAACACCTTAGAATTTATTTTTAATTTAAGATAGATATGTGATTTTATTGAGAAACTTTCAATTAAAATTGCCGTAAAACAACAACAACAACAACAAAAAAAAAAAACACGAAAGCGGAGATAAAAATTTCTAGCATTGCTGGACACTTCCGCGAAATAAGGCATATTAAGTATGCTCGGGCAAATTCCACCTGCAACTGTTGCAACACATGCAGCTAAAGAAGAAAAAAAAATGACCACATCTCCACGTGGTGAATGACGCTGATTGAGGCGAAGCTCTGGTGGGTGCTGATGATACTGATTTTTGTCATAGGTAGTGCTGATGGTGCTGATTTGTTCTTATTGCTCATACGTAATGCTGAGTTCCGGGTTGCGTTTCGACTTAATTATTACTGCCTTATGGTCGGTGAAATGCAGAGCCAGTGGTTCTTCTAGCGGATCAGCTTGGATCCTCTAGAAGCCGTGGGAACGCATCTCCACCGCTTAAGTCAAATATCCATGTAAGAAAGAGAATATGTGGTATGGAACGTGGTTATATACGCATTTGAGCATTTGACCGCAGCGCCCTCTCGTATATAAACGTTGAGCCAATGCGTGCAAGGTTTAACGCAATTATATACGCATTTGACCGCACCGCCCTCTCCGGTATAGATGTTGAGCGGCTACATGCAACGTTTCATGCATGACAGAAACCCGAGCTCTTGAGTTTCTACCACAAACTCAGAGCCCCCTACTCGTCCCGCAGTCGTGGCCGAGTGGTTAAGGCGATGGACTATAGATCCATTGGCGTCTCCCCGCACAGGTTCGAATCCTGTCGACTGCGCAAACATTTTTTTTTCTTTTTATGCGAGCACGGACGCCGGTCGGACGGACGGACGGACGGACGGACGGACGGACAAGGCTAGACCCTAAAGAGCTTCGCAAAAAAAAAACAAAAAAAAACGCTTCACGTAAAAGAACAAAAATCTAAATGAAAGCGAAGAACGTACACTCAGCGGAACCCTGTCGTTGCAACACGACCCGCCCACTCCACGTGTGGCTATCTTCTAAACTCCGCCTCACCGTCGCTTGGCAAACGGCAAAGGCTACAATCCCGTTGCGCCAATCAGTGACGCACACGACTTTTAAGCAGAAAGGAGTCAAAAATTGCCGATTGAGAATATGTTTTTTTTTTTGTTTTTTTTTTTTGTGTGTGTGTAATGCCGACCGCTTATCTTACATAAAAATAAGATATTACGTGTTTTTTTTTGTTTCACATTAGTTGAGACATTATCAGGTTTTGGTTATCTAGGGGCATCAGAGTGTAAAAATCGAATTTAGTATATTTTTTATGTGATGGGAGAACAGCTTGAAAGGGGATTCAAAACGCAAATGTTACATTAACCATGAACCTTTGCACACAATTTTAAAGCTTGTTGTTGGCCTACCGTAGAATACCGTGCATCCGCCCACACCACACTAAGCGCCCATTCTCAAATTTGCAGGATCTGAGAAAATACACAAAGTACATTTGTATGTAAAATTGATGAGCGAAGAAGGGCCCATCACCGATTTTTTCACGATTATCTCTAACGTTTGAGTGGGCGCTTGCTCGGTATTTTACGGTAGTTGGTTTATGATGCTGTCTAAAAGTTTTTGGCGAAACACAAGGGACAACCACAAGGGAGTGGACAATGGACAACGGGAACATGAATTGTCAATCAGGAAGAAAGGCAATGCACACGTGCCAACTCACTGTGCGGACTGTGGGTGTGAGGCGCTATTTCACAAGATCAGGATCTTGGGTAGAAGCAAAGAGACCACAGCCAGAAAACTGATGGGAGCGTTTTCTATAAAGGAGGGACGTGCCTGTGGTAGCGATACCTCGGTTTTCTTGCTTGAGAGTGATGCCCAGTTTTTATCTGGGTTGCTACACTTCGTCTCACACTACGATGGACTAAAGACAAAATCCACGGGCCGCCGGGTCCAATCACGTTCCACGCTAAACTATATGACATGCTCAGCATTGATTAGGGGTGAACGAATGAGGCTCCGAACTCCAAAGCGCTGCATCATTTCTATAGCTCCGACACTGCAAACAGCCTGCACGTCGCGACTTATTTTAGCAATTTAAAGCTATTCAACTCGAGCCACTGTCCACCCATCCCCATCAGCGATACGAGACGCGGGCTCCAATACGTGCCTCGAAGCGAAATAGCACACAATTTCTAAGTGGCTCGTGATTGGATCTGTCGGTCCGTAGATTTTATTTTTAGTCCATCGTAGGGTGAGGCAAAGTATGGTGTGATAATGACTATCATTGAACGTGTCTTGGTGCGTGACTTTTCTATCTTTTTCTTTTTTTCTGTTTCTTTTTTTTTTTTTCTTCCGTGTAGCGTGCTGCGCATGCTCTTTCTGGATGTTCGGGGTTGACGAGTTGAAAGTTGGGCTTGTCCGTGTCTACTGCCTTGTGATTTTCCCTTGTGTCGCGCAAAGACTTCTAGACTGAACCTTTGTACTGAATGGCTTATGTGGAGAAGTCAAACTACGAAATGCCAGCTCAACCGCCCCCCCCCCCCCCCCCCCCCCACCCCATTAAAAAAAAGGGCAATTACAACAACACCAACAACGCCAACACAATATAAACTGACCAGACAAAAACCCTGATTTCCTTCCGTACAGCTTTTTTTTGTTTTATTATCTTGTTGTTCGCAGGAGCTCACTTAAGTTTGAGCTGTGGTGACTAAGTATAGCAAAACTTCGAAACCGATGGGGGAGTAGTAATGGTACAGAATTTCTTTTTACTTATAAAAGTAATCAAATTATTCTTTTAATGACTACATAAAAATAGCAATCAAATTATTACTAAATTACTCCAAAAGTAATCGATTACAAGTAATTTGATTACTCGTAGGGAGTACCGGACAAGTCTGGTGTATTCGGTGTGTGGAATGGCCCGCTAGATTTAGCGTGGAATCTCAGTATTAGTGACACTGCCTAAAGCCCCTGGATGCGTTTGTGTTCGTTTTACGAGCAAAGAGAAATCGACCGGACAGTGGCTCCACGGTGCGGCTTTTCGCAGAGAAGCATTTTGCATTGAACCCGACGAGACTGGCATAGACATCCAGCGTTGAGAATGCAGCAAACCTCAGTTCTTAAGAAATAGCGAGTTTTCGTAGATAGTTTTCGCCGTCCCGCAACGGCTCTCCGCAACCAACTAGGATACCCGGAACTCTACAGTCAAGGCCATCGGCGCGCAGGCGCAGTAGCGGCTTCTTCATCCCGGAGGGCTTTGCGGAGGGGGAAACGCGGTCTACCAAAAACTCTCTAATTTCAGCTCACCTGTCCACAGCGCTATGCAAAAACGTTCGGAGCCGCACTCGGCGCTAAGATTTTGAACACGAGACCAGGAAATTGAGAACGCAGATCCCCTCCACGCACCGGCGAAAACCGCCGCGATCGTCTGAATCGCAGAACGCATCTACTCGACTCGCCGGCGAGCGAAGAGCAATTTAATAACAAGAGGAGCTAAAAATACTCCTCAGACAGATTTTGATCAATTACTGGAACTGATGAATGTCGTCTCGTAGTGATTTCTGGACCGTCGCGCACACAACCGCTTCGCAAAGCATGTTCCAACGCAGGTAAAAAAAAAAAAGAAAAAAAGAAATTATGGCGGTATTTTGCCGTCGTTGTTACTTGCAACTAGGGGACACACGACTGAACCCGAGCTCAGACCAACTCCTGCGGGTTAAACGACGTGAAACCACACAAGATCGAGAAACATAGCCGCAGGGAAGGGGAAGACACGAATCAGAAGACGCCGCGAGTGCAATAGAAGAGGCATACGAGTGGGTAGAGCTTTACTAGACAACGCAACGCGGACACTGTCGTTAGAAGCGCTGCCAACCAAGTGACCTTAGCCACGCTCGTCTGCTTTCTTTGCAAGGGTGGTGATGACGTCAGAAGGTCGAGCTCCGATTGGCTCCGATTGAAGGATTGTGGGTATGCCTCAAAGCAAGCCGCCTTGAGGTCTGTACCCACTATCCTTCAATCAGAGCCAATCAGCGCTCGGCGGTCTAGCGTCACTGCAACCCCTGAAAAAGAAGCAGACGAACTCACGCTCCGCATAAGGGTGAATAGGGGTGGATTTTCGGGCTCATTAAGCTTGGGGGGGAGGGGGGAAGTCTGCAGATATCCTTGCCGTCACAGAAGCATGGGGCATCACTGGCGAAGCGTAGCCGAATCTGTTTTGTTCACCTAAAATTTGCCATGTCACCGACCTAACTAAACATTTCTCCCTAAAAAGATAAGGTAATGTATGTCGTCTTTTTCTATAAAAAAAAAGTTGCTTTTTGGAAATTGGAGAGAAGGGGGGCGCATAACAATGTTAGCTTTTGTTGCTTACTACGCCGCACAAGCAAACAACAGCGCGCCGGTATTTTAACTCGATTCAATTCAACTTAAAACTTTATTTTCAGTTGTCAAGGCATCCCTGAAATATGGGTTTCAATCGGTGTTCATTATGTCATTAAGAACATTAGTAACAAAAATGTTTAAGTGAATATTTTAGGACAGCCCGTCTTAAAAACCAACTCCTTTTTTTTTCTTCTTT